ACATTCTTCCAAACTGATTTTAAGAGCTGGCAACATCTTCAACATTTCATTATCAAAGCAGAAACGAATAACGTTTGGAGTAGCAACAGCCTTTTGTAAAATCTTGACCCAGTTCTTATCAATGTGACTGAATTTCTTGTCTTCATGTGGCAATTGTCTCTTAATATCACCACTTGCAAATACAGGCTCAAGATAAAGCCATTGAGCTTGAACTTGTCTCCAAGCTTGAATATTTTCAGTTACAGATGTAAGCTTTTGCATCCATCCAGAGGCTAATTCTCTGAATGGTTCCAAATACTTTGAACCCATGATACCACCCAAGTTCATTTGGGCTTCTTCAAGTTGTTCCATCAATTCTTGAGTTTCAGCACCCTTCAAGATAATAGGACCACGGTGTTTGTATTCAGCGAAAGACAATTCTCTATCCTTCCATTCTTCAGTAAGCTTTTTCAACTTGTCTTCAATTTCTAATTCCTTACGAGCTGAGTTACAAACATCTTCGACTTCTTCCTTACATGCAAGTAAATTAGCTTCCAAAATGTCTTTAAGTTTAAACACATCGTCTTCCTTCTTAAATTGCTTCTTTGTGAGGGCTTCCAAACGTTCCCAATGTCTTTCTCTCATAGATGGATTCTTAAGTTGATCCAACAATGGTTGTAATTCTAAGAAATCTTCAATAGTTTGTCTCAAATTTTCATAAGCCTCAATGCCTTTTGCAGCTTTCTTTAAAGAATTACATTTAGTAGCAAACTTGTTGACTTCATCAGTAATGGCTTGGAAATCAAGTTCAGACCACAATAACTCTCCATAACTACCAACTTGTTTCTTAACCTTAATGTATAAATCGTACAAGGTGTCGTATAACTTTAACATCTTTTTCATCTTTGCAAGATCTGGGTATTCTTGCATTGGCAATCCGAATAATTTTTCACCTTCTCTGTACACTTCATATTTTCTTTCTCTTTCAGCATACAGTCTTTGGAATTTGTTCAGTCTTTCTCTAGCTTCTTCAGGTGCAATATCAGGTACTGCAGGCCCATTAAGTGTAAAATCTTTACAGAATTGCTCGACATCGGTTTTAAAGAGCTTTACCTCAGAAATTAATCTTGTCTTGAACCCACTTTGAACCTTAGAAATAGTTTCGTTAACTTTACTGGCCAATCTAGTCAATTTCTCCCACTTGAAAGCCAGATCGTAAACTTCATCAATTTCTTCCTTAGGAACATTTACAGAGTACTTTTTCAAAATAGAATATCTGTCAGCAATTTTAGAGAAATCATATTCAATCATTGCTTCCCTAGATCTAATATCCATAACAGTACCCATGACAAATCTCAAGTCTTCAAGGTTTGCAATTTCTTGAGATAATCTCTTTGTAGATTCATCCATCATTGTCAAATAGTTGTTCAATTCTTCCTTTGCACTTTCGTGAAGGTTATTGGCATATTGAACTTTCCATTGAATAACTAGCTGGAGTATGGAATTCTTCAATCCTTCTGCATCCAAAAAGAATGGACCCACAATACTTGATGTCTCCATTTGGCCAATCTCATTTTCAAGAACTGTGTATTTGTTCAACTCCTTTTCAAAATCATCAAGAGTTGGCTTCTTATCAACACATTTATCAACAAACTTTTTGTAGGCTGTTTGTTTGTCTTCCTTCCAGAGATAGCTGTACTTTTCGTATTTAGCCATAAATTGCTTAATTTCTTTTTGTAATAAAGCACAAGCTCCACTAGATGTCATTACCAGTCTAATAACATCACAGTCTCTGGATACTTCTCTGTTGAAGTGAATCTCTGGTTTGCACCTCCATGGTTGGATTGCCTTTGGAGATCCTAAAACAGATTGAACAACTCTGTCAATAGACTCTTGAATTTCTTCAAGGTTAGGTTTGAGAATTACATCAGGAGCTGCAAGTTCAAAACCAATTTTGAAAATTGGATCACCATGTGTGTCCTTTCTTGTTCTGCTTCTAAAGTAATGCAAAGACTTTACGACAGAATTCAGTAAGTTTTCTAAAATTGTTCTATGGTAAAATTCTTTAAGTCGAGTCAACAAATCTGGAGTAATTGTTAGTTTTGTTTCCTCGAATGGAAAACCAGAAATTACTTCTAAAATATCCTCTACGGCTCTTTCTATTTCAATACTCTTATTGTTGAGCTGTTCAGATAATTCTTTTGAGTATTTGTCTTGTGTATCTACAATTTGTTCAAGAGTGGAATCTTCTCTTTCAGGGAGCAAGAAAAATCCAGTATTTGATATATCCTTCAAATTTTTGTCGATTCTTCCATCGATAATATCATTAACCTTAAGTAATACATCTTCTAACTTTTCCAGTGTCTTGTGAATTCTCTTTAAATAAACTGAAATATTCATAGAAGTCCATGAAAGAGTTGTAACACCAGGATCAATTTTCTTCTCAAGCTCGTCAATATGTGGTTCAAGTAATGGCTTTACATCATCTTTAACCATAGAAAGAATTCTTGCTCTTTCCTTCAAAACAAAGGATAACTCGTTGTAATATCCTTTGTATTTTTGTTCTTGAAGGAGAACAGTTTTACCCACATCTGGGATTTCAACTCCAAGTCTCATTAACCATTTGGCTTCTCTAATGAGTTGAATTATTTCAATATCAAAGTTAACAAAGAGTCTATCTTCAACCTTAATAATCAAAGTTGCCAATAAACCGTCCTTTGCCTTTTCAACATATTTCTTCCAAGCTTCCAACCATGAGGTTTCAAACTTGATTAAACCCATCAAAACCTTGTTGTATGTTTTGATAATCTTCTTTGATTCCTTACTTTGCATAATAGTTGGGATTTGTTGGAATTTAGTCATTGGCTCCTCTATTCTTCTCATAAGTTGTCTACACCAAATAACTTTTCCGGCAACGGGTGGGGCATTTCTTACCAATGGTGGTTTAACTTTGAATTTTTCATATAGCTTTTGAATGTTATCAAGTTGGAATCCATAGTTGTGGAAAATTACTGTATACTTATTTTCCAATTCAGTTTGAAGAGATTCTCTTTTCAGAATTGATTTAAACTTTTTAAGAACTTCTAAAGCTTGTTCACTGCTTGAAATATTTTCAAACCATGTATTGATGAAAACCTGTAAGTATTGTTCAAGGTGAACAACTTTCTTGTTAAAAGCCATATATTCCTTATCGAAAGCATTTCTTTGATAATCAAGAAGATTGGATGATTTTCTCTTAATTTCATCAACATATCCGAAAAATTGAGAAATAAGTTCATCCATACCTTCAATGTTATTACTCTTTAGTGAATGGAATTGATCAATTGTCAAAAACAATTCAATAAGGGTTTCTATTCTTCTACAGAATAATCTCAATTTACCAAAGATTTTCAATTCATCAAAATCAAATTCTCTTCCCTTAGTTTGTTGAAGCTTAGACTTTTCAGCAAAATAACATCTTTCATATTCTTCTTTCAAGTCAATACAAGTCTTCAAACCTGATAATAATTCAGTAGTGTCTTGATCCCAAAGACGTCCTCTGTTCTCAATGTTATATTTACAGTTTTGAATGATTTGAAGACTGATCATAACCAATAATTTCTCCATCTTTTCCTTTGAACTATAATATTTAGCTATATTATACATCATACTAATATTCTTAATTAAACTTGGTAAGATTTCAATAATATGGGATGGAAGGGAGGAATACAAAGGCTCAATATATTTTTCTAATGATGTTAAATATTTAACATTGTCCTTTGCTTCGTTAATGGCATCTGTTAATGCAATATCACAATCGGCCCATTCTTGTGGCATTGAATACAGTTTCAAAGCGGAAAGAATTGCCTTATATTCTTCTCTCTTTAATTGTTCCATTACACTGTTCAATTTTAAGTATCTATTCTTCCAGTGTTCAATTTCTGCTGTTGGACCTAGTTCGTTATCTGTTAACTTATTGTCTTCAATCACTCTTTGAATCTCTTGAACCCATATCTTTACCAAATTATCGTAATAGTTCATCAGATTAATGTTTTCTTTAGCCTCCATAATTGCTGTTGGATTGTTTGGGATAAGTCTTTCTTGTGGAGGTCTTGTGAGTGTAATTGTTGGTGATTTTGATGTAAGAGCTTCTCCTAGTTTATCCGACATTCTCTTTGTTGTTTGTAAGAACTCTTTTGCTTGTTCTGAAGATGATTTACCCCAATCCATTTCCTCTGCACTGAACAGTGGAATGTAAACTTGGCCAAAGACTGTGTGTAAATTGTCTATCACATTTCCTTCAATAACACCACAAACAAGTGAATCAACAATTTGAGCTTCTTTTGCAGGTACTGCTGCATTATTTCTTCTAAGAATATACAATACTTTTGGTGCCTTGTAAGGAAGATCGCTTGTTGTAGTTTTTAAAGAGAGGATGAATTCCCTGTTTTTTTCCACTACCGAAATCAAAAGAACATGGCATTGTTCATCTCCGTTCATAAAAGTATCGATACTCTTTTCATTTTCCTCTAGAAATTGTTGTATTTGAAGGGCCTTAACCTGAGGGAAGGACTCTTCAACTCTATCAGAAACGTATTTAGCTCGAGTATCCCTTATGACCATTGTTTTATTTTTTTTTAAATTGTAGTTTTTTCTTGTAGGTAATACAACGAAGAATTGGCTGTTTTGGCGCGCAATTCTGCTCAAATTTCTGCTGTAGCTTTCTCACCTGAGACAACCCTTTTGAACTTTATGAGTCAAACAATAACGTGGTTTGATGTGGGTGTATTTCGAATTGTCAGCTTCATCATTTTCTATTTGATTTCAAAGATTAAGGGTGACATCCTTGAAATAAATTATTTCATCATCCAAATATGTCAAAAAGATCCAAGTGTAAATGTTCGTTACCGAATGCATTGATCCGAAATCGTTACGTATTAAAACAAACTGGAAATCAATAATAGAACTGGACTAACCGTTTCTCAATAAAAACTCAACAAAAAAAAATCGTAAATTATTATCTGTAGCATCATTAATGAAAAATGAGCATAACGAGTGATGTGATTGATGCTGAATCTCTCTTATCGGATGAAGTCTTCGAGAATGAAACAATGAAAAGGGAAATAGAAGAGGGCAGATTAATTCCTGACCCTCTTAATGCTTCTCTAATTTCTGACAATCTTATGGACCTTAATAATACTAACAGCACAATTAGAAGACAACACCGTTCATCATCAAGACAAAAATCCTTCAATTCTTCAATTAACCGATCAAGTATATCAAGAGCAGCAACACCTTCTATACACTCATTTCCGAGTAGATTTTCTGTTGAGAGTCCTGTTATTTCGTTTTCAAAAGGAGAACGTAAATACACCTATCTAAATCAAAGAGTTGACACTCCTGGTCCAATATATGAATCCATTCCAAAATCTGTGTCATCAAGCTTCTCCTTCCCAAAAGGAAAGAGATTTGTTGAAGAAGAATTAAAAATACTCCAACAAGCTCAAAAACCTCCTCCAACTGCCTATAATCCAAAAGATCACATCAAGTACAGAACTGATCCATCTTTCAGTTTTGGTTCGAGAACTCCGACCCAAGAATACAGATCAGATTCACCAGGACCAATTTACAATCCAACTGATGTTCCTTCAAAGAGATTTTCAAAATCTTCAACAACATTTGGTGCTGGAGAAAGATCTCTTAAAATGAGTGATGGGCGAAGTGGGTCTCCTCCACCAGGAGCTTATAATCCTTCCTTAATGGATTCTAAAAGGAATATTTCTTTTTCAATTTCAAAGAAAGAAGGTAGGTTTTAAATGAGGTTTAAAACAAAACATTTTTTAGAAAATTATATTTACTTTGGAGATAAATTAAGTGCAAATAAGGAGGTGAGTATTAATTGGAATTTATTTATTAAAGAAAATGAATAGTCAATGAGAGTACCTGGACCAGTTTATGATCCATCCTATCGATTGTCAATTACATCATCACCTTCATTCTCTTTTGGAAGAAGAACACCACTGCCCAGTGATCAAGTACTTCTTGAACATCCTGGGTTAACAGATTACAACAAACAATTCGTTTCTCATTCTTTTTCCCTTCAGGGCAAAGATAGAGAAGTTGACCCAAATATTACATATAATGCTCCAAGAGCAAGATTTTTGGGAGATCAATTTTTGAACGAGAACCTGGGAAGAGCATCTCCAGGACCAAAGTATAATATAACTCAAAGTTTTGTCATTCCATCCAAGAGACATGTTGAGGAAGATCACATCCTGACATTCAAAGCTAAAGAAAAGAAAAAGAAGGACAAACCGATTCCTACACAAGTTTATCCTGGTTATAGTATTTCCAAGGCTTCTGCTCAAATTACTGAAAGTCCTGGGTGTGTTTACACTCCAAAAACAGATTTCTCGTCACGAGTCCCAAGAGTATGCAGCCCTGTAATGAAAGTAGCAAAACCAGTGGATAACAGAAAAGCTCCTGAAATTTATCCTCAATTAAGAAATCCAAATCTTACAGCACTTTCAAATGTCCCAACTTCAACAGTACCAAAGTTCATAAGAACTGGAAATACTGTTGGTGTTAGAACTCCTCCTCTGATTTCCCATTCTCCTGGTCCAGTTTATAAAGTTGACTGGGAATCATTGGAAAAGAATGCAAAGAAAGGTTTACCTGGAGGTAAGTTTGGAGGCCTTTCGTAATAAATTTCTTTTTGATTCTCACTATTATTTTTCTAAAAACATTCCTCTTCGACGAATTAGAATATCAACAACCTAATCTAGAAGGTTATTGGAAATCATATTTAAGGTTGTTCGAAGTGCTTAATAATTTATTGTTACAATTGATACGAATTACCAGATCACACCCTTTCCAAAAATTACAATAAGGCCAACAACAAGAACAGTGAGCAATATTAAACCAAGAATGATCCACATCATTTTTGATCCTGTTTTACGGAGCTTGTTACTCTCTGTTGATCATTCCAATAAAAAATTAAACTTGAACGCAAAAATAAACTTACCTTTGAGACTTTCCACACCTCTTTCCACATTGTCCTTTGATGTAATGACATTGGTGTGAATAGTGTCCAACATTGGATCTTGTTCATCTACAAGACTAGAAAAAGAATGGAACAAGTGATTCAATTCATGATATTCACTTTGATAAGTTTTCAAATCTTCATACTCTTCCAATGCAATTTTCATTTCTACATTCAAAGTGCTATCTTGCCAAGAAACAAGAGCATTTTCTTGTAATTCTTGATCAACAGTAGTTTGCTTTTGTTGAGTAGTGTGCAATAATGGTTGATCTTCAGATTGAATTTCTTCTTCCTCATCAAAGTGATCCATTGGTGTTTGGTGATGGGCAGCAAATTGTTCTTGTTTTTGTTTAGTTTGTTGAGCAATCCATTCCTTATCACGTCTAATAACATCCTTAAGAACAGTGATAGTTTTAGTAAGATCATTCTTTACACGATTATATTTAACCATGGTTTCATGTTGAGTATTCATTGAGGATGAATTAGTTTCAGTGGAAGAACTCAATCCAGATTCCATTAATAATCTGCTTTCATTACCAATCTTTGACCCAATTCTATTGGAAATCTTTTTCAAATCATTAACTTCTGATGTGCACCATTGACGAATTGATCTATTAAATTATTTCAATCATTAATATTCATCATTATTTCAATTAGAATATTGAAAAATTCCATATTTCCTTACCTAATCTTTTTAGTAATATCATTTCCACCAACACGAAGAGAAACATCACCATGATTAAAAGATGAGTCCGATCCTGAATTATTGTATGAAGAAATGGCCACTTGTTGTGCTCTCTGATTCGACAATTGTTTGTATTGTTCCACTTGTTTAGACAAGTTAGTAACTCTCAGAACAAACTCCTCAACCGAGTCATTATTTGAACGTTGGAAGGAGTTGAAGTTTTCATTTTCCTTGCTATTGTTTGTTCCAAGGTTATTGCTGCCTGTTGTGGTGGCGTTTCTTTTTTGTTGATTCAAAGTTTTGGCGCGTTGATTTGTACTTGCTCCAACACTAGGAACATTTCCCCACGATAAAGAAGACATGTTGTAGTTGTGGTTGTTCTTTTCCTATGCACGGATAATGATGATCAAACAATTTCAAAAAGGTGAGATGATGAAGAAACTGTGTCAGTGATCCAAACCGCCAATTTTTTTTTATGAAATGTTGGTGCTGTCAAACGTCATGTCTGGTGACTGGCCTTAAAAAACAAGAATGCAAATAAGAGAAGTGGGCAAATGAAGAAATGATTTGAATGAGGAAAACTAAAGGAAAACCCTTTTATAAAATGATATCATTGATGATAATATTTCGATTAACCCTCTTTCTTAATTAATAAACTTTCCATCCAGAATTTTCAATAATAGAACTAATAAGTTCCACAGCCTAATGGCAGAAAAGTTACTTCACAATTCCTATAAAGATTACAACAAAATCGGATCGTTGTTCACATATTTAAAACTCAAAATATCTTATCTAATTAACTGTGATTGAGTGAAATCAATTCGTATTAATTAAATAAAAATAAATAATTAAAAATGTAAAATATTTAATTAAAATTGTTATTGTTGCTAAATTAAAGTTATTATTAATAATACGAAAGTTGTCATCAAGCTCATTAAATTTTAGAATTTAAATTGTGACTTTTTATTTCCCTTTGATAAGGCACTAATAATTAGAGTGTATCCCTTAGAGAGGTACTATTGAAAACTAAAAGGACATGGTTCAGAGTTGTTTGAAATAAATCTCTCAACTAACTATAAATTTACAAACGAATGCTAGAAGTGAACAAACGAGCCCATGAGTAATCAATGAATTCCTTAGTGTAACCAACACCAACAAGAACTGGTTCCTTATCATAGATGTATGTATTGGCAACACGCTTAACATCATCAACAGTGATGGAATCAATTCTAGCGAACATTTCGGCAGCAGATGGTCTTCTGTTGAACAAGAGGGTTTGTCTACCCACTTCTTCCAAAACATTCTTCAAATTTCCATCATATTGAGATAAAACAGAGAGTTTGAGCAAATTCTTAGCACGTTCCAATTCAGCATTAGTAACCTTATAACAGAGACGAGTCATTTGTCTAATAATTTCAACCATCAAATAATCAGTATCTTCACCACCATCACTGACGAATTTAACACCGAACAATGATGTATCAGAGTATCCGTGGAGGAATGGAAGAACTTGTTGAGCCCATCCTTGTTCTCCGATGTATTGAGCCATATTGGAAGCAGCATATTTACCTGGAGTACCTTGAGAAACATCGAAAGCACCCAAGAGGAATTGAATCAAGTTAATAACAACCATGTCACCAGAGGAGAGACCTGGACCTTGGAAAGCAATAGCACCATGCAAACCGTTAACATCTTCAGTGTCAACTCTAACATCTGAACCAATATATTCTGGAGTAGTTTGGTATTCAGCGAGTGGACGTGGAGTCTTAGTAGCACTTTGTAAATGACCAAAGTTTTGTTCGGCAAGTTTAACAAGAGCTTCATGATCAACATTACCAGTACCAACCAAAACCATTCTTTCAGCTGTATAGAAATCCTTTTGATATTGAATCATTTGTTGACGAGAAAGTTTCTTAATGTTTTCAACAGGACCAAGAATGCTCAATCCAAGTCCTGAATCAGGGAAAGCGGTTCTATGTAATTCATCATAAACACATTCTTCAACACTTTGGCTGACATCCTCAGATTCAAGCAAAATAACACCTCTTTCTTCATTAATATCCTTTTCATCCAATCTGCTATCAAGCAAAATTTCGGACAATGAATTTACACTTCTATCAACGTTATTCTTCAAACATTGTATAGTAAAAGCAGTATATTCACGAGATGTATGAGCGTTCAAGAGAGAACCTGTTCTTTCATGTTCAGCTTCAATAGCAACTTTAGATCTCTTGTTGGTACCCTTGAAGTACATATGTTCCAAAAAGTGAGCAACACCATTGTTGAAAACATTTTCTTGTCTAGAACCAGCACCGATGAAAACACCAACAGCAGAGGTTTCACCAACTTTTGGTTCAGTTACAACTCTGAAACCATTGTTAAGAACAGTAACACGTGAAGCTGGAGCCTTTGTCAATTCATATGGTAAATTATATGATGGTTGAACTGAAGATTGGTCCAAAGCAGCAGACTCACGATTAGCTGATGTTGTAGCGAATCCACGATGATTGAGGATATTCTTCAAAATTTTTGAGTTGTTCTTCTTTGCGAGCTTTGAGAGCATTTTTTTTGCGAGTTTGACGCCTATATTATTTACAATGGCTAAATAGTTGACTCACAGACGCATTAGGTTAAAACTCCTGTTGGAAAGAAAGAAATAACATGAGAAGAAATATTAAATTCTACTTTTTTATATATTTGATTGGTTTTTAAAGATTAAGTATTATATAATAAAGAATATTAAATCTCCGTAATATGTTTTTCATCTAGAAAACATTTACTTCTTCTTCTTCTTTTTCTTAGCTTCTTCTTCGCTGCTTGAATCAGAATCCGATGAAAGATGATGAGGATGAAGAACTTTCATCATCAGATGATTCTTCCTTTCTCTTTCTCTTCTTTTCTTCTTCTTCTTCAGCTTCAACCTTCTTTGGCTTCAAGTCAATCTTCTTGCTCTTTGTTTCAGCAACAGTTTCAATCTTCTTGCTTCCACTCTTTGGCTTGAGTTGATCCATAGCTTCTTGTCTTTCACTCTTCTTTCCGAGAGCAGCGTTAATTTCTGGCTTTTGTAAGAAGAACCACTTATTAGCAGAAACATCACGATAATTGTTCAACCAGACTTCAGGTGTAGATTCAGTTGGTTGACCATACTTATCCAATTTACCTTGTTCAATGAGTTCCTTCTTGAGCTTGGAAACTGGACCCATACCCCAACGTCTTGGATAGGTATTACGATCCATAATAACTCTCTTAGTCTTACAAACAACACCATAATCCATAGATTGAATTTGAATTGAGGTCATGACAGCATAAGCAGTAGCAATAGCTTCACCCTTTGTGGTAATCAAAACAATTTCTTCACCAGTTTCAATAGAATCATCATAACGTAAAACACCAGGAATCATCAATTGAGCACCGAAACAAATTGAGTTAACAGCACTATCCTTAACAATAACACGCTTATAGTTGGTCAACAAAATTTCCAATGGTTTAACAATACGTCTCAAATAAGATTCATCACCCTTGGCCTTCAATTCATGTTGAGCATCCAAAACATCATGCATAGTGTAGAGGAAATCCTTTTCACTCAAAGAACCAGATTGAACTCTTCTCAATTCAAACATAGAACCACCAGTACCCAATAATAAACCTAAATGTTCACACAAGGTTCTGACGTAGGTTCCGGCTTGACATTTAACCCAGAAAACAGCCATTTGACTCTTAGCATCAAATTCGAAAAGTTTAACATCATAAATAGATCTAATACGCAATTGTCTCTTAACAGCAGAAATTTCTGGTGGCATTTGGAAAACAGCACCAGTCAATGTAGTCAATGCTTCTTCAACAGCCTTATATCCTCCTTGAACTTCTCCGTTTAATTTCAAGATAGAAACGTATTGTTTACCAGCACCTTGTTGGGATTTAACCAAACGAGTTGCACGATTCAAACAAACAATCAAACAACCAGTAACTTTAGGATCCAAAGTACCAGAATGGCCAGTCTTTTCAACATCGAGAATTTTCTTAACCCAAGCAACAATTTCGTGGGAAGATGGATTAGCTGGTTTGTCCAAATTGATAACACCATATTTAAGATATTCTTCTAATTTTCTTTTTGTTGGTGTGTTACCAGCTGGAATTGGAGTGTAATGTCCAGTTCTAGCGTTCAATTTATCGAAATTTTTCAACAAGAGTGGGAATTCGCTAGAATCAGTCTTGCTAACATCCAAATTTGTTGGGAGAGTTTTAGATGATGTTTCTTCAGTTGTTGAAGATGATTTTTTATCTTTTTTGCCCATTGTGATACAGTTTAATGATATGTTGTTGGCAATATTTTTTTGTGCAGCAAAAATGAGAGACTTTAATTTTTCGACCAGCGACCAAGCTCATTCTCAATTATTTTGTTGAACAATCACAGCAGCAAGTAAAAGCAACAGGAAGAGTAAATTTTATTAAAACAACTTCAATAAATGCTGTCCAGCAACAATTTTAATAAAATTAAAGGAAATCGAATATTCTTAGTAACTCTTCAAAAGGAATGAACAAAAACAAGAAAGTGTTTATGAATAAATTTAAGCATGTTCATTTAGATAATCAACAAATCCTGTTACAATCTTTTGCTTTGTTTCAGGTGGATGCATTTGACACATTTTGACGAACTGAGTTCTGAGCTTTCTCAATTGTTGCATACCAACTGAGATACCTGGCAATTTCAGTTTATGTTTGGTAATTTGTTCCTTTGAGAGAGCATAACTTGTTGGAAGTGTAATTTCTTCTCCTGGCATATGAAGTGATTTAGAGTCAACTAAAAGTTGAACAATTTCAGTTGTAATCTTATCTAATTCATACATGAGTGTATTTTCGCTCAAGTGTATTGGAAGTGTGGCAGTATTTGGTTTGATTGTCTTCTTTGGTCTCAACATTTCGTCTTCAATTTCTTCGAGTGGTGTTTTTTGGTCTGGTGTCAATCTAAATAATGGACAATCCCATCTTGATTTTTCACTTGGTACTTCCATTCTTTGTAACATTCCAGTAAGAAAATCCTCTTGATATTTTGATGATAATTTATCCTTATTCCAAATAAATGAATGTTCATTGAGATTTACATCACAATATACTACACAATGTGGTGTTCTCAAAGATCTAGCAATACAATAGAGTTCATATCTGAACCCTTTAATATAATTTAAAGAATCAACTATTACTACATCATCCTTTGTCAATGCTCTTTCAACTGCAGCTTTAACTTTTCCTCTCATTTGTTTTTCATTGAATGAATCTTTATAAGCTTGATGAATATCTGTTACAAGCTCTTCATCTCTCACAATAATTACTTGTCCTTTTAAATCTTTTGATGTTTTGAAATGATTGGCAATTTCATCAGCTCTACTACTCTTTCCACTACATGGAATTCCAACTAACATTATAAGTGGCATTTTCCGTACGTAATTATTAATATATTCTTCCTTCCGAAATTAAAAACCGAAACCAAAAAACTCTCTTCAATAAAAACACCTAGTGTTGATTGTTGAATATTTTTTAATGATGAAGAATTTATTAATATTCTTTGATTAATTTTCATAATTGCACCTTTAGTCAATCAAGATAACTACATTGAAATATAATACAATTTATTATACTCAAAATGTAATTCTTCTATTTAATATATTAAAAAGAATAAAAGTTCGAAAGTGGTGAATAGTGAATATTAAAAAAAATGTTTATCAATCAAATTAATCACAATGAAAATAACATTCTAAAAAAACCATCATCACAATTAATGATAATTCTAGGAATTGCATTATTATTTTGTTTAATTGCTACCAATAAATTAGTGTCGGATAAGAATGACTTGCCAAGAATATTGAGATCCTATAATAATCCACAGTATGATGCAATTATTGATGGACCAATCGGAGGAGATGATGAACAGGTTGGAGCTTGTTCATTTCGTTTTTTAATATTTTCATCAGTGGATTCCGAATCTATTGGATTGGGTAATACATTGCAAAGCATTTGGAAATTAAAGAGTAAATTATTTGTGCCATGTGTGGCTGTTATCATGTCATCGAAAGATTCAGAAAAATCAATTGAAAAGAGATTGGATATTATTAATTCATCAGATTTTAAAAAGCATCCAAGTATGATAACAGCTATTGGCATTGGACATAACAATAGAAAGAGAGGATCAACAATTGTTGATGAATTGGGAAATTATTTGAAATCGATACGAGACGACAAGAAATTTATGATTGTTAATGAGGGAAATACTTTTTGTGAAAGGGCAGAATATCATATTATGAATGTTTTAGATGAGGCAAGGAGAAGAAAGATGGATTCCGAATCAATGAATCATCTTGCTTATAAGGTTTCTATGGGAAAATTGAATGGTTTTATTATAACGAGATATATTTTATCAAAATGGGTTGAAACTTCATCAATCAAGAGTTCTGTATTGCTTGACATTTTAGAAAAGAAAAAGGTATTAACCTATCGATTCCAAATCATGCAATCTGTTCAAGAAGACCAACCAAAATGTTTTGAAACATTAGTTGAAAGGGATTCTTCGTTTTCATTTAATTTGGATCAATGTTCAGATTCATTATTTAGTCCCTGTAACAATGAGAAGAAATCGGTAGAATTTTCACATGATGTTGTGAAGGAAACTGTATTCCCATCATCCTCCAAATATTCAATTTCTGATTTTGAAAGAGTAGAATCAATCAAATGTTTGAAAGGAGAAGATTGTAACACTTGTTGCGAAAAGAAAGCAATGAAATGCACTCAAGAATTCTTCCCTTTCATCAATAGATGTGACGAGTTGCAATATCATGATAATTCTTGTGAGTGTGAACGTGAATCTGAGTCAACTTCAATTTCACCATTTTACAAAGGATCAAAATGTGTTATTGCACTTAGAAAAAGCAAGTTTACCTGTGAATCAAAGCCAACAACATCTAGTTTCATTTCTAGGCTTTGTCCATGTTTAAAAGAATAATTTTGGGCATTACACATTAGTCAATGGCAACTAATAGATATCCGAGTTTATATGTAATATTTCCAATTAAAGTTTCAACATAACTAGAAACCGTTCACTGAAACTTTGAATTAAGCAAAAAACAAATATGAGCACAACAACAGCAACTATTGGAGAAACCCCTCAAGTTGGATCTACCACAACTGTTGGTAGTCAACTTCCAAGAACAAGAGTTAATCAACCATTCCTCAAACTATTTCTTAATGTAACCTGGTGGGAACCATTCTTTGAGATGGCAGTTGGAGCCATTATGTTATTGCTTCCATCATCATGGATTGTTCTTACAACATTTATGAGCCAACCCTTACTTGACTCTATTGGTTTCTCTCGTACTGACAATCCAGTAATTCTTGGAGTTATTGCATTATCACAACTTAAGGATTTCATTACATTCATGATTAGAAGCTTTGGATTTATGGTTTTTGTGTTTGGAGTTATTCATCACTTGTTATTGAGAATCTGCTTTAAAGAATTGGCTTTCAATGATCATAAGGTATTAATTGAGAAGGTTCCAATGTTTCAATATATTGTTACTGCATTAGCCCTTGGTGATTTGATACATATTATTTTGGTTTGGAGCCATGCAATGTATTCAACTGCATCAGCTGTAATTAGAAGTGTGGAAGGTGGTATTTCAAAGGAAGTGGAAAATATAGAAGGCTGGTATGGAGTATTATACCTCATTATTCCAACTTTCATATCCATGGCATTATTTGCAATGAGACTTACCTATTTATCATTCTATGCACCTTCTTCAAATTTGAGTGGAGTAAAGTATTCAGAGGTTCAAACAAGAAGAGTTCATGCTGAATAATTATAGACCTTAATAAACAAATTTATCAAAAGATTATGCTCAAGTTTTTCATAATTTTTTTTGGTGAATTTTCTAAAACGAAACAATTTAGCTGACAAATCTTTAAAAGATATTTGTGATAGCATTATTTGTTTATTAAAACAATTCTGTTGATGTCAACTTTGAACCGCCAGTAACACCTTCAATCAAGTGTTTAAGACGAGTCTCCGAAGAACGTGTTGTTGAAATAATTTCTTCTCTGTTAAATCTTTCTACAGGTGTATTTTCCAAGATGTCACTCAACTTTTCTGTAACTCTTTCCAAATCTTCTTGCAAATATTCGAACAAGTTCTTTTCTTGACCATCCTCCAAATAATATCCGTATACATAAGTATATTTCAAATTACCTCTGCATTCAATAAGAGTGTTCACTGCTTTTTGAATGTATTCTACATCAACCCATGAGCTATACTTATTCATTTGTGTCAATTCTCTCATCTTTTCTTCAGTCTTTTCACGTAATTGTCTTTCGAATTTTTGTGACTTGTCGTGGTTGGCATATCTGGTGAAGTAGTGCATATATTTTTCAAGAGCAGTACGAGCTGATTCTCTTTCATCTTCGTGCAACTTCTTCTTCAAATCTTCTGGTTGATACTTGTTACATTTATAATAACCACCAGTTTCACTTCCGTGAGTTGACCAAACATCCATACAAACCCAACAAAATTCGTATTTGCATTGAGAACATGTCATGTGGTTACAACCACCATTCTTTTCAATAGAACGATTACATTTTGGACAATCCTATTTGAAAAAAATATAAGTGAACTTTGTAAAGTTCCTACATACCTTTGTGTTAGCAGTCAACCAAGTTGCTGTTTCTGATTCGTCTTGTTCTTTCTTCTTCCAAGCTTTTAATTGAGCACATGATGCAGGAACGTGAGCTTCACAAGAACACTTGAAACAGAACTTTTGATGACATCCTCCGCATTGAACTGCTTCAACAGTAGTTTCTGGACAATAAACAGCTCTACCACAATCAGCAGTAGGACACCACTTAATTCTTGGATTATCTTCAACAAAACTTCTCACTAAATATTTAGAATATGTCTTGTAACTATCTGCTGGCACCAATTCTTTGACAAGGGCTTCAATAATCAATGTTGTACATCCTCTTTCCAAACAACTTGCTGTGAGACAAGTATTACCATTATTAATACTAGTTATTAAATGTTGACGCCAACAATCTTGACAGAAATAGTGTTTGCAAGCCATTGCTAACATATTTGAACCATCATAGGTATCATAACAAACACTGCATTCATATTCTTTTCCTGGTACTCCTTGATAAACTTTAAAGTCATTGATATTAATGTTGGCTTTCTTTATCACACGGTCCTTATTTTCAAAAAAGTCATTCCAAAGTTTTTCCTTGTTCCAATCATAGCTTCTAAGTAAAATACCACAAGCTCCTACAGGAACACCCAACACAGTAGAAACTTCACTAACAAGTTCTTGTTGTTGTGCCATTAATTGTTCAGGATCAAGAGTGATGAATTGAATTTCCTTTGCAGCCATTGGATTATCTTCGAGAGGATCTGTTGGAGTTAGAATTTCCAAATCATCTTCATCACCATCAAATGGATCATCTTTTGTTGGCATTGGTGAAGCATCCACAAGTTGAGCATATAATTCCTCCCTTGTAACACCCATATCAGCTAATTCTTCTTCTGTAAGTAAATCAATTTCTTCTCTAGTTAGGGTGGTATCTTCACCATCCATAATATCAATATCTTCATCCATATCGGACATTATTTATATTTTAATAATACAAAAGTGATTGGCTTGATGTGCTAAAATAATTACTATCAACAATAAGATTGGTTTTTAAAGCCAAACAGGTGTGTGATCGCAATTTTTTTTAAAAATAAATTTTAAAAATAGTTTGATGTAATTAATTTTTTAATATTAGGGTAAAGTTCTTTTGTTTTGTAAACATATGATGTCTGGCGTTTGTTGGCTTTTCAATCCATTAAAGAACTTTGCTTTCATCTTGTTTTTATTGGTTCATTCTCGTTGTATTATGCAAGTTGAACTCTATCAAATCAAAGTAAAGCAATTTTACAAAATTAAAAGATTCATTTAACATTAGTTAAATCCCAGTTGTGCGATTTCTTTTGTTATTGATAATTATTTATTTGTAGTGTTATTATTGGATCGGAATAGAACACGTGTTTGGCGTAGAAGAAAATAAATCAAAAAATTTGCAGCGAGATCATCATGCCTATGAAAAAGACAAACCACAGGCTGAAGTGGAGTGTGGGAAAATATATTATATTCATAACAATATTAATAGTAGCTTTTTCTATTATAATATCACATCAAGAACAAGTTAATCAAAAGAAAAAATCTAATAATCAAAATTCGGAAGAGGAAGAACCAAAGTTTATAATTTTGAAAGATGGTGATGAATCTGAGCTTGAAAACCTTCCTGAAGAGTTTAAACAAAAAATCAAGGAAGCTTTATTGAAAGTTAAGAGTAATATTAATTTTGAACAAGCTCCCCCAGAATCAAATCCTTTAAATAATAATATGCCTGATCAACAACAGACTAAAACTTCCCAAACAACCAAACCAACACCTCAAGTTGAAGAGACATTGGATACATCAATGTTAAGTGATATTTCTATTCCTTTGGATGAGATAACAATTCCAACAGAATATTCCTCAACATTGGATGAAGAGTTCACTAGAATTAAGAGAATGAAAGAATTAAAACTTGTAACAAGAAGAAAATTCATGTCTAAAAAACTCAATGATTTGAGAAAACAACAAGAAAATGAAATTGATGGAAAGAAGGATTCTACAGAAAAATTATTAGAAGCAAGAATGATTTTGGATCCCGATCTTCCAGAGTATGACAAAGAAGCTGTTGAAAAGGCAATTGGAATTTATCTTTCTGTTGTTAAAGAAGATCCAACAAACCCACTTGTATTGTATAATTTAGGAACAGTATATAAGGTAAGATTTTCTGAGAATATTAATGACTAATTGTTTAATTAGAGTGAAAAATTTGGTGTTAGAGACTTTTCCAAGAGTAAAATGTACTACATTTTGGCAGCTTATTTAGGTAGTCAAATGTCACAATTCGAGGTTGCTCTATTGTATAATAATAACTTGATTTCAAGCAAGGATTTAGAAAATGTGAAAAGTTTAATGATTGAGATATTTGGACCAGTTGAAACAATGAAAAAGCAAGTCAAACTAATTTATGAGAAGATTCCAAAATCTATTGAAAATCCTGAAACATTATCTTTGTTGAATCTTTTCTATAGCTCTTTAGGAGGAAATACTGGAGCAAATATTGCTTTGGGATATAGACATATGTTCGGACATGGCGTACCAAAATCTTGTAAAACAGCTAGCTATTATTATTCGAAAGCAGCTTCTGATGTTATTGTCGAGTTTGAGGATAGCAGAATGCCTCTTATTGATCATGTAAGACTTAATGATGAGAGTGCTATTCAAAATAAGCAATCACAAGAGGATATTATGGAATATTACCAATATTCTGCTAGTAAGGGATCATCTTCATCGATGCTTATTTATGGTTATGCTAATTTATATGGTATAAGAGGTGTCGAGCAAAATGGAGAAGTTGCTAGAAGATTATTTGAACAAGCTGCTGAGGCAGGAGAACACGAGGCTTTTGGCGCTCTTGGTAATATGTTCCTCAAGGGTGCTGAAGGTATTCCAAGAAATAATGAGACAGCTTTCAAGTACTTTAAGAAGGGAGCAGACAAAAAAGATCCATCCTCATTAAATGGGCTTGGAAAGATGTACCTTGAGGGATCAAATGATGAACAAGGAAATATCATTCTTGAAAAGAATTTTGAATTGGCAGCTGGATATTTCAATAAGAGTGCATCATTGGGCAACTCTGAAGCTCATTATAATTTGGGTCTTTTATATTTGGATGGTAAGGGTGTAAAGAAATCATTTAAACAAGCAATGCAACATTTTGCGATTTCAGCTCAACATGGTCAAGTTCTTGCCAAATATCAACTTGCCAATATGTATCTTCATGGATTGGGAACTAATCCAAATTGTGAAATTGCTGTTAAATTCTTAAAATCTGTTGTTGAGAAGGCCTCATGGACTTCAGTAATGGAGAGTGCTTTTGAAAAGTTTGTATCAGGAGAGGATCAACATACTGCTCTTCTACTTTACCAACATGCTGCAGAAATGGGTATTGAAATAGCACAAGCTAACATTGCTTTCATGTATGACAGAGGATATGGATTTGAGGAAATTTCCAGTGGATTATCTGAAGAGGAAAGTGAATTGTTAAAATTCAAGGGAGCTATCAAATGGTATCAACAAGCAGCTGAACAAGGTAATGTTGATGCGTATGTCAAAGTTGGGGATTATTACTATTATGGTTCATCTGCTTTATCATCTTCAAACTCTTCTGTTGGAAGTTTAGAACAATCATACGAAAAGAGTATTTATTTCTATAGAAGAGCTAAGGAATTGAACAATGCTCAAGCAATGTTTAACTTGGGTTATATGCATGAACATGGAAAGGGACTTCCACAAGATTTCCATTTGGCTAAAAGATATTACGACATGGCATCTGATGCTGATCCAGTAGCTTATGTTCCAGTTATTTTGGCCTTGGGTAAATTATATGGTCATTGGGGATTTTATTTAGTTAAAGATTATGTAACAAATATTTTCAATGAAATGCCAAGTAGTGAAATAGATGAAACCTCAAACTCTGATATTTCAACTTGGTTGGTCAATCTCATAATTGAACATGAGGATTACTTTTTGGCTATTCTAATTGGTGGTCTAGCCCTACTTATTTTTGTCAGACATGTAGTGAATAGTCAAGCTAATGCAAGACCAAGAAGACGTAGAGTAGTCACTACCACTGAAAACACTCAACAAGAAGATAACGTTAGAAACCAACAACCAGAAGAGCAAGAAGAACACAATCAGCACGAACACCAAGAATAAATATTTGGCGCCTTTTTTAAACTACAATACAACACCACAAACGCAAAAAAAATGAGAGAAGATACAACTGAGAATTACAGTGAGGATGCCTTTATTGGTCATACATCGCTGTCAAATCTTCATCTTGTACTTCAAAATATATTTCTTCCATTCTTATCAGATCAAAACGGACAAGAGGATGAAAATAATAATACAAACAATCAAAAATATGGTGAAACCTTACAAAATATACATACCCTAAATTCTGATTTCATATCACATTTGAAAAAGTTTAGTGGACAAGTTGGATATACAGTTAAACAACTCTCTGGAGAAGTATTGATTGATTTACCGGAAGTGCATTTGGATGATCCCAAGACAGCAGCAGAGGATGAACATGTAAGTTTTTTATTTGATACTTGATGAGCTAATTATTAATACAATTAGATTGTTCAAAAATTGGAAGCATGCCTTAGTAGTTGGACTCAATCTATTAACTCCCTTTTAGAAAAGGTTGTGAATCAAGAAAGAGAAGGAGAGGTAAGCATTATTTGAAATTAAAATTCTAAAAAAATGATTTAAAAAGGGACCTCTCTCCGAAATTGATTATTGGAGAACAAGACACGCTTCACTAGGAACAATTTGGGAATCACTAAATAGTAAAACTGTAAAGAATGCTATAGAAGTGCTCCGAATTTATGATGCACAATTATTACCTGGTTTTGATGACCAATTTCAAGAATTAACTAAATTATACATGGAAGCAAAGGAAAATGTAAAGTTTTTACAAACTCTTGAACGTCACTTTAAAAACATTTCACAAGCAAGAGGTTCATTAACACCAATTTCCGATACACTTCCTTCTATGATGAATGCCATCAGAATGGTTTGGGTAATTAGTAGATATTATAATACAGACAAGAGAATGATACCTCTTATGGAATTAATTGCTCAAGAAATTTGCTTGAAAGTATCACAATATATTAACCTAGAGACTAGTTTAGATGTAAATAATATTTTTAATAATCCGTACAAGTTAGCAGAAAGACTTCAAGAGGGAGCTGAAGTTTTACAAAAATGGAAAACTGTATGTTTAAAAATTTAAATTTATTTATTAATATTGCTCTAGACCTACTTCCATGTAAGAGAAAAAATAGAAAATACAAGTAAGGATGAACGTTGGCATTTTGAAAAGGACTCACTTTTTGAACAATCTGATTACATGTCAGAAAGATGTTACGAGTTGAAAGAATTAGCAATTTTTATTGGAAGATATAAATCATTTTTAGGTCCAGAATTGAGAAGTATGTTTTTAATTCTATCATTTTTTTAAATTTTATTTTAATCCATTAGATATTACTGGTGAAAGTGGTATTGATGAAATTTTGGATAGATTGAAAGATCTTGTTACACCATTCCAACAAAATGCTAATTTAATTTTTAATAGAAATGCACAAATGAAGTGGATTGAAATATTTAAACAATTTAAAGAAAATTCAGAGGAAATTAAAATACAAACCAACTCATTTATTGATAAGAGTTTCAAGAAATTGAGATCAGCAGAGGGTGCCTTTAGGCTTTTACAAGATGTTAGAAAGATTCACAGCCAAGACAAAGACTCTATAAATCAAAAGATGATGCTCAAGTCGATAGATATTCTTGAAAGATATGGAGAAGAAGTTGATAATATTTATCAAATTTTCAACAATGAAAAATCTAATCCACCAAGAACAAAGAATATGCCACCAGTATCTGGAGCTATTTATTGGTCTCATTCACTCTTTGAAAGAATTAGAAAACCAATGATTTTGTTCAAGGAGGCTCCAGATATGTTGGATACAGATGAAGGAAAGAAGATTCAAAATAAGAGTTTTACAGTAGCTAAAGAAATTCTAGAATTTGAAGAAACTAAATTTAAGGAATGGAAATCAACAGTGACGGAAGATACTATTAAATACTTGAAAGGCAATATTTTAATGAAAGATGGTAATAAGATTGTTGTGAACTTCCATGCTAAACTTTTATTATTAATTCAAGAAACCAGATATCTTGATAAACTAGGTAAAAAAGTCCCAGAAATTGCTTTGAATGTAACTTTGCAAGAAGAAAAGTACCACAAGTACATTGAAAATCTCAGAGGAATGATAGAAAATTTCACTCAATCAAAGGATTCATTAGATAAGGCTGAAGAAAAGGTTCTTGCTCCTTTGATTAATAGATTGAAGAAAATATTAGAACCTGGATTTTCTGTTCTGAATTGGAACTCATTAGGTATTGATGAGTTTATCAAAAGATGTAACACGGAAATCTCAGATTTTCAATCAATTGTGCAGAAAATGCAAAGAAACGCATCTGTAATCCGATCCTTAATCCAACAACTCAAGAGTCCTTTTGCTACAAAACTGGACTTGAATGGAGAAATGATCACTTTACCAGAATTGGTTGAAACTATCGAAAGAAATGTTCAACAAAAAAGTGTCAGTCTTGCCAAGAAATACAAAACTATTGGTCAAACTTTATTGAAGATGGAAGGAGACCTCATCAATAGTAATGTTATAGAGAGTGAAAGTAAATCAGCAACAGGAAGAGAAAAGCTTTTACAGGGCTATTATGCCTATTGGGAAAAGAGAATTTTTAAAGCTCTTGTAAAGAATGTATCCTCAAGTATTGATGAATTGATGGATTTCCTGTACTTGAGTAAAAAGAAGAAGAATATCCCAATTAAGAAGAATCCTCTTCTCAAAGTTAACGTTTCATTGTATCACAAAGCTATTGCAACATCACCAGATTTGGATGATATTTCAGATATGTTGGATAAGATTGTTAATAGCCCTATCAATGCTACTAAACATTTCGTGAGATGGTACAGTGGTACCTGCCATGAAATTACAAACATTGAAGTCAAAACAGAGAGGGATGACCAAATTGATATTCCTTCGATTATTGCTAATCACTTCTCTTTCTTCAATGAAATTCTTCAAATTCCTTTAATTACCAAGAAAGTTTTACTTTTAAATAATGGTATCCAGAAAACTTTAACTAATGTACAAAGATTTGTAAATACCTACACCAAATACCAAGAGTATTGGAAGACACCAAAAGAAATGGCTATGGAAAAGTTTGGTAGTAAAGACCCTTCATGGGATGCCTATTACAGAAAATTGGAAGACTATCATAGATTGTTAGAAGATATTAATTCTCATACAAAACCAATCAAGGATTTAGAATTTATTAGAATAGATTCAACATCATTTATAAAATCCTTCACAGATGAATTGAGAAAATGGATTGAAGCAATGTCCAAATTATTAAATAGCAATATTGAACCTAAAGCCAAGGAATTAAATGCTAAAATTGATAGCTTCAAGGAGGGGTTAACAATTGAAATCAAGGAACTTGATGATTTGAGAAAGGTACTTTCAGTAATTGATGAAGGTAGATCTAGCTCTGCTGATATAGAACGAGAATATAGAGAAGTTGAGGATGTTTACCATACTATGATTTCTTATGGTGTTAAAATTCCAACTGAAGAAATGGAACTTGTTAATGGACTGAGATCAAAATGGGAAAATTTAATGGTAGCCTCAAAGGAAATGGAAATTGAATTGATTCCACAAAAAGAAAGATTCACTTCTGAGACACAAAAGAGAGTTTCTCAATTCCAAATTGAAGTTACTAAATTGAAGGACGAATTTGATAAAGGTCCAGGTAATCCATCAGTACAATTGGAAGAAGGTCTCGAACAAATGGAGTCACTTAAAGGTGCTATGGAAGAAAAGAAAAAGACCAGAGATTACCTTGTTCAATCAGAAAAATTATTCGACCTACCAATTACTCCTTATCCAGATTTTGTGCAACTCGAAAAGAAGATGGCCAAGTTTGGTAAGATTTTCGAAATATTTGGAGATTGGCAAAAGAAGCTTACCAAATGGTCTAGAACTCTTTGGGTTGAAGCTCCTATTGAAGAAATGACCAAAGAAACCTCACGATTCTCCCAAATGTTGATTAGTAAGAAGGAATTCCCTCAAGAGCTTCAAGAATTACCTGCTCACAAGACATTTAAGAGTAAGGTTAAACATTTCCAAAAGACCATTGAATTACTTTCATGTCTTAAGAGTGAAGCATTGAGAGAGAGACATTGGGAGCAATTGATGAAAGCTACAGGTAAAAACTTTGATATCAATCCATCAACATTCACATTGAAAAATTTGATTGATATGAACTTGTATGAACACGAAAATAGTATTAATGAAATCACAGAATCTGCCAATAAGGAACTTGATGTTGAAAATACAATTAAGAAGGTTGCTGAGGTTTGGAGAAATAGAAAATTCGATCTCAAGAAGCACATTAGAGATGGTGAAGATAGAGGTTTTGTTTTGACCGGTATTGATAGTGTAAAAGAACAATTGGAAGAAGATACTGCCAACTTGGCTGCCATTTCTGGTACTCAACATTCTGTACCTTTTGCTGCTGAACTTAGCAAATGGGAAGGATATCTTTCTAAGATTGATGAAGTTACTACTCTTTGGGTAGATGTTCAAAGAACCTGGATGTACCTTGAAATCATTTTTATTGGTTCAGAAGATATTAAGGATCAATTACCAGAACAAGCAAAAGCCTTTAAGAAGATCGATACTGATTGGGCTAAAACTATGGCTGAAACAGCCAAGAATAGAAATGTGTTGGAGAATTGTTGCCAAGGAGGTGACAAACTTTCCCTCATGTCTAGTCTACAAATAAGACTCAACGAATGCCAAAAGGGTTTAAACAATTATTTGCAATCAAAGAGAAACGCCTTCCCAAGATTCTTCTTCATTTCAGACAATGAGTTGCTAAGTATTCTTGGTTCTTCTGATTTGAATACTATCCAAAAGAGTATTGGTAACTTATTTGAAAACTGTGGTAGTCTTATTATCAAACCAAACACTAATTTAGTTTTAGGTATGGTTTCCAAAGAAGGAGAAGAATACACATTCGATAAACCTGTAAGAGCTGAAGGATTTATTGAAAAATGGTTAACTGCTGTTCAAAGTGAAATGAGAAAGACACTCAAAATTATTATGAAAAAATCCGTCTACGCTTATCCATCTGTTCCTAGAATTGATTGGATCAAAGAGAATCTAGGAATGGTCACTTTGTGTGGCTCTCAAATTTGGTGGACTTGGGAAGTTGAGGATTCCTTTAGAAGAGTTAAAAATGGTGAAAAGATGGCTGTTAAAAATTTGGCTGTTTTACTCACTCAAAGATTGAACGCTTTGGTTGATGAAGTTAGAACACCTCTTAATTCTCAAGTTAGAAAAAAGATTACCACCATGATTATTATCGATGTTCATGCCAGAGATATTGTAGACAGATTGGTAAGAGACAGTATTTTGGACGAAAGAGAATTCGATTGGGAAAGTCAATTGAGATTCTATTGGGACAAATCTGCTAACGATGTTAAAATTAGACAATGTACTGGTGAATTTGACTATGGTTATGAATATATGGGTCTTAATGGTAGACTTGTTATTACTCCATTGACTGATAGATGTTTCATGACTTTAACTCAAGCTCTTACATTTAATTTGGGTGGTTCTCCATCTGGTCCTGCAGGTACAGGTAAAACAGAAAGTGTTAAAGATTTGGCCAAGAGTTTGGCTCTTATTTGTATTGTTTTTAACTGTGGTGAAGGTCTTGACTACAAGGCTATGTATATGAATTTTTCAGGTTTGTGTCAAACTGGTGCTTGGGGATGTTTTGATGAGTTCAACAGAATTGAATTACCTGTCCTTTCTGTCGTTTCTACTCAAATCAGAGAAATTCAAAGCGCTCTTAAGGCAGCAAAGGATGAATTTAGATTTGAAGAAGAAGATATCAAACTCGATAGAAAGCTTGGTATCTTTATTACTATGAATCCAGGTTATGCTGGAAGAGTAGAATTACCTGACAATCTCAAAGCATTGTTCAGACCATGTGTCATGGTAGTGCCTGATTTGGAAATTATTTGTGAAATCATGTTGTTCTCTGAAGGTTTCAACTCTGCCAGAGTTTTGGCTAGAAAGATGACAAAACTTTATCACTTAGCCTCTGGACAACTTTCAAAACAACACCACTACGATTGGGGTCTCAGACCACTCAAATCAGTCTTAGTTTTTGCCGGTAGATTAAAGAGAGAAAATCCAGAAAAGAGAGAGGATGAACTTTTAATGAGAGCTTTGCATGACATGAATGCTCCAAAGTTTGTTTATGAAGATACGCCACTCTTCCACGATTTATTGAATGATCTTTTCGTAAATATTTCATATGAAAGACTCACTTATCCAAAACTTTACAAGGCTGTAGAAGAATCATTACAAGAAAAAGAAATGAAGTTACTTGAAGATGGTAGTCAAGTCGATAAGGTTATTCAAGTTTATGAAACCCTTGAAACTCGTCACTCTGTCATGATTGTTGGTGAAACTCAAGGAGGAAAAACAGTTGTTTTCAATGCTCTATGCTCAGCATTGAAGAAGGCTTTCAACTTTAACGTTAAACAATTGGTAATGAATCCAAAAGCTCAAGGTTTGGCAGAATTGCATGGCGTGCTTAATAAGGATACCAGAGATTGGACTTATGGTTTACTTTCATACTACTTTAAGGAACTTAACCAACCTTGTGAAAAGGGTAATGAAAGAAGATATCTTGTTTTTGATGGTGATGTAGATGCTGAATGGATAGAAAATATGAACTCTGTCATGGATGATAACAAGATTTTGACTTTACCAAATGGTGAAAGAATTACTCTTCTCAACCCTCTCTGTTCATTAATGTTTGAAGTTGGTAACTTGAAACAAGCTTCTCCTGCCACTGTCAGTAGATGTGGTATGGTCTATGTAGATCCTAAGAATCTTGGTTTTGAACCATTTATTTGGACTTGGTTAAATCACAAGCTCAAGAAGGATCACCCAGAGAAAGTTGAAGTAATGCAACGTTTATTCGAAAAATATGAAAAGTCTTGTGTTGACTATGTATTGAAAGGTATTGATCTTGATGGTTCATTTGTTGAGAGACTCAAATTGAACGTTGTTATGAATTCTGTCAGTTTGGTATCACAACATTGTAATATGCTTGACGTAATATTTGCTGATCCAGAACAAAATACTGAAGATGAAAGAGAATTAGAGTGCCTCTTTGTTTTCTCTCTTATTTGGTCTGTTGGCGCTGTTGTTGTGGATAACGATAGAAAACGTTTTGATGACTTTATTAAGAAACTCACAAAGTGGAAATCTGTAGATAATGGTGAAAGCTTGACTGACCATTTTGTTGGTGTTGGTTGTTGTCCTTCAAGATTGACACTTTATGAATATTTCTTTGATATTAATAATCACCAATGGAAACCTTGGAAGGTTGCTGTCCCACTTTACACTCCTCCAGCTAATGGAAGATTCTCTAGTATTATTGTTCCAACTGTTGATACAGTTAGATATACTCATTTATTGAGTTCATTTGTATCACTTGGTAAGCCAGTACTCTTTGTAGGCTCTTCAGGTACTGCCAAGTCAGTCATGATCAAGAACTTTGTTAAAGACTTGACAGACAAGAATGAGAAAATGACTAATTTATCTATTAACTTTTCTAGTAGAACATCTAGTTTGGATTTGCAAAGAACCATCGAAGACAATATTGAAAAGAGAGTTGGTGATAACTACGGACCTTTACAACAAAAGAAGATGATAGTCTTTATTGATGATATGAACATGCCAAACTTTGACAAATATGGTACCCAACAACCTATTGCTTTATTGAAATTGATGTTAGAAAAGCAAGGTTTCTATGAACGTAAAACTACCAATCTGGCCTTTATGAGATTACTTGATATGCAATACGTTGCTGCCATGCAACCAACATTTGGCAGTAATGCTATGGATCCAAGAATTGTTTCTAAATTCAATGTGCTTAATATTTCTTTCCCATCTGATGATTCTATTGACCATATTTATAGTTCCATTTTAAGTCATCATCTTACAAACTTCTCTCAAGAAATTCAAGATGTTAGTTCAAAGATAACCAAGTCAACTATTAGATTGTACAAGTATCTTGTAAATTCACTTCCTCCAACTCCTTCCAAATTCCACTACCTCTTCAACTTGAGAGATTTGAGCAGAATTTATGAAGGTTTATGTTTATCTACTATTGATAAGCAAAACGAGGCTGCAAAGTTTATTAGATTGTGGAGAAATGAACTTTTGAGAGTTTTCCATGATAGACTTATCTCAGTAGCAGATAAAACTCTCACCATCAATGCTATTGAAGATGAAATCAAGACTGTTTTCCATAGTCACTCAGAATATGTTCTCAGAAATCCAATTGTTTATGGCGATTTCCTTGACTTCCAAGATCCAAATAATCCAAGATTATACGAAGATTTAACGGATTATGATAGAGTTAAGCCTGTTATTGAAGATGCCATCAATATTTACAATGAAAGACCAGGTATTAAGAAATTAGATCTTGTAATGTTCGAAGATGCATTGGAGCATTTAACTAGACTTTTGAGAATTGTTAGAATGGATAGAGGTAATGCTCTCCTTATTGGTGTTGGTGGTTCTGGTAAACAAAGTTTAACTAGACTAGCATCTTTTGTTGCTGGATATGAGTTATACGAAATCAAACTCTCAAGAGGTTATAATGAAAATCAATTCCGTGAAGATTTGAAGAATTTGTACAGAAAACTTGGTGTAGAAGATAAGAAAGTATTGTTCTTGTTTACTGATGCCCATGTTGTAGAAGAAGGATTTTTGGAATTCATCAATAATATGCTTTCATCAGGTGTTGTTCCTGCATTATTCGAAGATAATGAAAAGGATGAACTCTACAACGCAGTATCTAAGGAAATTAAGACGACTAACATTGTTCCAAATAAGGAAAATATGTGGAACTTCTTTATTAACAAATGTAGAAATAATTTACACATTGTCCTTTCAATGACACCTACAGGTAGTACCCTCAGAGTTAGATGCAGAAACTTCCCAAGTTTAGTTAGTAGTACTACTATTGACTGGTTCACTTCTTGGCCTTCCCAAGCTCTCAAAGAAGTTGCTAACCAATTCTTGTCAGATGATTCAGTTCCGCAAGAATTGTTGCAATCTATCAATACTCATATGATTTTCGTACATCAAAGTGTTGAGAAATATAGTAATAGATTTGCTCTCGAATACAGACGTTATAACTATGTTACACCAAAGAATTATCTTGATTACATCAATACTTACAAGAGATTACTCAATGAAAATAGAAGTAAGATTGATGAAATGATCAAGAGACTTGATGGTGGTTTGAAGAAACTAAGAGAAGGTAAAGATGAAGTTGAAGAAAGAAAGAAGGAATTATCTGAAGCCTCTGAAATTCTCCAAACAAAGTCTGTTGAAAACCAACAGCTTCTTCAAGTTATTAGTGAAAGACTTACAGAAGCCTCAGAACAAAGTAAACTCCAACAAGAAAGAGAAGAAGAAATTAAGAAGGAACTTGAAAACATTCAAAAGCAAAAGATTGAAGAAGAAGAGAAGTTAGCTGTAGCTGAACCCGCTGTTAGAGCTGCAGAAGAATCTTTGAAGAAACTTGACAGAAATGCTATTACAGAAATGAAGTCATTTGCCAGTCCTTCCCAAGTCATTCAAGATGTTGGTGCTTGTATTTATATCCTCTTAGAAGATGATTCTCCATCACAAATTACTTGGTCTAATGTTAAGTCTATCATGACTGAAGCCTTCTTTAACAGATTGGTTACCTATGAAAAGTCAAGACTTACATCTAATAAGATTAACAAAATTGAAACTATTTACAGAAAGAACGGTGATGCCATGAAACCTGAAGAAATTGCTAAAGTTTCAAGTACATTGGCTGAAATTATTAAGTGGGTTAACTCAATGAGAGAATACTTTAATGCTATGAGGGTCGTCAAACCAATCAGAAAGAAGAAGGAAGAAGCCGAAAGAAAGCTTGCCTCATTCACAGAACAATTAGCAACCATCAAATCAAAGCTCATTAAGTTAAAAGAGGATATTGCTGAATACAAGGTAAAATATCAAAGAGGTCAAGAAGAAGAAAAGAGTTTGATTGAAAAGAAATTAAGTATGGAAGCTAAACTTACAGCTGCCAACAAACTTATTGAAGGTTTAGGCTCGGAAAGAGAAAGATGGGCTCAACAAATTCAAGAACTTGCAGAAAAGAAGAATAGATTAATTGGTGATTGTTTAATTTGTTCAGCATTTTTGAGTTACACTGGTGCCTTCACTGTTGACTTTAGAAAGGAAATGATTCAAGAATGGATCAATGAAATGAAGGAAACAGAAATTCCACTTACATTCCCATTCGATATTGAAGATATTCTTACTGACGATGTTCAAAAGAGTCAATGGGCATATGAAGGATTACCTTCTGATAAGATTTCTACTCAAAATGGTGTTCTCACAACCCACGCTTCAAGATTCCCTCTTTGTATTGACCCTCAACTTCAAGCTGTTAAATGGATCAAGAACAAGGAAAAGAACATTAGAGTTTGCTCTTTTAGTGATTCTGACTTTATGAGAAAGATTGAAAATGCTATGAAATATGGAGAAACTGTACTTTTTGAAAATGTTGATGAAGTTATTGATCCAATGATAGATCCTGTTTTGGATATGGAAATTAAGGGAAAGAAGAGAATTGTTAGAATGGGTGGTGATGAAATTGATGTTGATCCGAAATTCAAACTCTACATGTGTACCAGAATTTCCAATCCTCATTACACTCCTGAAATTGCCAGTAAGACAATTATTATCAACTACAGTGTTACTGAAGAAGGTTTAGAAGAACAATTATTGAATATTGTAGTCAATCATGAAAGACCAGAACTTGAAGAAGCAAGAAGAGAATTGGTTCAAACAATGTCTGAAAGCAAGACTTTACTTCAACAATTGGAAGCAAAAATTTTGAAGGAATTGAACTCTACAGGAGGTGGTTCCCTTATTGATAATGTTGAATTGATTCATACTTTAGAAGAAACTAGAAACAAAGTACGTGAAATCAACACAAAGATCATTCAGACAAAGCAAAACGAGAAAGAAAACTTTAAGGCTAGACAAGGCTATAGACCTGCTGCAAAGAGAGGTACTATTCTCTACTTTGTCATGTCCAGTTTATCAAATATTAACTCTATGTATGAATATTCATTATCTTCATTCTCACAAGACGTCTTTGAAACTTCATTGTCAAGAAGTCAACCTTCAAGAATGTTAGAAGGTAGATTGGATAATATTGTTGACTACTTGACCAAGTCAGCATATAGTTATACATGTGCTGGTTTGTTTGGTGTGCACAAACTTTCATTCTCTCTCCAAATTGTTCTCAAGATTATGGATAGTGAAACTAGACTTAATCAAGCTGAACTTGATTTCTTCCTCAAGGGTGATCTAACAATTGGTCTTGAAACTCCAAATCCATGTGAATGGTTATCTGAAAGCAGTTGGAAAGATTTGTTAGCCCTTTCAAAGATTTGCGAAAACTTAAAGGGATTATCTGAAGACGTTACCAATAATTCTTTATGGAAAGAATGGTATGACCATGCTGAGCCAGAAGCTTTACCTCTTCCAAACGAAAAATATCAAAGTGTTGTTACTCCATTCCAACAAATGTGTATTCTTCGTTGTTTGAGACCTGACAGAATTGTAGTTTCTGCAACCAAGTTTATTGCAGATGAGATGAAGAATGAATATTTTGTCAAACCACCTGTTCTCACTTTTGAAAATATCTTTAGTCAAAGTTCCAAGCTTTCACCAATTGTTTGCATGATCAGTCCTGGTTATGACCCAGCAAATGACATTATCAAACTTTCAAATGAACTTGATAAGAGAGTCAAGTATATTTCTCTTGGTGAAGGTCAAGGTGAAAAAGCCCTTGCTTTGCTTGAAAAAGGTATTTCTAAAGGCATGTGGGTTCTTCTTCAAAATTGTCATTTGTTGGTTGATTGGATGAAGAATGTTGAACACATTTTAGAAAAACTTGAAAAGGATAAGGTTCATGATGAATTTAGACTCTGGTTAACAACTGAAGTTACTCCAAAATTCCCTATTGGTATTCTTCAACGTTCTCTTAAGGTTGTCACAGAGCCTCCAAACTCTTTGCAACTTAACATGAAATCAACATTTTCTAATATTTCTGATCCAGAGTTAGATGAATGTCACCACAAATCTTTCAGACCATTAGTTTATGTTCTGTCTTATTTCCATGCTGTTATCCAAGAAAGAAGAAAGTATGGTAAAATTGGTTGGAATATTCCATATGATTTCAACAAGTCTGATTTTGATGTCAGCTTCAGTCTTATTAGAACATATTTGAATAAGGCATCAATGTATAATGATCCAATTCCATGGGACAGTCTCAAGTACCTTGTTGGTGAAGCTATGTATGGTGGTAGAGTTACAGACAAGTTTGACAGAAGAGTTCTTACTACATATCTCAATGAATTTATGGGTGACTTCTTGTTTGATACCTTCCAACCTTTCCGTTTCTACGAAGATGAAAGTGTTTGTTATGAGTTACCACCAATGGAAAGAGAAAAGCTTATCGGAAAACAAAATATGATTGTTCCACTTGCTGTAGAAGATTTCTCTGAATTTATTGAGAGGAACGTTAAGCTTACAAACTCTCCAAGCGTTTTTGGTTTGCATCCTAATGCAGAAATTGGTTACTTGACCAATTCTACATCTAATTTGTGGAGTGATCTCATATCTTTACAAATTGGTGTATCTTCTCATGGTGGTAAAGGAACTGGTGATGAATATATCAAATCAGCCCTCAGCATTATCCCAGAACCATTTGATAAGGAAGAAATTCAATCAAAGATTCTTCAAAAGTCAAGCAAGCTCACTCCAATTAATGTAGTCTTACTTCAAGAAATTGATAGATGGAATGCTCTAGTAGCAGTTATGAAGAGATCATTAATTGATTTGCAAAAGGCTTTGGCTGGTGAAATTGGTATGAGTGAAGAACTTGAAAATTTGAGTAATTCCATTAATATTGGTATAGTTCCTCAACTCTGGAAGCAAATGGCACCACCAACAAGATTGAATTTATCTTCATGGTTAGAACATTTCAAGGAAAGATATAGTCAATATGTTGATTGGATTAAGTATGGTGAAGATCCTGTTGTTATTTGGTTGAGTGGTTTGCATGAACCAGTTTCCTACATCACTGCTCTTATTCAAATGACATGTAAGAAATACAAATGGCCTCTCGATCGTACAACTATTACAACTAGAGTTACAGAGTACAGAGCCTCACATCAAGTCAAAGAAAAGCCTCAAGATGGTTGTTATGTGCGAGGTTTATTCTTGGAAGGAGCTGCTTGGGACTTGAAGAATAGATGTCTTAAAACACAAAATCCAAAACAATTGAGAGAAGAACTTCCTATTCTTGAAATTATTCCAACAGAAAACTCCAAAGTCAAATTACAAAATACTTTCAATGCACCTGTTTATTATACTCCAGATAGAAATGATGGTGGTAATAAGGGATTGGTATTTGAAGCTAATCTCCAAACTGATGAACACGAAAGTATTTGGACCTTACAAGGTGTTGCAGTAACAATGACTTAAATAAACAAATAATTTCATTAATTCATACTCCTATTAAAAATCATATTATTACACTCTATACCAATAGTTTTCACAAAATTGTTTCGAATAGTGTAGATATATCCTGTGGGCAACAATCTTTTCGGCAAGTGCTGATTTCTTTCCTTTAGACTTGATTCTCAAACTTTTGCAAATTTCGACCAATTCCTCTTTCCTCTTCTTGATCAATTCTACTGTTTCTTCTGACATTCGTTTTTTTTATTGTTAAAAATTTTTTTAATAGTTTTGCTTCAAATAGAAATTGGGAACTTGTAAAGTTATTTTTAAAGAATTAAGGCATTGACAACGTAAAATTTGAAAAAAAAATGTGGAAGGCCCCGACGCAAACGTTTGTTAAATCAAACTCTTACGGCCTTTTCTTTTTGCCAACAAAAGTCAGATTTAACCAAGTTAATCTTAGGGTTGTTAAACAAACAAATAACGTTAACTATCCCCAACCTCTAAGCTTTACGAACAATATGACATTTCCCAACAAACAATATTTTGAAGGCGAGGATTTGATGAATATGATGGATCAGGTTGCAAGGAAGATGAAGGATGTTACTGAAAAGCCTAAATGTAAACAAGTGTTGAATACCTATCGCACAGAGAGCCACGTACAAATATACAGATTTCTAGCCTCTGTTATGAATCAACTCCAACACAATGAGTACAAAGATTGTAGAGGTCTAAATTCCCACACACTCATTGGACGAAGAGGAATTGGAAAAACAGCAACTCTCACCAATATATCTTTAGCCGGTCAATTATTGTTTCCAAAAATTATTCCTATTTACATTTCGTATTTGGGTATTCAGAATGATCCGTTCCTTCAACAACACACAGTCATGGAAGTTGTGGAAATGGTTCTAAATGAGCAGGGTATTCCAGTAGACACACTTGGAGGAAGATTTGTGAACATTATGGAAGCACTTTTTGAAGTAGATAAGCACGTTTTACTTATTGTGGATGAAATTGATCAATTGTATCAAGTTTGCCCAAATGGCTGGAGTGACACTTTGATTAAATCTTTGGGAGAACTTGCATCTATTGGTGATAATGATAGTGGAAGGTTTTCAGCAATTCTTTGTGGCTCCTCTTCAAGAATTTCTTTACTTGTCAATGCCAATGGTAAGAAGGATGAAGTTACAGTGAAAGAGTTTCCTCTTGTTGCCAGCTCACCAAATTTGAATGGAAACAAGTTTAGAATAAGACGAATCCTTACGAATCCCCCAACTGACATTACAGTTGCTGCTCATATCTTAGAATCTGGACTGGTCAATACAAAAAACAAGGCTATGTGTAAAGCTGTTACCTTTATTACTGGAGGTGTTACAAGAGAAATTCAGAGATTACAGTTTGAAAGAAGAGATGAGACATTCTTCACCTCTCTCCATGTAGAATCTAATCCTAAAGCTTTGGCTACATTATCCTCACCTGCAGGAGAAATTTGGAACAACATTTTAGCTTTGCTATTCGAAAAAAACAAAGAATTACTTGAACAATTAGTAGATAAGGATGGGCTTACTGATATGGAAAAAGTAAAGAGTGTAAATTGGGAATACCTGTTCAAGCCTTTAAGTTATACTGAACTCAAAGAAAAGATGGGTTCTGTAACCAATTTAGACCATTGGATTTTCCATTTGTTTGACAGAGATTATATTACTGTTTGTGAGATCAATAATGGAAGACCAGATGAAATTTACCCATACTCACTATATATGCTTTTGAGAAGTGGAATGACAGCAAGTACCAAAAGAGATGATGCTAAACAAATATCTGCTTTTTTTAGAGGCATTATTTGTGAAATTTCTTCAAGCATCAAGGATCCTAAAAAGATGGGGGGTGTTGTTTTTAATTGGAGCTTTCGTGGGATAATTGGTTCGGCAGTAAATTCGTTATGAGCATTCTATTTCCAAATATTTTTAATCACCAACCCTAAAGAGAGATTCTAATTCCAATAAGAAATCTAGCTCACAAGTTGATGAAATTTCTGCAAGACCTCCAATTAGAAGATCTAAAGTACCAATTCATTACAGTAATAAGGAAAGAACAACAAAACATCCATCTTCACATACCTTGAAAAAGATTGAGATTGAAGATCATTGTAAGTTTTACAACATATATCGAATTTGTTGTGAACTTTATTGAAAGGTCCAAAATGTGAAAAGAAGATTGAAAAATCTGCATTTGAGTATCATGTAAGAAGATGTAATTCCTCTAAAAATCAACCTAGAAAGTCATCTCTTGATTCAAACTGGAAATCTAAACATGGATTTTGTTTATCAAGAATAAGAAACAAAAGATTTCTAGTAAAGATAGTGAAATTCCAAAAGATGAATCCATTTAATAAACTCAAACCTTGTTCTTATAAAGTACCTAAAATTATTAGAATAAACATGTTGGATCCACTCATCACTCATCTATTCAGCTCATTACTAAATGTATGTTGTTGGAATAATGAAAAGGGTTCAAGAACTGTATCCTCCAACACTTAATCAATCAAAAAAAATTACTTAATTTTACAAAATGAGTTTCCATTCGTATTACTGTACATCAATATTTATTTAGAAATTTAAATACAATCGAAAGAGGAATTAATCCTTCTTTAATTCCAAAATTTCAGTTTTGATACCTTCCTTTGTAATAATTAAGATTTCAACAGAGTCACCAGTGTAGATATCTCTTTCACCTGCGCTCGTAAAGGCATCCTTAACAATACTTAAACTTTGTTCAAGAGTAAGGTCAGTATTTGGAACCAAAAGGTGATTCTTGAAAGCAACTTGGTTATCAAGGAGAGGTTGAATAAGAGTTTGACCAGAACCTTGACTTCCTACTTCTACAGATTGATAGGATCCGATAGCATCATAACTGAAAACAATTCCTTTTCCATCAGTATCCAAACCAGCAACAAGATTAAATGTATAGTATGGGAAAAATCTACGATTGTACAACATGTTAGAAAGCATTTGTCCAACAGCAACAACACTCATTGGTTTTCCATGTTGATGTTCATATTCTACAAGTCTCATCTTTAACACTTTGTGTAATGTGGCAGCATCAGATTGCATACCAGCGGAAGCAATAACACACTTATCAGTCAATTTACATAATTTAGTTGATTTACGGGTTTGAATTGAATATCCTAAACTCATTCTTGTGTCAGCAGCTACGATTACATAGTCTGGACCAGGAATAGCAAGTGTAGTACTAAGATCAATTGTATTATCAAAAAAATATTATTGTTGTATAATCATCATCAGGAGCATTATTAATTTGTACATATTATTCAAGATTACATCAATTTAAATATTCTCAATAGATCATTGAATCAAATAATCGTACTTACCCTCCGTTGTCTTCGTATGGAGAGAATTTAGGTCTTTCAAATGTATTGGCGTGGAACATTTTTTTATAAGTTTTATTTACATTCTCTCTATTAATAGATTACTTTTGCGAAGCAAGAAAATTTTTCATCACACCATCACAGAATATTTATTTTTTATTTTTAATTTTCTCCTTCCCTTCAACGAATTTCAAGTTAGCTTTTACAATCCGAATTGAACTAGATTGCTTCGTCATCAAAAAGTTTACAAAACCCAATGTTGAACACAATGCCATTTCCTAATTGCACACCTTTCCGATAATATAAATTAGATTTTCCTGATTTTCATGAGATAATTTAAAAAAAACTAATTCAAAAACTGTTTGCACTTGTAAATTAAAAAATGTCTCAAAACACAACAACTGGTGATATTGGTCAACAAGCTGTCTTTATCAAGACTGATCCATATGAATGCGGTTTATTACAAAAGGAAGTTCGTGGTTATGATTTTAACAATGATTTGAAGGATTTGAACAAACCAATTGACTATAATGCTCTTCTTGAATCATATTATACTACCGGATTCCAAGCCCACAATTTTGGTGAAGCTGTTAATATTTTGAATGCCATGTTACGTTGGAGATTGAGTGATGAACCAATGATGGAAAATGAACAAGAACCATATGATGATCCTGAAGTTAGAAAGAATACCAAATGTAAAGTTTTTCTCGGATATACTTCAAATATGGTTTCATGTGGTGTTAGAGAAGTGATTAGATTCTTGGTTCAACATAAATTAGTTGATGCCATTGTTACAACTTGTGGTGCTATTGAAGAAGATATTATGAAGACAATGCAACCAACTTATTTGGGTGCTTTTGATTTGGATGGTAAAATGTTGAGACTTAATGGTATCAATAGAATTGGTAATTTGTTGATTGCTAATCAAAACTATTGTAAATTTGAAGATTGGATTACCCCAGTTTTGGATGCCATGTTAGAAGAACAATATAAGGGTAAATTGTGGTCTCCTTCACTTATGATTGATAGATTCGGAAAGGAATTGAATAACGAAGATTCTATTTTATATTGGGCTCACAAGAATGAAATTCCAATTTATTGCCCATCCCTTACTGATGGTTCAATTGGTGATATGCTCTATTTCCACTCTTATTCTGATAAGAAGGGTGACGGTCTTGTTTGTGACATTGTTAGTGATATTAGAAGATTGAACGGTCAAGCTGTTCGTGCCAAGAAGACTGGTATGGTTATTTTAGGAGGTGGTGTTATTAAGCATCACATTTGTAATGCCAATTTAATGAGAAATGGTGCTGATTTCACTGTTTATATTAATACTGGTCAAGAATTCGATGGTTCTGATGCTGGTGCTAGATGTGATGAAGCTGTCAGTTGGGGTAAGATTCGTCTTGGATCAAGACATACCAAGATTTATGCTGAAGCTTCTCTTATTTTCCCACTTCTTGTTGCTCAAACATTCGTCAAATATCAACGTGAACAAGAAGAAAAGAAATTGAAAGAACAACAGCAATAAAATTAAATTTTTATATTTTAAAAGGAATGAGGTTGGATTGGGTAATTAGCTATTATTTCCATTAAAAGCTATAAATTAAATCTAGAATGAAATTAAGCTGAATCTCATGCCAAAATTATATAAATTAATGGCTTTCAAAATCAATGACAGCTCTAATAAAGCTATACAAATAGAATCCAAAGAGAACAACATAGTAAACAATGTGAGCAATTGCTTCCTTCTTTCTCTTTCCGATTTCACGGTACAAATCAGTTGGATCTAATTCAAAACTACGATCGAAATAACACTTCAAGTGATAAATAATAACTGGAGCATTAAGAAGAAGGGCCACATAGGTGTTGTTGTAGAAGATGGCCAAAACAAAGCACAAAACAACATGAGTAATGTACTCAATCTTCACCATAATATTGACATTCTTACAAAGTGACATACTACTAATTTGGTTTTGTTCATATTCCAAGAAGGTAATTAACTGTATTAATCCAAATTTTGTTCAAATTTTAAATTCAACAACATTCCGTTCCATACAACAAAAAAATCAATGTTTAGAAAGTTTTCAAACAAGCCAATTTGTATCAATCTTATTCTCTTCTCCTCTATACTTACATAGATGCCATTCAAGAATGGGTGGACAATACTGAACAACCACACTAACAACCACAAGATGAAAATCATTTTTTTTTAAAATTAAATTTCCTATTCTTTTGATGATGTAATCATGTTGGAGCCCACAACTCAATAATACATTAAAATTAGTGTCTATGATGATGATGGCATGTGGCATCACGTTGTATTATGAACAAAACATGTAAATTTATTCATCACTCCTCACAATTAAGAAGCCATACATTTTATCTTGTTGATGACATTTGGAATTCAGCTCTCTCTTTGCCTCTGTTGAGAGATTCAACCTTGTTGAATGAAAGAATACTATTAGGAGATGAGGAGCTTGAAAGTAAACAACTACCTCACTGTAAATTGAAATGGTTATTACAGTGGTGATTAGCAAACTAGCAACTCCTGATATTAAAATAATGAACGCTGAATTAATAGATAGATCTAACTGAAAAAAATCAAAATAACAACAGTTTCGTTTTGGATTTGAAGCCTGCATACAAGACGAAGAAGAGAAAATGAAATTAATTGTATTATCTTTCCGAAGAGATGTTATTGCTTTGGTCATAATTGATGATCTGTTCCATCATGATGAATGGTGTTATGGCATTCAAAAACAAGGACAGCAGCTTTCCATCATTGGGAGAATTTGCTGGTAAAGTTGTCTATGTTTCTGGAGGTTCTGCTGGTATCGGCTATCAAACTTCTCTTCAATTTGCTAGAGAGGGAGCTCGTGTTGTTTTCACTGCTAGAAATGCTCATCCAGATTGGTATACAGGAGAGGAGGCTGAGATTAAGATTAATAGAGATGATAGAGTTGTTGCGAGTGGTGGAAAGGCAACTTTTATCAAGTGTGATATTTCAAATTATACTCAAGTGAGAGATTTGTTCTTTAACAAGATTGATCGTTTATTTGGTAAATTGGATATTGCTGTGAATAATGCTGGAATAGGAGGACCTGGAGGTAATTTGGTTGATCTTGATCCTGAATACTTTTTGGGAACTAAGCATAATCCTATGCATAATAATGCTTATGGTGTTGTTTATCAAATGCATGTTCAACTTCAATATTGGGCCTCTAAGAAAGATAACTCAACTGTAAAGTCAATTGTGAACTTGTCAAGCTATAATGGATTGAGAGCTTGCCCAGGTTGTTCTCTTTATTCAGCTTCAAAGCATGCAATTATTGGATTAACTCAATCTGTTGCTATTGAGCATGCAAAGGCAACTCCAAAGATGCCAAGAGTTAGAGTAAACGCTGTAGCACCAGGTTTAATAGATACACCTCTTACAAGAAACCAAGCTAAATCTATTTTTGAAGGAATTCCAACATGGCAAGGTCCTCTCATTACTGAAACTGATCCACTTTGGTTAAAGATGAAACCAGAGGCAGAAAACTCCTTGGTTGGTGGAGTACTTGGTAAACCAGAGGAAATGGCTAATGTTATCATGTTCTTGTCCAGTGATAGAGCTAGTTACGTTTCTGGTACAGTCATTAGTGCTGACAATGCAGAGACAGCAAAATAAGTGTTAATAAATTTATTCCTAGTAAATTGTTTAAATCAAAATTGTTGGTGAAAACTGGTTAAACACTTTTAGTTTCTTCCTCTTCTGTTTCATATCTTCTCTTCAAAATTGATTTAGGTACAGTTAGGGAAAGAATAAAGGTGAATATACACACTCCAGCACACACCCAAAAACTAATCTTGTCGACGAGTGGAACTTTTCCAATCCAAGAGTTTGGATTTGATTCAGTGATACTTTCAGCCCAATTCAATCCAACACTAAGCAATACTCCTCCAATGAATGGACCTGAAGCCCAACCTATTGAAGCAGTAATATGTGCTAATCCAGTTGTGCTTCCAATGTGTTCCGAAGATGGGGCTGAATTGTTGACAAGTAAGAATTGAGAGGTATAGGCCATTTCTTGTGCGCATGATTTGATAAAGATACAAAAAGTGGCAAAAATAAAAACAACCCAAGGATTCCACTCATATTGGACTAGTTCAGTACTGAATGGAAAAACTATTACGTCAATGATGTAAACTATCAAGCCAATTCTGAAGAGCCATAAGAATCCAAGCTTATCAGATAATTTTGGATAAATAATTAACATTATTAGTGAAGTAACGCCACCAATAGAAAGCATTAATCCAATTTGTGACGAATCCAAAGCTAGACCTCTCTTTTGAATTGAATTACTGGCAAAAACTAACAAATATTAATATCATTATAACAAAAAACTTACTTGGAACCATTTCGTCCATAATATTAGTAGCAAGACCAAGGAAGAGATACAACAAAGCAACCTTAACAACTATAGAATCTTTCAACAGATAAAAAAGACTCAAGTTTGGTTTTTCCTTATTAGCAGCTACCTTTGTCTCAATTGAAGATGTTTCCTCGACAGAATTTGAGTCCTCTTCCAATAAATTATCCTTAGTACTGTAGGCGTCTAAGTTTGTCGTGGAAGCACTTATCATTTCAATAGATGCTTCTTTTTCCTCTTCCACAATTTTCTTTTTTCTTATTCCAACCTTTACAAGAAACCAATTTACAATATCAAATCTATTCTTTAAAGATTCTTTCATGAAAAATATTGTGCAAATAATTGAAATAATATTCATAATGACTGGAATGGAGAGCGGTAGCACGTACGGATTAGTGTTAAAGAAATTATAGAGCCATGTTTCTTTACCTCCAAAAAGGAAAGGCCATTTTTCGGCAGGTTTAGACAACCAACCTCCCATTCCAGGAGAAACGATGTTACTCACAGCCCAAATACAACTAATAAGCACAAAGGCTTTTTCCTGATTGCTCGAATTGGTAATATCAATAGTGAATGACTTGTAAATTGGAACGTTAGCATTCAAAGCTCCGTGAATTGTTCTAACAACTAGGGCAAACCAAAAATTCTTTGAAAATGCAAATAATGACAAAAAGATTACATTCACAACTAAGCCCGATAACAATAAGGGTTTTCTTCCTAAATGATCACTCGATCTTGAAATGAACCAATTGGAAATTAATTGAGCAACTGAATAGGCAGATGCCAAAATACCAACCAGTAATCCAACTCTTTCCTCTGGTATTTCCAATTCATCATGATTGATAATTGTACCATTTCCAATCAATGAACTATTTACACTAAATAATTTCGAATCAAATTGTTTCGAATATAAATAACTTTTTGGCAAAATTGCAAAACTATTAAATCCCAAGTTGTAACTTGTTGTAGTAGTATTATAACTCAGTGTTCCATTATTTAGACGTGCTTCTTGTTGTTCAAACAACAGAAAATCTCTCACCATAAATGGCACAACAGGATAGAGAATTGAATAACCAACAGCCTCAGCAATGATAATTATCGATATCATTATCATGGCCATTTTAGGCAATGGTGTCACTTCTGGTTTCACTTCCTCTTGATTACTTTCCAAATTTTGTTCCTGTTGCTCTTCTACTTGTTGATTGTTATCATCAATAATTCCTTCATTATCATCATCATCTGCCAATCGGATGATATTCACCGAAGAAGATAACGAGTGAGTATTGTCATCATCCATTTCTGGTGGTGAGTCTTGTTGTGGGTGATGACTCATTTTTTTTCAGTGCGCCTAGTTTTCTAGAAGGATTGAAATATGCTGTTTGTTTCAAATATTCGTTGAAGATTATAAAGAATAATAAATGGTAATTACAATAAATGGTGAAGAGGTTGCGGCAACGTGCTACGAAAGATATTTTGTTGGTGTGTTGTTTTTTTGTTATCGGAGGATTTTTGATTTACAGTAGTAATTGGTTTGTGTTGCTTAATAAAAACGTGGGGAAAAAAAGACTGAATAATTGGCTTTCTTGCCTGTATAAGAGTAAAAGACTACAGCACCACAGGTTCCCAAGTTGTCTCCAACCTCAGTACTGATGTGGCTCTACGATGCTTAACTTCTCAAATCGGACGGGATGAGGTGCATTCATCGTGATATGGCCGTAGCCATTCATTATATGAAAATTATGATATTGAACGAGTACAGAAATTATGTTTATATTTTATTTCAGTCATCGTTGGATGAAATATTTGAATGATACGAAAGGTGAAAGTGTTAATGAAAATCCACCTTAATCCTCATTCAAGTTTCATTCAAATCCAACATTGTAAACTGGCAAACTAGCTTCCACTTTTCCAATCACCTTCCAATAACACTCCATTTTTAATTTGAGCCACTAAATGATTTAAATTGCCTCCGGAGCTCAAGAATACTCCACACAAAAAAACAGCAACAATATTCAACATTCTTCATACAAAAGAATACAAAATGCTTTTCCAACAACCTGTACATACTGGCAGCAATTTTACCATTCCATTTGATGGAACCATTGAAAAATTCACCTCTACCTTTCCAATATCTTTAGTGAATAGAGTACACCCCGATCAATTTCAATCTACATTAGAAAAATGTAATTTAGTGATGAAGAAGCATATGGACAAGATTAAAGAGAGTGATAAGAAAGTGTTGTGGGTTATGTTGGCATTCATTGGCTTGATGATATTGTTAATTTTATTTCCAACTCTTTTCGTTACTGTCATTATTCCTGTTGGTGATTCTGATGCTTGGATTCCTGCAGTTTTCATTCCAATATTTGCATGTATTCCAATGATTGGAATTATTATTTATTCATCTCGTAGAATGCAACAAATCAAAGCCATGCATGTAGAATGTAAGAAGGAAGTTGAAGAGCTATTGGCACAAGAGAATTCAATGTACTTCCAATTTGGTGTTCAATGGATCTTGAGATATGACGGTATTGAAGCTATTGGCAAGGTCAGATATGGTGTCTATAGGCATTTAAATACCATGCCAAGCTTGGAGATTTTGACCAATCAAGCAATGTATATGGTGCAACAACCTAATGTTATGGTGCAAGGTAGTTCTGACATGATGCCAATGTATCAACAACAACAAGCTATTTATGTAGTGCCACCAACTAGTCAACCACAACAACCAACAGTTTATGAACAAGAACCACACAGTGTAACTTATCAACAAGTGAATCAATACCAAAAGGAAAATGATAATCAACCACTGTTAGGTAATAGAGTGTAAATTATTTTTGTAAATAAAAATTGTAAATATTAAAAATAATACAATTTTAATATTCCATAAACTCAGAAAGGGCAAGAAAGGCTCAGAAAGTTCATCATGCTAAACCTTGCTATGTTTTTAATTAAGGTGGCTGGATACAAAATTATTTAAGTGGTAATAATTGTTATTGTGGTTGTTAGGAAGAATTCCTCAACAAAAAATGCAACAACTTGTGGAGGGGCAGATTTGGACATATCATCATCGTTCTAAAGATGATTCTACATCCCGATTCACAATTTATAAAATTGACCAGATGGGTGATCATGATGTAGTGCATATCAAAATTTCTGGTGTTCGATTTGCTGGAAAAAAGATGCAAATACAACACATGCCTTTTACGAGAGAATCTATAGAGCAGAGTGTTATAGAATTGGTTGGAAATATTGATGACTTGAAGGATGAACATTTTACAGATGGATATGAAAATTGGAAGAAGGAAAGTTTGGAAGGAAGAGCAGGTGCTTGGACTATGAATGTGGATAAAGCAATTGATTTATTGGAGAAGGCTACTACGGGAGCTGATGAATAATTAGATTAGCCTTTGTCAAGCCTCTATTGTAAATATAATTAAAAAATTAAATTATTATTAAATTTGGAAAAATTGGAATTTATTTTACAACCAAGTATTTAATCTCTTTTGGAAGAGTAAAGTTTGAAACACCAGTATTAATTGCTCGGATAGATGTGATTTTTGGACAATTTTTGGAAATGCTTAATATGCTATTATTTGTGATTGGATTTTCACTTAAATCAATCGTCTCCAATAGTGGTAGCTCTTTAGAAATTGCTTCAACAAATTTGTCATTAATATCTTGATTGATAAGTGTGAGAGTTTTCAAATTTTTGAGTTGGGATAAACGTTCAACACTGAAAATTGGAGTTCTGAAAATATTCAAATCCACCAAATCACACATGACATCTGTGGACACTTCATGAACTGCTTCATAAGTCCCAAGTTTAAGCTTTTTCAAGGAGGCTATAGTGAGAAGCTCACTAAAACTGTCACCTATTCCGCATGAGGTGATTTCTGCTGTTTTAATAGGCATTCCTGCAAGATATTTAAGCATTCCTGGCTTGATTTTTTCATGATCCAAGCTAATTGTACTCAACTTTGAACAGGAACTCAAATTTTCAAAGAATTCTCTTTGAGTATCGTCTGGAGGGCTATCGTAAAGTGTTGTATATCCATGAAGGGAGCCACCATTTTCTCCTTTAAGTATTGATTTGACAGTTCTAATATTTGGCCAATTTTTAAGAGCTTTTGAAAAGCGGAAAATTGAGGTGACACTTGTTTGAATATCTAAAGTGGTTAATAAAGAAGAATTAGCAGAAAATTCTGTAAAGTCTTCATCTTTTCCTGCACTGTGACCTCTCCATCTGAATATTCTCAACTTTGGAAATTTAAGTTTACAGAATCTGTTCATTTCACACATATCACTTGAAGGAACTTGAAGGATTGTAACATCTTCCAAATAAGGTGCCATCACTTCCAAGGTTGAAACCAAAACTTCTGAAGGTAATTGTCTTACATTAAGACTTGTGATGTTTTGTACAGGTAATAGTTTAAGAGTTTTCTTTGTTTGGGTCAATGCTTGTTGGGAATCTGTGACAGTGGTATCATGTAATAATTTAACATATGGGACCTTCATTGCAATCTTTGCACCATTGGCTGCCAAGCATTGAGTCATCCTCAAAAGTTCAGATCTATGATACATTTTAGAACCATCCAACTCCAATCTTCTAAAGAGAAACTTTGGAGAGTCTCCCTGTCCAGATCTTGTAAATTTACCAAAATACAATTGATTAAACTTTCTAACATTGGAACCACATGATTGATCGAATAATCCTCCATAATAGTCCAAAATAATGAGCAACACTTCACTAGGAAGTTTACAAACAAGTCTGTTCAATTCATCTTCCAATTGTTGAGCTTTAGGAAGTGGTGTTTTTGGTTTCACTGGAACATTGGCAGGTTGTTGCTTACTAACAGGTGGAGCCTTTGTTGTTGATGAGGATGTGGTTGTACTACCAGTTTTGGTCCTTAATGCTGAAGATGTTTTTGATATGAATGTTGCCTTTGGTGATGAAGATAGACTTGATGGTTTGGAACTTGATGAAACCTTACTAGTAGTAGTTGTCGCCACAGGTTTGGTTGCACTTGGTAAAGATGATGATGTCTTGCCGGCATTACTTGTTATCTTTGTTACATTACAGCTTGAAGTTGTTGTTGTTGTGGTTACTGCCTTTGGAGTAGGACTGTTTGACAATGATCTATTATTACTCGTTCCCGAAGAGAATGTCTTTGTACTTGAAGTGGTTGTTGTTGTGCTGCTGCTAGAAGTTTTGCTTGTTGTTGTTTTTGAGGGAATCTTTGAGGGGGTAGTTGTTGAGGGAGTGGATTTGGTGAGGGCCATTTTTTTTAAAGTTTCACCTCTCTGACCCCACCAAAAGAAATCTTATAGAGTTAGAAGTTGACCCGCCTTAATAATTACTATTGATGTTTCACAGTGCGAGCTTTTCTATAAAAATGGTAAAGAGTTAATTTCAATTATTCCATTCGAAATGTCCAAAGAGTACTCTTTCGCCATTGATTGAGTCCACGATTTGTTGCCAAACTGGTTTGGAATTGTGAGGGCTGGTCTGAGGATGAAAGTGAGTATCTAATTGGAAAATGTAATAGTAAATACAAATGAAATGAAGTAAAATTCCACCAACTGAAAACAAGTGCCAAATGGCATGTGAGAAGGGAATTATTCCATCACCATTCAAGAAGTAAATTCCACCTGAGAAGAAAAATCCTCCACCAAATAATGCAAAATAAGCTTCCAAAGGGATATGAATAAACATTGAAGAGGGAATGGCTACTAGAGCTACCCAACCCATAATATTAAAAAGAGTACCATTCGAAACGAATGTAATCATTCTTCCTTCAGAAAATGATTTAGTAAGCCCACAAAATGCCAAACACCAAACAAAAATTGTTAAAAACTTTCCATACATATTCTCATTTCCCAATTCCAAAATCATCAAGAATGGTGTGTAAGTGGCTGCTATAAAGATATAAATTGTTGCATAATCTACAATTCTGAACCAGTATGTTTTGTGTGAAAACTTTCCAAACACCAAACACATGACATGATACAAAGTTGACACGAAAAACAATGTAAACAGTGTCATGCAGTAGAGTATGGATGAAATTCGTTCCTCAATACTATTCACCACATGTTCATTTGTTAAGAATAAATAAACAAAAATGAATAATGGAATACCATGAGTGAGAATGTTTGCCGTTTCCTCAATTTTTGATGGTTCATAATCTTCCACATTCAAACTATCAGGAAATTCATTCATGAATATTTTACACATCGGGCAACAAGTCACTGGTTTTTGTTTGTAAATAATTTCATCCACCAATTTGAACTGTTTCTTTTCTGATGCTGTTTCATGATTATTTTCTGTATTTTCGTCATGATGACAACCACTGTGATGATGACAAGGGGAAGGGTCACCCTTTTTTCGTTCTCTCATTTTTTTATTAGATTATAATTAATAAATTAAATATATTGAATTTATTTGAATATTACATAATTTTTCAAAGAATACCTAGAGTCAACCCTATTTTCTCTTTGGTGGTTGAGATGCTAAAATCTTTTCAACAGTAAAATCAATTTCCCATCTTTCTAACATTCTTTCAATAGCAACGAGTGGTACACCATGCTTATTTCTCTTTGCTAATTCTTGTGCATTCTTAGCCCAAGGAGTAGTTGGTTCTGTAATTTCTACCACATAAGAATTGGCCTTTGCAGCTACAACATATGGTTTAGCTTCCCACTTTTGTGTATTGGTATTATCGATTATTATAGGAGTGGTTCCATTCTTCATGGCATCGGAAGCTCTTTTCTGATTCCATTGATGGGCCTTTCCAAGTTGTGTAGCATCAAAATTATAATTTCCAGTCTGTGGATCCACAAAATAATCATCAGTGGAAAAGATATGATCTTTATATCCTGTTGTATAATCAATTCCGTGATTTTTCATAATTTCTGATGCAAGAGTACTCTTTCCACTTCCAGAAATTCCTCTCAACAAGATCATTGTTTTACCATTAGATGATGATGAATTAGTTGCTGACATTTTTTTTGATTTTGTTTGATGTTGAAATTTGTGTAAAAATAGATTTTTATAAATTTTGTTGAATTGCATACTTCAATATTGTAAACTGGTTCAACAATTTATTTCAGTTTATTTTGAAGATGAAGCATTAATGATTTTGGTGGAAGTGAATCATACTGTACCCTTGATTATTGGATTGATTATGATATGGTTCAAACGACTTGTTTGAAGAATGAAGATAAATCAAAATGTGAAAAACAAGTTAATTGGCGATTTGGTTGGTGGTATTTTCAATACCTGATCAACTCTCCGAATGAGCAGGTAGGTTCATATTAAATTTTTGTTACTTTACTTATTTTACAAAATACTAATTTTATCAATTTCACAAACATGGAAAGAGTTCATCGAACGAAATTAGCGTTAAAAATCCTTCAGAAAAAAATGGCTCAATACCACCAACCGACCTTGAAGAGTTTCAATAAGAAAATTTCTTTCGAAAATATTGATAATATTAAATTACATATTGCTAGTAGTCCATTCACAGTTTCACCTGGCGATGAGGAGAAACACAACTTGGTTCCAATCTTTCAGTCAGTAATTTCATCCTTCCTATTTTCCATTTGTTGCTTATTTGCTCATCTTTCCCCTGGTAATTTCTTTGATGAAACTGAAACTCTAATGAATGCTCTTTGTTCAGTGTTTGTGTTGAGTTTCGGATTCTGTATGTACGTTATGATCAATGCATCGTGTCTTCAGATGGTAAGGGATGGATTTGTTAGTCTTCCACTAGTTAGCATTCATCCAAAGGCTAATCAATTACTCATTTGGTTATCTAGAATTTTCAAAGTGTTTTTGGGATTGATTGTTTTGTTCAATGAGATTAAGAAGGTGTTCAACATTGAGGGAATAGTGCTTGAGATGGAGTTACTCTCCTATATCATTCTATTGAGTCACATGTTTTGTGCCTTATTATTATTGAATATATATTTTTGTTTCTCTATTCAATCAAGAGAAAGAAACTACTCTTCCGAAAGTTGTGTTTAATAATAATAAAGAAAATTTGATCCTTATTATCGATAATTATTATTCATTCCTTTCATTATATGAATCAATAACATATTGAGAAGAGTTTCATTGAGCCTTGCAAATAGTAAAAAATGGCTCAATACTACTACAAGTCTAAGGATGGTAATGATCACAACGAATTACTTGTTTCATTAGAGGAGAAACAGAAAGTTAATCCATTCTTTGAAATCATTCGTGAGAGTTTATTATACTTTATATTCTCAGTGAGTTGCATGTTTGTTCTACTTTCCTCAAGTGAATTCTTCAGTGGCTCAAAGTATTTTTATGCTCCTTATTCTAATTTATTATTCTCTTTAATAATGATGATTATCGGGCTTGGCATATATGAAACTCTCAAATTTAGTTGTTTGTTCATCCTTTCGCAAGAGTACATCTTCTTCTCCAATAATTCAGTTGATTTTCCATCCTCCTGCTTTGCAATATTTTCCATCTCAAGCTATTTCAAAGTAATCGTTGGTTTTGCTGTTCTATTTGGAGAAATCAAGAAGGCTTTCGAAATTAATGAACTTGCATTATTCTTTAAGATTTGTGACAATATCGTTCTGTGGAATCATGTAGCATGTACACTTGTTCTATTGGAATTATTTCTAATTTTCAAATTCAAAAAGTCAAAATTCCTCCCATCACATGATTTAGTTTGAGTAAGATTCATAGTTGCTTGCATTATCAAATGGCAATAAATCCTCTATAGGTATGAAGTTAAGAACTTCTTTATTTTCTCAAAGTTACAACATTTCCAGTGCAAACGAATTGAATTTGACCATTTTGTGGTTGATATTCTGTTTCAATTCTGGCATGGATCTTACTCAACCATTCCTTCTCCAAAATGGGATCTATTTGTGGTCCGAATTTTCTCTTCACCATTTCTGAGAATTGAGTGCTTGATTTCACTATTTCCATCATAACTTCGAGTGGACACTCAAATTCTTTGGTTACCTGTTCAATATCTATGTGAGAAAAACCAGCTTCCTTGCACAAGGTTTCGAAATGTTGTGGATCCTTGAGTGAAAACATGGCTCCTTGTGGTCCTCTTTCTAAATCAAGAGTATCATATGCAGCATTTAATGGAATTCTCAAGGGGAATGCCTCTGTCCATGAGTTTACCAAGGCAATACCTTGTTGTTGCATTACTCTGTGAATTTCCTTCAACCCTCTTAATATATCCTTGTATAACATAATTCCCATATTGGAATAGACAACGTCAAATGAATTGTCTTCATATTTCAAATCTTGTCCATCCATGATATGAAATTTCAAGGAAGAAACATTTGAAGATGTGTTAGAAATCTTGGAATTTGCTCCTTGAATGTAATCTTCTGAAATATCAATACCATCAATACTCAACTTGAAATCCGTTCCGTTTAAAATAGTCTCATTCTCAAACTTGAAAGGCAACAATCCAGTTCCAGTTCCAATATCCAAAATCCTAACATTTCTGTCCTTTGTTGAGTTGAAATAAAGAGTGGTGGATCGTTGAATAAGATCATCTGCAAAGAATTCTTGCACAACTCTGGTGAGTTCCATAAACTTGATTTTTTGATTCATATCTAATAGCTTGTTTTTTATGAGTGTGTGATTCAGTTAACTGGTGAATTTATTTTCTTCTCAAATGAGGACATGCTCTTAAATATTGCCCTGTCCTTTGTTGCGTGTGGACTTTTTCAAGATTATATTGAGCTTTACCGCTTTTCATAACCAACATGAATGCATGTTAAGGGTCAGTATAATAAATATTCATCCAAATTCATGTATTGAGAACGGGCTTATTAAATGCATTATTTTTTACAATAAATAATCTCAATAATTCAATCAAAATTAATTGTAAGTGCCAAATTTGGTAATTATTTTAAAGCCTGTTAAATTTCAATTCCCCTCCTTGAAGCTCCACTCGAATAATTCTCCAACGACACAAAACTTACTCAAAAAACATTGCAAAAAACATCTACCCCATTCCTCTATTAATTACATCCAATATCTTTCCACTTTTTCAAACAATTATCTATTGGTTGTTGTTTTTTCTCCTTTTAAAGACTCACTATTTCCTTGTTGTGTTCGGACGAATTAGCCCGATTGTTTTTTCTCAAACTCTAAAAAAATGCTCAAACAAAACCTGAGACATGTATTATCGCCATCATCGAGGAAGACATTGATTCAAAAGATCAATTGTTCTTCTTCAAGTAGTAGACCATCGGCTATGATGGTTGTTTTCAACAGCAAGAATCAAGAAATTGTCTCTACAAGAAATTTCTCATCATCTAGTATTCAAAATTTGCTCAATGTTAGCAAGAGTAGAAAGGATGAAGTTTTTCCAGTATTGAATATGAATAGTAATACCATCAATGTTTATCCATCATCATTAAAGCCTAGCATAACCTCTTCATCATCATATAATTACTCGACCACAGTTTTTAATCATCCAGAAGAACAACAAAAATTTGAAGAAGAAATTCCAGGACGTAAAGCTGTTTTAATATGGCTCGGAACATTGAGTTTCCTTGTTTTTACAATTGTTATTGTTGGTGGTTTAACTAGACTGGAAGAAGGTGGTCTTTCAATGGTTGATTGGTCATTCATGGGTTCACTTCCTCCAATCACACAAAAGGAATGGGAAGAAGAATTTGAAAAGTACAAACAATTCCCTGAATATAAGAAGAAGAATGAAGGAATGACTGTTGAGGAATTTAAATACATCTTTTACTATGAATATTACCATCGTATGCTGGGAAGATTGATTGGTGCTGTTTACACAATTCCAGCTATTGCATTTGCTGCTAAGGGATTTTTCTCTGGTAAGAGAAGAGTCATGTCACCTTGGACAGTTCTTGCTATAGGAAGTGTCATTGGTTTCCAAGGTCTTTTGGGTTGGTATATGGTTAAGAGTGGTCTCGATGAAAATCATGAACTCATGAAGAAGTATAATAGCATTCCTCGTGTATCTCAATATCGTTTGGCTTCTCACTTGTGTACTGCCTTTGTAATTTATGCCATGACTTTGTGGAAGAGTTTCGATTTGGCTACCAAGAATAAGACTGTTGAAACCTTTGCTGGTAGCTCAATTTTCAAGATGGTTGCCCCAATTTTCTTCTCCCTTGTTTTCTTGACTGCTGCTTCTGGTGCTTTTGTTGCTGGTATGGATGCTGGTTTGGTTTACAATGAATTCCCACTCATGGGTGGTGCTGTTGTTCCAAGTGACATCATGGCTATTGAACCATGGTATAAGAATTTCTTTGAAAATGCCACTACTGTCCAATTCCAACACAGATGGTTGGCAACCTTTGTAGCAACAGCTATTGCTGCTTTCTGCTTCTATTTCAAGAAGGGTGACAAGGGTAAACAATTGCCTGCTACTGTTAAGAAGTCACTCAATTATTTGCTTGCTGTTGTTACTGCCCAATACACTCTTGGTATCACTACTTTATTGACCTATGTTCCAACATCAGTTGCCTCAGCTCACCAAGCTGGTTCATTGACTTTGTTCACATTTGCTTTATGGATGGCTCACGTTGCTAAGAGAATTAGATAAATTTTTGAAGACACCACTAATTTTGGAATTTGAATGTTAAATATAGGGTATAGATATTAAATAAACACTAAAACAGATAAATTTTGATACGTTTATGAATGGTGTTCTAATGACAACGATACTATATTTGCAGATATTGTTATCTTAATAAAGATGAATAATATACTAAGATTTAAAAAAACTTGGTGTTGTTTGTTTACAATATTGATAGATTGATAACAATTTGAAATCAACTAAAAAACTCATTCCTATCCTGATTCTCAATATCTTTTGATTGCAGACAGAAAAAAAATGCAAGAAAATACTTTCACTGAATACACTTGTAGAAGAGCCGTCATTGGTGATGCACCATCAATTACCGATTTTAACATTAGAATGGCACTTGAAACGGAAGGAATTAACTTAACACCATCAATTGTAAAACGTGGAGTGGAAACAGTTTTTGAAAGGGAAGAAAAAGGAAGATATTATGTTGCAACCATTTCGGAAGGAGATAATGAAAAAGTTATTGGATCATGTTTGATAACTATGGAATGGAGTGACTGGAGATGTTGTGATTATTTTTATTTACAAAGTGTTTTTATTGAACCAGAACATAGAAGAAAAGGTGTCTTTAGTCTATTGTATAAATTTGTGGAAAGTGAATGCATCAAGGCAGGCACTGCTTCTCTGAGACTCTACGTTGATAAAGGAAATGAAAAGGCAAAGCAATCCTATCTCAAATTGGGAATGGAAGTGTCACATTATGAAATGTTTGAGAAAAACTTTTATGAAAAGTAGATCCACACTTTGAATACAACTAGTTTTTAATAATAATTTAGAATTTAGGACCTCTGCTTCTGGCTGTATATTTTGAAGGTGGTCTAACTTCCTTACCTAATTTTCTATCACGTTCCTTCTTTTTAATAATGAATTCCTTCAAATTCTTTCTCTTCTTTCCACTTGAAGATGATGCATTCCTCGAATTTTCGTTTTTAACATGTTGTGATACTGGATCTTCTCTTCCTTTTGGAATTTCACTCTTTGGAATATTTGGCATACCGGCAAATAAGACCAAATAGTACTTTCTAATTTTTCTACTATGAGGATAGTCAATAACCAAACCACCACCAAAACCTGCCTTCATGGCCATATTCGTTATCAATTCAGTTTGCTCAGGTGTTTCAGGATAGAATTGGAATACAGCACGAGCTCCCTTCCTCAAACATTTATAAAGTGTTCCAAAGAATTTTTGTAATCTCTTGAGTGGTTCATGTGACTTTCTGTCAGCATTGCAAAGCCACTGTACAGCTGAAATTGAAATGGCACCATCAAAACTACCAAGTCTAAATGGTAAACCATTACCCATATCAGCATGAAGTAAATCCGAACCATTTGCTGATGTAGGATCCTCCACCATGGATTCATTTGCAATATCCAACATATCTCTCGAAATATCAACACCAACCCAAACATTTCCTGCTTCCGATAAACAATTACCGGAAATACCAGAACCACAACCAATATCCAACAAATATTTAGGACATGCATCTTCTGGTAAAGCTAATAATTCAATGGCTCTGTTGGCCATTTCTGTTTGAATTTCCAAAACACGAGTGTTGGTAGCATACTTTTTAGCAGCTACACCACCATAGAACAATTCTGGTGGAGCAGCATGTTCCGGTCTTGTTGATGATGATACGTAAATACTCATTTTTTTCTTTTCAGAAAATATTTGAAGTTTTCAAAGCCTTCGGAGCTGATTGTTTTTATTCAAAGTCGTTGTTATCAACGGTGATGTGATGGCATAGCTTCTATTGATTTTATAATACTATTATTTCTTGTTTGATGAAGTCTTAAATTTTATTAGCAGATTATGTTGCGGTTTAGCCTTCAGCTCTCATTCATCTCAAAGACCAGCTTGAACAGGAAGACAAATAAAAAAAATGAGTTCCCCTAGCGAGATGGATTCATCAATGAATGATGATAAGCCTTCCGAAGCGTAAGTATAAAAAATCAGGATGTATTCATCTAAATAATAATATCTAGTTATGATGAATTGGAGGAAATGAATGATAGGAAGAGATCCTATGACGATAATCAGGAGGGGTACTATCAAGATGAAGGTGAGGAAGAAGACAGTAGTGCTCTCAAGAAGAGAAAAACCTCAGCCTCTAGCGCCTTTTTGTGTGGAAGTAAAACACTTGTCTTGTCAGGATCAACATCTAGCGTTACGGAAAAGTTCCTTGCATCAAAGATGCCTTTCCCTGATGGAGTTTTAAAGTACATCTTTTTGAAGGATGCTGTAGTTATTGAATTTTTGGATACGCACTATGCTCTAATGTTTTTATACCTCTATTATGACACTGGTATCCAATGTGATGATGGATCGGTGCTTTCAGTAGAGTTTAATGATAATCTAGTTGAAGGCATTACCGTATCAATGCCAGGTAATCAATCTAAGAGTTTAGGACAGGTAATTATTTATTATATTTCAAACAACTACAACTATTTATACAATCTGAACATTTCATAATTGTTGTTGAACTCTACAGAGTGGTAAAGTTTTGTTCTGTCTTATCTATGACACTTTCCCAGTCGAAAATTTTGAAAAGCATGGCAAGATTATCAAATTTATCAAACTCCCAGAATTGGACAGAGCAAAGAGAGTTATTATGGAATACGAAACTTTAACTGATTCTAACAATGCCTATGAAAAGTTGAAAAACCATCAATCACTCAAGTTATACAAGTCTAAAATTACCTATCTAGTTAATAATGAAGAGGATGAACGTGCTGTTCAAAAAGTTCCAGATATGTCAAGCAGTGCATCCAATGAGAAGCTTAGCTACGTGATTCAAATCACAGGCTTTACTTCCAACAAGGTAAACTGTGATGTCATGTTCATTCTATTCGGTGTTTATGGAGATGTTATTAGAACTAAGATTGTATTCTCATCACCAAAACATGTTGCATATGTGCAATTTAAGGACATTGATGGTGCCCAAAGAGCTATTAAGTTTTTGGGTAAGAATGGAACACCTTGTCCACTTTACAATGACTTTATTGATATTTGCTATGCTCCATTCCAGGAGATTGATGAATCTGAACCTCTTGAAGAAGGTGATGAAATTAAATCCTACTTGAATTCTCCTCTTCACAGATTTACAAGAGGAAGTGCTACTGGTAGACTTAAGAATATTGAACATGTCTATCCACCAAATAAGGTTCTATGTATCAGTAATATCAACATTAACTCTCAAAACACTACATTGGAATCAGAGTTTTCTAGATATAACCTCAAACCTGAAAATATTAAATTCTTTGGACACAAGCAAAAGTTGAACACCAAGATGGGATTGATTACTTTCCCAACTGTTAATGATGCTGTAACAGCACTTGTGGAATGTCACGATATTAAGATTGATAATTTCCACATTAACATCAACTTTGCTGATCAAAACAATGGAGTTAGAACATTCAATAATAATCAAGGAAATGGTGACATGACTCATCAATTTATGCACAAACCTATGGGTAACTTTGCTTTTAACAACTCTCCTCATATGATGAAGTTCAATCCAACACCTTTCTTTGTTCAAAGAGGAAGAGGTGGAATTAGAGGAGGCTTTAGAGGTAGAGGTAGAGGAAATTATAACAACTATAATAATAGTAGTAACTATCCAAAACAAGTACCTGACAATAACAATACCAGACAATAGTTTAAAATTATACTAAATATCAAGAAAACCTAAAATTATTTATTAAGTTTGAAATAATTTTTTATTCATATTTCTAAATATGCACTAATCAATATTTCTATTTTCGGAAATAAGTTCTTCTCGTAAAAAACTAAATAGTATTGAAATATTATAGCGTTCATGTCTAATTCGATTATCATTTCTATTGTTTTTTATTCTTGTAGTGATAGTACAGAAAATACGAGTCTTCCATAATATCCGTTATTCTTCTCATTAAACCTCTACATGGAGCTTTTGGCTGTTCTAATTCAGTTAAACCAAATGATGGCAAATTTTGAAAATTACACAGAGAGAATTGTTCCCACAGTTCAAAGGCCTTTGGTCTTTTATAATTAGGGTCTATGAATTGATATTTATTCTTATCAGCTGCATATATTTTAAATTTAGTATAACTTTCGGAATCTGTTAAGTCGTGAAGAAGAGTATCCTGTTGTTGCGGTGATGATGAATTATTTGGACTAGTTTTTTCCGTGTTATTGTTGTTGCTGTTTGGTTCCATTTTTTTGATTGAAGCAAACACAGTGTTTGCTCTAGGCAAATTGATTGTCAGAAAGCAATCAATATAATAAATTCGAGTTTTTACATTTGTTTTAAAAGAACAACAAATGATATTACATTTATTCATAATATGTAGAAGTAATGTTCTACCATCTTTTTAAAAACAAAACCGTGCTTACAGTTTAAAAAAATGCATCAACACCTGGGTGATTCAAATGATATTCATATTAAGGGAGTTTTATCTTTTGAGGAAGTTAAAAGGATGAGAAATTCCATCAAAAGCACCCTTCTCACAAAGAATACATCCTTTTATTATGGAGAACCTGATACGACATCTTCATCTTTTAATGAAAAGAAGGAGGTTGAATCACCCTTTCAAGCCTCTGAACGACTTCAACAACACATTCCAAATTGGATAAAGGAATCAAAGGAGAAAATAACAAAAGCAGGATTGTGGACTGATTTAAAGGAAGATATCCGAACAAGAGTACAATTAGCAACACAAGAACAAATTGAAATCAGAAGAGAGATCTCCGATAAGATGTTAACAAATGGAGGTGTTGTTCAAATGACTTATAGTCAGAGAAGAAGAGTGAAAGATCTAATGGGAAAATGTATAACAGGTGATCAAAAGTATGATAGACTTGTTGAGGAAGCAGAAGAAATGATGAAGGATAACACTGCCATTCCCTTACAAGAGGTTGAGAGGAAAGATGAAAATGTAAAGAAAGAACCAGAGGAAGTGATTTCTAAAATGTTATCGAATTATCCTTGGTCTTTTATGCGAAATAATTTATCAGGATGTTTGTTGCACTCCTTTCCAAGACTTGTAAGAAGACAATTGTGGCACTCGGCTTTCAGAGATGAAGCAATAGGATCAGAGATTGAAAGATACAAACAAAAAAAGAAGGAAAAGGAACCTCTACCAAAGGATTACTATCCTATCATTGATAAGGTCATCCAAAACAAAATTGAGCAACAACCATTTATTAAGGATTATTCTAACGGAAAATTATGTAAAGAGGTTTTCAAACCAGTGTTGGAATTATTGCTTTTTAGAACGGAAGCTCCTGTAATGGATAACTTGTCTCAAGTTTCAGATCTTATTAATGTAAATGGACCTTTGAATGATAGCACAATCAAACAATTTGTGCTGAAAACTGTTGAAAGATATTCTAATTATTTAGCTTCCATTTTCTGCTTAATGGCTACTCTGTATGGATGGGAAAATGTTGTTGAAAAATATAAGGCCGTAGATGAATTCCATTTCTATTCAGAGAAAATCAGTGGGTTTTTAATATTCCACATTCAGACCTTCCACCAAATCGATCCATTCAAGGATCGTAAATTGTACTATAATATGAACTTGATACCTGAGTCTATTGTAAAGTCATTCGTCCATGCAACAGAACAAAAGGACACAGTTCTACTCAATCATATCAGTTCCATTGAGGATGGTGTAAGATCTTTCCTCAAACCAATCACTAGGTTGTTTGTTTCATTCGTTGAAAACAATGTATCTCTATTCATTATTGAACAATTTTTATTTACAAACTTTAAGCCTGCAGTCATAGGTTCTATGACGTCTGCTATTGCCTTGATTCTCAGACAGCAAATACTTAAATGTGACACTCCACTCGGTTTGCAAATGCTATTAAAACAAAATGTCGCAAGTATAACAGAACCTGACTTGTTGGAAGTATTAGACAATAATTTCAGAAAGTACTTTACTGAAACTCACGGAATAGATATATATCCAAAGGAGTTTGTGGAAATTTCAGGCCTAAAAGGAGAGAAGGCAACTCTTCTGTTCACGCAAGATACCTCATCTCTGGCTCCTCCTGACAAATTGTCAATAATCAAGGCAGCTCTTCAATTGGAAACAGATCAAAGGGATGAGAAAGAAATGCTATTTATTTGGAATTCAATTTGGGAGAAAATTGATGCAGAAACAACATTTTTATTTCCATACAAGGATGTGAATTTTACTCTTGTATTACCTTCCAAAAAATCCAAAATACTTAAGGAAATATCTTTTTATGATGTGCCAGATATGGTAGTACAATACTCCTCTAACAAGTTAATTTATATTGACATGGTAAGGAGAGGATTAGCGGAGGAGTATAAACAAAGATTGGCTCAGTATATTAAGGATTCTTTGGTTTACAAACAGACAGACTTTTCTAAGGAGATGGACGAAAATCCAACTGTTGAAATTGAATACAATTACCTTGACATGCCATTCAAAACAAAGTTTTTGGAAGAAAAGTTAATGACAACAGATAAGGAAGAACTGTATGAAATATTGGATGAGAGATTTAAACAATTAGACTCATTTGTTTGCGGTTTGGAGATCCAAGAAATAGCATCCCAATTGTCAAAGACTTGCGAAGCAAAAATTAGAGCAAAGAGGGAGCACGAATTGAAAGCAAAGGAGCAATTGCTTCAAAAGATTACAACTGATTTGGAAAAGGAAAGTTTTGCAGAGCTGTCGAAGGTGTTGAAAGAAGTCATGTCAGGAGTTAACATTTTCTTCAAAGGAACTGAACAAGAACAAAGCAAAATTGATAAGATTACTGCTGATGAACGAGAAGAGAGATCCTACATTAGAGAAGCTACAGGTAGAATTATTAGCACATACGATTATAATAGGATTCCAAAGAAGAGCAGACAAAAGTATGACAAGATTATTGAAAAGAAGAAGCTAAGCAATCAGAAAAACAAAAAGACAGGCATGTTTTCAAGAACCAACAAGAAATAAACATTCTATTTCAAGATGATGATTATCATAAAATATTATCGTTGATACCTTAGAAACTGTAGCAATTAAAGAAAGTTTACTGACACGGAGGAATTTGTGGAAATAAGCAATCTATTTCGAGAATCATTAAGCAATTCTAGTTGTATTGGCCCAACTTGGAAGAACACCAAGTTCTACGCCCATGGCTGGACTTCCTAATCCCATCATTCCCAAAGTACATGCACAAACGCCAATAATTGACAAAACAGCACCCGATATTACCATATCAATGAAAGTGAAATGTCCATACCCAAAAGCTAAAGAGTTGGCCAATGTTCCAATTGGTGTCATAAAAGCCAATGAAGAGGCAATGGTGGCTGGAGCCATATATAAAAGTGGATTCTCACCAATTCTTACTGACATTGTGGCAAGAAGAGGCATCAAAATTGAAGCTGTTCCTACATTGCTAGAAAATTCTGTCAAAATATTCACAACAAAACAAATCAAAAATACCATTAAATAAGGGTGAATCTTACTGGCCAAATCAAACTTGACTACTACTAGGTCAACAATAAAATCTGAGAATTTACATTGATTGTAAGCTGCTGCCAATGCAAAACCACAACCCAATAGTAAGATAATATCCCATGGCATTTCATTCTTCATTAATTTCCAATCCAAAATTCTTCCAGTAGTTAATTGATTTTCCTTCTTCTTTTTATCATCCACTTCAGAGTTCATTGAAGGCTTATTAAAAGATGGAATAAAGAAGAGCAAAATACCAATCAAAACCGCAACTGTACCATCTGATGGATACTTCATCAGTGCTGATTTTTCCTTCTCATCTCTTCCACTAATCAAATAAATCAAGTTATTCCAACCAACATGATGTGTTCCAAATTGTAAATCTCTAAAAATCCACAACAAACACAAAATCACAAACACAATACATAATACTACTTCCTCAAATTTGATTCTTCCTAACTTTTTGTATTCCTCCCTAAACATGTTTGAATTCTTTGGTTTGATATTGGAGGTGATTTGTTGTGTAATTTGAGTTTCCTCTTCATTGTGTTCCAGTAAATTAGCATCGCTTTGATAGTTGGAAAGAGAGGCCATACTTGGGTTCTCAGCAAGTGAAATCTCCATTGAAGAGTCCTGAATAACTTCCAAATCACTCTTCTGATATATTTTAATTGGTCTCACAAATACAATGGAAAAGTAAACATAGGCCAAAATTAGGAAAATAATTGAAACTGGGAATGCATAAAGGAACCAAGTAAGGAAAGTAACTGGAGATTCTTCAGATGTTTGTAAAAGTGGGAATTTATCATTCAAAACGTGAACCAAAATCAAATTGGTTGGAGTACCAATCAGAGTTGAACATCCCATAATTGATGAAGCATAAGCAATGCAGAGGAAAAGAGATTTGGCAAGTCTCTTGATCTTTTTTGATTCCTTTTCTCGTTCTTCGAGATTTGGATTTTCTTCATTTCTTGCCTTAATTGAAGTTATGACAGCACTGTTATTTAAATCAATCGTTCAAAATGTGTATTTCAATAATTTATACATACCTTGCCATTGGTAATAACATGGCAGTAGTACATGTATTTGAGAGCCACATACTCAAAAATCCAGAAATTAACATGAATCCAAGTAAAATCAAATGACTTCTCATTCCAATAAAACTCAAAATTGCAAGGGAAAATCTTCTATGTAAATTCCACTTCTCCAATGAAATTGTCACCATAAATGATCCAATAAATAAAAATGATAAATCCGAAAAGTATGCCTCAGCAATTATCTTACCAGATGTGACTCCCAATAAAGGAAATAACACAACAGGTAATAAACTAGTAATTGAAATAGGAATTGGCTCAAATAACCAATAAGTTGCCTATTCAATCATTCAATATAAATTCAGGTCAACTAACTTACAATCCAAACAGTAATTGCAGCACATCTATTGATCTGTACAGTAGCTCCCAATGGTGTTAACACATTACACAGGAATGGCAATGCCACAAGTGGACCACTCAATAATTTTATCAGATACCATACAATTACCTTGAGCTTTCTCCACCTCTCGGAATGAAAGAATTTCATATTCGAATGTTTTACCTCTCCTCCTCCTCGACTTCTAACTGATCATCAGCAAACCTCAGAGTAGCAGCCTCCACTTGTTCACTACTATGATTATTCACTTCTAACTCTTCCTCTCTCAAATGTTGATGATGTCCATCATCATCATCATCATGATTATCGGAATGATGAGAACGATGTAGAGACATTTTTTTCGATAATAGAGAATCCTCATCATTCACTTGTTGTTGATATGGGTTTTGAGGTTGTCGATGTTGGGTTGTGGTTGGGTTCATAATTATAGATGAGGAGATGGGATGACTCTGAATAATTCTCGATGTAATGTTGATGTTAATCAATAAAATTGTTGTTCTTGAATTTTTCAAGTTGTGTTGATGCATAATTGAATGCTAAAGATTTTTCTGAGGGCATGGTTACCAATGGCGCCTACTATTAAGGTTGATTAGCAGAACTGAAATATGAACTATTGAAATCAAAGAATGATGGATGATGGTTATGGAATACTTGTTGTGGAATTTTTTTATGTACAATTTTGTTGTTAGAGGTGTTTTTCAAAGGTAAGGTGAGCTGTTGGTAGGAATCGACTATATCTTCTCATTTTCACAACAGAAAAGCCATTCTTTTTGTAAAAGTCAACTGCTGCTGCTTGTAGAGAACTAGTGGAGAGAACAATTGTTTTGTATCCCTTTTCTTTGCTCCATTTCACAAGGTGGTTGAGCATTAGAGAGGCAACACCTTTTCGTTTCATTGAACTGGATACGCTCATTCTTTTCAATTCTACTGTCTCTTCCTGATTGGCTCTCTTTCGAACACCAATGGTTCCAACTATTTCTCCTGTTGATTTTAGTTGAGCCACCCAAAAGTGATTATCTTCATCCCAAATGTAGAACTTTTGAATATTAGACATGTCACTATATTTAAATTGTTGATAAATATAAGATCTGGCAGAATAATCGACATATTTAGACAAGCCACAAAGCAGTAATACAACCATACTTGTGCAGGTAATAAAGGTAGAAATTATAGCATAAATTGTAGAAGACGCTGATAAATTAGTGAATGAGAGAATGATGGAAAGGAGGGATGTTGTATTGCTATTGGTCGTGGAGGATGAATCATCTGGATTAAATAATAATTTAATAATTCCAAATTGAAATATAAACGATGAAATATAGAATAGGGATAGTATTGAAAATACTTGTATAATTCCGAAATGATGAATGAATAAATAGAATGTTTGTAAATAAGTTGGTACTATAGACTTGATTCCTTCCACAAAGATCTTGTTCACTTGCTTTTCGTCAGTCTCGTAATTGTATGATCTTATAATGATTGAATCGTTAGAATTGTGTAATAATATTTCTTCATTACATGTTTTCCTTAAAGAAGGTGTATTTTGATAAACTTGTTTTTCATACTCGCAAGCCTGCTGTTCGTATTGTTGTTGTTGATGATCAACAAGGCTTTGAGCATTATTCTCTATATTTGATCTTTCATTCATTCCTAATATTTCTTCTTGTTTTCTATTGTCATTATTTTGTGGTTCTTGTTGTTGCTGATGATGGTAATTACTAATAGTAGTAGTATTAATATTATTATTATTTGCTGTTGAAGAAGATGTTAATATTATGCCCTCTTTTTCTTGTGCAGGGAGAATCCTTCGAATTGTGTTGTTGTTTTTTCGAGCCTTGTCGAGTATTATTGCTGTTGATGAACCTTCACATGATGATGATCCGAGAAATAAAGGATCAACATCATCATCTGTTGGCTTGTGATGGACTTCTTCTAATTCGCGACTGTGGTAGGAGAGTACGATCACCATTCTTTATTATTATTATCAGTAGTGGTCAATGGAAACTCTTGATGTCCTTCATCTTGTACAATGGCTTCATCAATAACATTTTCATGATGATGATGAGAATAAGTCACTCCCTCCTGATCAAAAGCAGTAGAGCTCGTGGAAAGAACGTGATTATCTCTTGATATTTTGCCAATCATCATGAAGAGGTTTTCTTCTTGATCCAAGTTTAAACTGTCGGAATTGTTCTTCTTCTTACTACTACTAATACTACTACTATTATCACAATCCAATAACATCATAAGAGAAGATAATGGTTGTAACACAACAGATCCCATATTGATTCTATTCTTTTGTTTAAAGAATCAAAATTGAATTCTTATGTGTGTTTTTGAAATGCACAGAGAGAATAGAGAATCAATAGAGATGAGACTTTTCTCGATATTGAGAAGTTGAATTGAGAAATTCCAGATTTTTAGTAAAGACAATATCTATTTTCTCTTCTTCTACTACTATTCTTTCTGAGGTTCTTACTTTTGTGAGAGGATAACAGAGAGGCGTTGTTTTTTCTTTGGAAATGTTATTGCAACTTCAGGAATGATTCTTTTGAAGTTTCGAATAATTTGTTATCACCATGAAATTCGGTTTACAATGTGGATGAGAGTACGTTTATGGTTATTGTCAAAATAGAGTACATCAATGCATAGTAATGGACAGAAAAGAACTCTTTACCAAACTCAAATCAAACAAATCGAAAAAATTCCATAACACAAATTTGTTTTTTAAGAAATCAAAAGAATAAAATTAACAATATAAAATGGATACAGCGAGCGGGGCTTGAACCCGCGACCTTAAGCGTGTTAGGCTTACGATCTAACCAACTGATCTATCGCTGCTTACATTCAACATGAAATTTTTCTTAATATCTATTTACCAAAATTTACACAGCTGCTTTTCCTCGAGCCGTCTTACTGTTTCCATTTAGTGCTCAAGCCATTCACATTAATCCACCCGAGCTTTTTTTCTATGAGCATGTACCAATTCAGTTTCTCCTTTTCACGTTTGATTTAAAACGCACGCAAAGTCCAAAACATGAATTTCAAAACTCAATCATAAAAAATGTCTTCAACTCAAAACACTAAAATTCCAACCTATCGTTTGCTTGGTAACTCTGGTCTCAGAGTATTCCCACTCTGTTTAGGAGCCATGCACTTTGGCTATAATGAAACATTCTCCAATGCATTTGTAAGTTTCAAAACTTTCATTTATATTGGGTTGATCACCATATATTATTAGGGTATTGGCAGTTCCGATGAAGAAAGTGAGAAGATTTTCTTAAAGTACATTCAATTGGGAGGTAATTTCATTGATACGTAAGTAGTAGTTGACCAAAACTATATCTCTAAATGAATTTCAAAGTGCCAATATTTACTCATTAGGTAGCAGTGAAATCTTGATCGGTGAATTGATCAAGAAGCACAACATTGATCGTGATACCTTGGTAATTGCTACAAAATACTCTGGACCAACTCCAGGTGTTACTGGTCCAAATGCTGCAGGAAATAATAAGAAAAATCTGTTCAAAGCTGTTGATGATTCATTGAAGAGATTGCAAACTCATTATATTGATTTATTATATGTCCACTTTTGGGATTTCACTCTTGATGTTACTCAATTGGTTCGTTGGTAAGTAATTTGAGTTTATTCCAATTTCGAATACAATTTCATTAAGGTTGGACGAATTGGTTAAGAGTGGTAAAGTTCTTCATGTTGCCATCAGTGACACCCCAGCATGGATTGTCTCTAGAGCCAATACCTATGCTGAACAAAACGCCCTCACTCCATTCACAGCCTATCAAGGAAGATATTCACTCGTTGATCGTGGCCAAGATCAAGATGTAATTCCAATGAGCAAGGCATTGAATATTGCAACTGTGCCATGGTAAGTGTGTGTGCATTTTCTATATATATATATATATATGGAAATTAATATGTTAATATCATGATGAATATTATGATGAATATAGGGGAATTGTTGGACAAGGTAAATTGACTGGTGTTAGAACTCGTGAATCAGATCAAGATGCCAAGAGAAAATTTGTGGAAATTAGTGAACAAGACGCCAAAGTTCAACAAGTTGTATTTGATATTGCTAAAGAAATTGGTCGTTCTCCAACTCAAGTAGCTATTAATTGGGTTTTGGGAAGAACCACTAGTCCAATTCTTGGTACTAGAACTTTGGAACAATTTGAAGATGCTGTCAAAAGTCTTGAATTTGAATTGAGTCAAGAACAACTTGAAAGATTGAACAAGGCAAGTGAAAATTCACCAGCTGTCATTTTCCCTCACAGTTTTATTGGAAATAGTTTTGATACTAATCGGTGGTTGTTCCTTGGAGGTGATAAGACTTACAATATTACAAATTAAAGTTGAATCTTTGTAAATAAAATATATTGATGAGGAAGAGCCTTCGCCAATATATGATTTGATTTATTTAACAAGTCTATTTATCATGTCAAGTTAAAGATTAAAATATTGATATGCTTGTATTTCTTTATCAATTTGAATTAATTTCAAATCAAATTTCATATTATATTGAAAAACAACATGGAAATATTTGCTTATCAAAGTATGCGGCAGATGCCTTTTTAAACAGTGGTGACGGTTTAATAGATTTTATTAAGGATCATGATGAAGAGTATATAAATGGAAGGGCAAATAGTGACCTCTATTTAATTCAAAAAAAATGGAGCCAGATGATACTCGAACAGAGCAACCAACTAACAAGTTTTTCTATAATGGCGATCCAAATGATGCAGTGACAGACAGGAAAATAATAGACTTTTTGAATAAATTGGTGCTAGACAACAAATGTGTAAACATTACACCATCCGAACTGGATGCTGATTCTATTATTACAGATTTTGATATCGAGTGAATAAACATCATCAATGCTGTTTCACAATATCACACTTTTTTGACCTCGTCTGGATCTTGACATTGAATTATTGGCTTCATTGTCCATACAGAATCAAAGACTGATAGTAGAGATTGTCGCCATATTCGTGGCAGGCTTCTAGTCTAAATTATAATGTTTCAATACAGTGAATAAACAACTTATTCCCTTCTTAATAAAGTTTCAACCTGTAATGAAAGAAATCTTCATCAATTTACTACCTTTATTACTGAGAAGAAAGTTTTCAGCAAAATTCTTCAATATTCACTCTTGGGAGATTTCAGAGAAATTATTGAATGATGGTTGTACCCACAGGTCCACGTTGTTTTCTTATTCAATATTAAGATTTTAAGATAGGAAATGACTACGGCCATATCACGATCCATGCACCTCATCCCGTCCGATTTGAGAAGTTAAGCATCGTCGAGCCACATCAGTACTGAGGTTGGAGACAACTTGGGAACCTGTGGTGCTGTAGTCTTTTACTCTTTTTGTACAGTATCAAGATTAAGTGTTAACTTTGTCAGTTAAATTCCATTAACAATTAATATGTGTGTGATGAATTCACCAATTTATAAACAAATAAATGTTGATTGTTAAAAATTGTCGTGTGTTAAAAGGCATGGGTGGAGTTGCGCCACCAACACTTCAGAGAAATGAGCTGATCGTGATGTTAGAATTACACTACATGCCTCAAATGCAGTGTAATTTTACAAGCATTCTAACCTTCAGATTGTTTTAAATGTTCACTTCATTATGGTATAATTCTTTTTTTAAAAACAGAATTCAGCCAACTCTGAAATGGAAGCTTCAATTAATCGATGCTTTAATTCTCGTTAGTTATGTAACATATGATATTTCATCGTAAATGAACTGTTTAACACTGTTAATATGGATCATTTTAGCACAATGTGGACATTATACTAAGGCCAACTAAGGAATCATTTTATTACGAATGAAATTGGGTGAAAGGGATCTGTGAGAAGAATCTTATTCGAAAGTGATTACTTGGTTTGTATCAATAGAAAATTGCAAATATTTATACAACCAATGACAACAAGAATATTAATTACTTTTCCAGTTGATGATCATAAAAAGGAACAACAAACGTCACTCATCAATTAATAAAATAAATCAAAAAAATTAAAAAAATATTAAAAAAAAATGACAACAAGAATCAACATTCTCCCTGACGAATTACAACTCGCTGCAGGTGTCTTGTCTTTACCAAACATTTTCGAAATCAAGTATTCTGCACCAGTTCGTCTCTACAAAGCAGCCAATAATAATCAATGGTCATATGCCAATTCTTATGGAATTTTGACAGTTACATTGGTTGAAAAACAATCAGTAGTAATGATTCGGTTGGTAGATTTGAAGAGTAAATCAGTTACTATGGAACAAGAATGTTATGAAGGTTTCGACTATCAAACACTTTCTTCCAATTTTCATGCATTCGAATCTGATGATGGTTTTGTTGGATTGTTATTTGCTGAAAGATTTGATGCTGATCAATTTGCCAAGCAAGTTTGTCAACTCATTCGTTTGAAAGCAACTGGTTCTATCAATGGTGGTTCAACTCCAAGTTTGCCTTCAACTAAACCTTCTGTTAATGTGAGAAGTGACAGTTCTGATTCTTCTTCACCAACTGGTAATGCTGGTTCCAGTACTGCACCACCTACTCCAGTGAAGAAGACTAGTCCTCCTCCATCTACTCCTCCACCAGTTGCTAACAAGCCAACTGCTGTCAATACTTCAATTGCTGCCAGTAGCTCAGTACATACTACTAGCACTTCCCATAAGGAACCTGAAAAGAAACACACTTCTAGCAATAGTGGTGGAGGTAGTAGCAGTAGTGGAGGTGGTGGTGGTTTATTCTCCAAGATTTTCGGAACAAAGAATAAGGACCAAATTCCTGACCGTTCACAAATCAAAATTTCTGGACCAAAGGTTGACAAGTTTAAACACGTTTCACACATTGGTTTTGATCCAAAAAGTGGATTTACAGACATCCCTCCGGAGTTAAAAACTATATTTGCGAAGGCGGGCATTTCTGAAGATGAATTGAAAGATAAGAAAACTGCCAAATTTTTAATGAAGACACTTGTCACTGTCACATCAGATGCTCCTCCACCTCCTTCTTTGGATGTTCCAAGTGGAAGACCACAACCTCCACCAACCCCAGGAACTAGATCAACCCCTCCTCCACCTCCTTTCAAGGGAGCTAGCTCAAATGCTCCTTCTAACTCAAGTGCCATTGGAGTTGGTGGTTTTGTTCCTCCTCCACCAACCAATGTTCCTCCTCCACCAGTTGTCGATCTCTCTGTTAAGCCTAGAGTATCTGTTGCAAGTCCAGCAACTGATTCTGATGGTGGTGCCTCAGGTGGAGTTGACATGCTTTCTGAAATTAAAAATAAGAAATTGAGAAATGTAAAGCAAGAAGATTTACCAGAATTCAAGAATATGGCTGAAAGTGATCAAAACAATTTGGCAGCCAAGATTGCAGGTATTATGGAACTTCGTCGTGGTAATATTGAATATTCCAGTGAAGATGAGGAAAGTGATGATGATGATTGGGAATTGTAAATATTTCAAAAACATATATTAATTGCAATAATACAAATCGGTTTATCGTATTTGTGAGCTACATTGTAATTTGTAATAAAATATCACAAAATGGAATTCAAGAAAAGTTTTAATGATTGATTGGCTAACAAATCAGTTAGTTGACAACACAACTTATTTCCCTCAAGTATTTTCGATTAATTTCAAATTGAAAATATTTGGAAATATTTAATGCTTTATGAATATCACCATCTGTTCCATTATAATAGTGTCTCCATAAGGTTCTAATCTTATCCTTACTGAATTATCAAACACTGAATTGAACTCTCTTATATTGAATCACTTCGGCATTGAATCCAATAGTGGGTATCTACTTTCTCATCTAATTGAATCTTGACAGACTTGATGTTTTACCAGCATCCAAACCTAATGAACATGGATTGACCCATTCCCACAAGTTTGGTCAATTCGATCCAATTAGAACCTTCAACACCAATATTATTATTGCTAATATCAAGAATGGTCAACTTCTTCCCAATCCAAGTGTTAATTCATTCAATTATTTTATGAATACTGATCCTTTCTCTACAATATCATTATGACCAATACCAAGTTTAATTAACTGTTTCAGTTTGCTAATATATTTAGCTCCTTCACCACTAACGCGATTGTAATACATCAAGTTTGGTTAATTGTTTCATTTCACTAATGGATTTAGCTCCTCCATCTCCAATGTTATTAATGCTAATATCAAGATTAGCTCTTTCATTCCCCCAATGAATTTAGCACCTCTTTCTCCAAAATTATTTTGATTAATAGAAAGATTAGTTAATTGATTCATTTCGCTAATATCCATTTCTGTTAATCCATTCATCAAATTAAATATTTTACAATTAAATATTTTAGAAACATTTCTAAGTTCCACTTTTAAAGTTCAACATTTTGCAAAAATCGACCTTCCATTACTTTCGAATCCTTTTCCAATTTTTAATTAAAGAAAGTTTCATTTCCGAAAAATTGACATTCTGTCACTGTGTTGAAACCAATGCACAATTCATCACCAGAAATTTAAAATCATGATTGTGATGAGATAGAATTTCATCAGGAAAGAGAATGTGTTTGCTCATTTTTTTGGGTTTTGTAAATTTCAAAGTTGCGCCAACAATAGGCTCTAAGAATGTGGGTTTGATAAGCACACGATTTAAAAGAATGAGGATCAGGATTGGATCTTACTAAATCAATGCAAAAGGAATATATGTTGAAAACGATTTCAATTGTTAATTTGGACGGGAAGCCTGCCAGGAATATGGCGACAATCCCGCTACAGTCTTTGACTGTATGAACAGTGAATTCAAGAGTTCTTGGACGAATCTTGTTTGTTCAGGTTATTGAAGAAAGTAAAAAGGTCGATCACTCTTCTATTTATTGATCATTAGATATGTTGAATTGCTCGATGAAAATTTTGGTTTCCTATTTTCTTATCATTTCGAAATTGAAACTTCACCTTACTTAAGAATTAAAAAAGACTGGTTCTCTTATTTTCTCTTTTCAATCTTTCGAATTTCCACTTGTTTTGCCTTCTCTTCAAACTTTTTAATTTCACTTTTATATAACTTCAGCCATCTATCTTCAATTACTCTATTTCTTTCCTCTCCAGTTAATCCTCTTCTAAAATGAATCCTCTTCCAACAATCTTCCTGAAAAATCCTAAATGCATTACTCATCTTGATGATCTTCTTTGTTATTTTCTGTTTGTTGGGTTTTAATTCATCAATTGACATTTTTACTTTCTTTTGGATTGGGTGTTGTAATGGAAGAGGACGATTTACTGGTGGAACTCTTTTTCTCTTAAGAATGTTTTCATTTTTTTTGTTAAATTATTTGATTGGTTTTGTAACAGACCCAACATTTGGACGGTTTCAACTTTACAAAAATTGGTAAATATTAAAATCTCTATCAATGTTTTACTCATAGCATCTGTCATAATATTCATTGATTGATGAATGTGAAATACAAGCCACAAATTTTTCTCTACTCATATCATAATACTCCTTAATGGTATCAAAATTGGCGTCAGGATTACACCTCACAATGTTTGCATAGAGAACCAATTGATGAATCAATGAGTCCTTTTTCTCAATAAATTGACGATTAACAAAATTGTGAACTCTTCGTTCAGACCAGTTATGAATTTTCTCATAATCTTGGTTCCTTCTCGTATTAATAATTTCCACATACATCAATTCAGACAATATTTCATAATTTACAAGGTCATCCAAAGAGTTACATCCTTGAATGGAAATTCTCAAAAGTTTGGGAAATCTCTTCCTTGTTATTGCAGATAGAATATTCCTCTCCAATTTTCCAGTATCTATCTGTAAATAATAATTATTCTCTGTTGAAGGAAATCTGATTGTTAAATCACGAACATTTGAAAATTCTTCGTGTCCTTCCAGGAAATTGTCATACTCCTCTCCAGTTTCATAAGATGTTACGAAAGAAAAGCATAGAAACTGAGCATGTTTCGGAATTGTAAACTGTTGATAATTCTTGTTGAAATTGATTGAAATGGCCACATAAATTGGCTGCAATGTTTCAAATATGATAGAGTCTTCTTCAAAATTATACTCCAAATCAATTAATAAACCAAGTGAGCTTGAATCCATAAAATTATCGGTAAATAAACCTTTCGAAAATAGATAACATCTTTCTAAAGTTTCATAACAGCTTTCCCCACTATGCCTTTCACTATCGAAATATGAAACCATATCAAGAGATAATATCAATGCCTTATGTAGAAACAAATCATACGGATCCAGTTGAGTAATTTGTTTGATTTTCTCAAATTTTGACTCTGAAACCATTAATTTCTGAACTCTTTCTTCGAATAATTTGTTCACATCCTCATCAATAAACTCATTTTCTATTTCATTCAAATCCACATCCTCAAAGGAATAACCAATACATTTCGACTTATCAATAATATCCTTATACTCTCGATTGGAATTCATCTCAACTGCCTCTATCAATTTCTGCATTTTGACAAAAGGAATTGATTCGTAAACAGAAATGTCACCTCTTGCCAACGAAAATCCCTCAAAAGATTGATATCGTTTCCAATAAACAACCATCTCCAAAATATTCGAAACCTCCTTCCAGAAATCACCCATTTCAACCAGAAACAAATAGGTAGCCTTTCTTGAAATTGTTTTACACCATTTATGCACAGCTCTCACATTTTCCACATCCAAACCATTCAAAATTCTTGGATAAATCAAATTCTTAAATTTCATAATTTCATTATTATTTTGCAATAAAGAAAGATGAATCGGACCAAGCCAATATTCAAAAATACAATAACGCCAAATATCCAGTGGAAGGGAGAGAAGATGAGTCATTGATGGTAGTCGTGGTGAGAATTTTTTTGGTTTGGAAAATAAACTTTTAATGCTCGATAAAACCTTTTGTGAACTTTGTGCAATTCCGTAATTGCAAGACGAATCTAAAGAATAATTTCCTTTAGCTTTTTTACGAGGATGAGAATCTAAATATCTTCCTTACAACATTTCATTTTGAAATAGTAAATAGACACTTAGGTTTTTAATTTAGGTTTTAACTGTACAATGTTTTTAACTTAGGGTTACAAATATTACAACCGATTGATTACTCGCTTTCAGAGTCTTCATCAGAATCATCTTCAGATTCCTCCTTCTTAGTCTTCTTCTTTGGTGGAGGTGGTTGAGTAGCATCATACTTGCTCTTTTCGATATTGTAGGCAGCCTTAAGTTCAGCAGCCTTGTTGACGTATGGAGCCTTTTCAGCATCGTTCATCTTTCCCCACTTTTCACCGACGAGTTTGGCAACTTCAGTAACCTTCAAGGTTGGATTTTCAGCAACAAGACTCTTTCTGTATGTTTGAGAGAAGAGCATATAGGATGAGAGAGGTCTCTTTGGAGCATTTTCGTCCTTCTTGGCCTTTCTCTTCTTTTTCTTCTTCTTGGCACCTTCATCATCAGATGATTCGGATTCATCAGAGGATTCTGGCTTATTCTTCTTGTATTCTTCGAATTGCTTCTTGTAGACTTCCATATTCTTCTTAGATACAGAATTATACTTGTCCTTTTCACTGTCGGTCAACTTGCCCCATTCTTCACCCAAGAGTTTTGAAACTTCACTAGCACTCTTCTTTTCACCTTCACCCAAGGTGGCCTTTACTTTTTCTCTACGTTCGTCACAGAACAAGAAGAAACCAGTCTTTGGCCTCTTTGGGGCATTTGGATCCTTTTTCTTTGATGATTTCTTTCCGGCCATTTGTTATTAGTCGTTAATATCTAGGTTAATGTTGTGAATTTTTATTTGATGGAATTTTTTAGGCTTTTAAATTAAAAATAGTACCGTTGCAGCCAATAACCGTTATGATTAAAATTTCGATCCACTTTGAAAGTTATTGTAAAGTTTTCAAACGATGTTTAGCGGTAGTAAAAGTGGTGACATTTTGCAATTGGATCAGATGATGGAAATAAATAATACAATTTGTTTTGTACACGGTTAATTTAATTTATTTGAACAACTTCTTCAAGCTCATGTTGTGTTCGTCTCCTCTCTTTGTTACCTTAGCGACAGCCATTTCCAAATCTTCTTGAGTAACGTGGACACGTCTTTCACGCAAAGCAAACATACCACCTTCTGTACAGGTAGCCTTGATTTCAGCACCAGAAGCACCTCCAAGCATTGATGCAATCTTTCTGAGATTGATACCACGAGTCAAATTCATCTTTCTGGAGTGAATCTTAAGAATATCTAATCTGGCCAATTCGTTTGGATTTGGGAATTCAATTTTACGATCAATTCTACCTGGTCTTAACAAGGCAGGATCAAGAATATCAATACGATTTGTAGCCATGATAATTTTGATGTTTTGTGTAGATTCGAAACCGTCCAATTGGTTAAGTAATTCCAACATGGTTCTTTGTACTTCACTATCACCACCTCCTTTACCACCTTCTGTTCTCGTACTACCAATACTGTCAATTTCGTCCATGAAAATAATAGATGGGGCATGTTCACGAGCCATGACGAACAATTCTCTGACCATTCTACTACCTTCACCAATGTATTTCTGTACCAACTCTGAACCAGAAACACGAATAAAAGTACAATCTGTGTGGTGAGCAACAGCTCTAGCCAATAAAGTCTATTCCAATCATACAATTATAATGTTGTTACACAATTTGTAGAGTGATCACAAGTATTCCGAATCATTAATGATGATGATGAAATACAATTATTATACAATAATAAAAAGATCCAAAGTCAATATAAATACAATCAAATAAAACAAACTCACCTTACCAGTACCTGGTGGACCATACATGATAACTATAGATTTAAAATGTTAAATAAATATTAAATACTAATGATGATCACTTACCTCCTTTTGGTTGAGCAATACCCAAGCTTTCAAAAAGTTCAGGGTGTTTGATTGGAAGTTCGATCACTTCCTTAACTTCTTTAATTTGTTCATCAAGACCTCCGACCATTTCATATGTAGCATCAGGAACCTTTTCTACTTTCATCAAACTGACCAAAGGATCAATCTTATTAGGGAGAATTTTATGGAGAGCATAGGAATCATTTCTGAGAGCAACTCTTACACCTGGTGATAAATCCTTCAATTCAATAGATTTGTCAATATCCACAATATATTTTCCTTCTTGGCTGATCTTGATAAGAACCTTCTTTTTTCCCATAACTTTAACAACTTCACCAACATGGCTTCCTGGTTCTTGGAGTTGTTGTAATTCTTCCTTCAAGCTCCTCACACGTCCGTTCAATTCATTTCTTTGTGCTTGTAAACGTCTAAGATTTTCGATTTTATCCTTTAATACAATTTCCTTCTCTTGAATCTTGGCAATGTAATAATTTTTCAATCCATTGGCTGATGGTGGTTTTGATACCAGTGTATTTCCAGAAGATGATGAGAGCATTATTTTTTTTGTTTGATGTTTCTTCATACAATGGCATTCCGTAAAAATAGAATCTATTTTTATTTTATATTTCCAAGACAAAGGTGTACACCTTGTTTGATTTACAGAATAATCCTTATTGATGTTAATTGTTTCATTTCACTGATGAATTTGAGTTGTTCTAAAGAGTCAAACAAATGTTCAGAAAATTCAACATTAACAATACTATTCATAAATTGACTTTTCATTCCGCGTCAGACATTTCTCTTCCATATTTCCTCCGAATTCATTAATTGATGATTTTCAAAATCATGTCTGTTTCGTTTACTCATTTTTTAAATTGGAATACTCAACATTAACCTCTGTGAAAGAAGTTGATATCTCTTTATTACCAATCATATTCAATTGTCTGACATCTTCAACTATGACCATATCACGATGAACGCATCTCAAAGTATCAGTATTCCCCATACGTTCACATTGTTTTCTTATTCAAAATTAAGATTTTAACAGAGTGAATGACTACGGCCATATCACGATGAATGCACCTCATCCCGTCCGATTTGAGAAGTTAAGCATCGTCGAGCCACATCAGTACTGAGGTTGGAGACAACTTGGGAACCTGTGGTGCTGTAGTCTTTTTATTTTCACTTAAGGTTCCTTTAATGGAAGACCTTCTTATTTTACATAATAATAGATCACCCCAAAATTCTGTAAAAGTGAAAGTGTTTAAATGTGCCTTTTATGGCCAGTGGAACCAACATGCAAAAATTTCGTGCGTACAATCTCATCAGTTTGAGCGCTTTGAATTTCCTTTATCTTTCCCGCTCAAAACCATTTTTACTTTTTTCAAAATCAAAACAAAAAAGCAAAACTCAAACAATAACAATGAAATTCGAAAAGAGACCATCAAAAGAAAGAGGACATTATGATGCAGGTTGGCTCGATACCTATCACACATTTTCCTTCTCCACTTATAGAGATTCAAAATTTAATCAATTCGGTCCATTGAGAGTATTGAATGAGGATTGTGTGGAGCCATCGAGTGGATTCCCAATGCATCCTCATCAGAATTATGAAATATTTTCGTATGTCTTGTCAGGAAATTTGACTCATTCAGATTCTATGGGAAATACAGAAATTTGTAAGAAAGGTTCAGTTCAGTTTACTTCTGCTGGAAGTGGTATTTATCATAGTGAGTTCAATAGGGACAAGAATGAATATGTTAAATTCTTACAAATTTGGGTGAAGCCAAGAAGCCTTGATGCGAAACCAAATTATCAAAAGATGAGTTTCTCACCAGACCAAAAACTGAATCAATTGTGTTTAATGATTGCTCCAAAGGAAAGTGCCAAATTGAAGGAAGAAGAATTAATTGGAATTGATCAGGATTTCTATGTACTTTCTAGCTTATTAGAATCTGGAAAGAAGGTCAATCATACTTTATATTCTGGTCGTCAGATTTATGTTCATGTTCCAATTATGAGTAGAACTGGATCAGTATCCAATTCTAAATCAAATGGTTTGTTATCTTCTTTACTTCGTAAGACAACCAACCCTTTTATTACCAATTATTTAAAAACTAAATTTTCAAAAACAAAAGAACAAGTTTCCATCAAACTTTCCAATAATAGTAATGGAAATGGTGAACTTATTACATTGAATGAAGGTGATGGCTGTTCCATTCAATCAGATTCACTGTCCGAAGAGGAATTAATCATTGAGGGTGTTAATTCCATGACTGAATTTGTCGTGATGGATATGAAAAAGTAATTTCTATTGTGGAACTTTGTAAATAAAACAATTCTGTGTAAATTTCTTTCAGGAAGGTTGACTGTTTTACCAATCGAAACCCGCATCTATTTCATGTTTATGCTAATACTCATACAGAACTATTCGCAATCTATAAATCATCTTGCCACCATGGTTTTAATCTGATTTAATTTCCACTTTAAGATTAGGATTATGAATTAGTTTGAAGTTTCTTTATCAAAGTTCAATACTTTCCACCGGGTTTGCTAACGAAGTACGGGTTCAATGAAACTTTAAACACGAGTTTATTAAGCATTAATCTTGAGTCTTCTACCGGCTTGGGCTGGTTTTTTCTTCTTGTCTTCTACCTTTTTGAAACTTAGGGTTGGTTGTGCTGAATATTCTTCTAGCTTTACAAAACTCTCTGCTTCTCTAACCTTACGATCTTGTTCTGCTAAATGTTTGATGAGTGATATACATAGACTTTTGGTATGACATAAACAAACAGAATCAGGGATAATATCTCCATCTTCTATGGCAACAATTTCATTTTGAGAAGTAATAGGCCACAGACTATCCATAATAATATAGAAATTCAACCCAATATTTGTTTGTTGGTAGAAAGCAGGAATCAAGAACCTTATAATAAATCTTTTGAGAACTGTTGTAAGGTTATTGATATTGACATTGTTTTCTTGGCATGATCTAATAATTCTTTGCACAATATTTTCTTCCAACTCTATAGTATACAAGTCACTGAGATAATTAACTTCAAAATCAAAGATAACTTCTTCTACATATTCAAACAAGTTGACAATCTTGTTGAGAGTAAAATTAGCGAAAAACTGTTCCTTGTCATTCAAGTTGATTTTCCAATCATAGCAAAATGTAGAGACTGTAACATCAGGATTAAAGTTCACCAAATTCATGACTTCCAATAGTTTTTGTAAGGAACCTTGGATTTTTTTCAATCTTGGCAAGTCGTTGATTAGTATATTCACTTTGGTTCTTTCAGAGTCGTCCAGAGGTATTGGATTTGGAATTTTCTTTCTGGCGGCCATATCTGCATTGCTACCAAAAGATTCACCAATGTACTTGATTTTTCTCAAGTTTTCAAAATCCAATCGCTTTTTTCCTAATAAATACTTTGAGGCCAAAGCAAATTCAATCTTATCAAAAAGGTATCCAACTGTTGTACCTTTTCCATATTCATAATTTTTGTATGAAAAAGTAATGGTTAAATCTTCCAAGTATTCTGGGTTAATAATTACCAGATCTTTCTTTTGAGCTTTTTGTACTGGAATAGTAGGTAACCCTATGATACCATTAATAGATTTCAAAAAGGCAAGATTTGCTGATTTCTCAGCATTTTGTTCTGCAATATCTATAAAATTATTTTGTACTTCAGCATAGCCTTGCAAGGCAGCACAAATATACAACCCAAATGGCTCTTGCTGATCTTCTATCAAGAAGAATGATAGCATTTCTGTGTCAATCTTTTTCTTTGATTTAGGTTGTTTACATCCATAATTTACAGCTTTTTCTGCTTTCCATTCTGTAACTACCTTTCCATAGAGTTCTTTCAAGCCATTAGTTTCTGCATAATACTTCATTTCTGTTTTTTCAGCAGTTGCTCGTTCAATAGTGTTATCACATTTATCCATCAATAAATTGGAAAAAGTGATAAGGTCGAAAAGGCTTTCGATGTGATGTAGCTCTTTTTCATTAGTCAAGTAGGCTTTCAGGAAAGGATACAATTGTGCATTCTCTGGATTAGACATGAATAATGCCTTCATGCCTTGGACAGAAGGAGATGATGTAATTCTAAATTCTGTAAATTTGTTAATTTGGGAATTATTTGGCGTACATGTTTCTTCAATGATTGCTTGGAGACTACTGTTTTCTTCGGACCTGGTAGAATTCATTTTTATATCTCTGATTGAGAGGTTAATGTCTCCCAGAACTCTGGAGGTATATTCTATCAATCCATTTTCGAAAATGGCTCTCTTGTCCTCTGTATCTAACCTTTCATTATTTCCAAATAAATAATCCAAATTTGAAATAATACATTGCTGCAATAGGAAGCACAAATTTTCACCTTGTTGATCTAAAATTTGGGCCAATATATTCCAATCCTTAGCAGCTTTTTCATTAAAGTAATCAATAGGGTTATTAAGTTGATTCTGGATGAAGAAACCTCTAATTTCATCTATGCTAACTAAATTGATATCTAAGCCATTGAGGATAATTGAATTAATAAAGAATTGCCAAACTCTGAACATTGCTGGAGGGAATTGTCTTACGGTATGATAATCATCATTAATTGCAGACATTGTACATCCTTTTTCGTTGGATGAATCGGTTCCGTCTCTTTTAGCTTCATCAATTCTACTTCCTTGAATAAGTTTGTGACCTTCTCCTCCAAGTGTTGCTCCACATGTTGGGCATCTAGCAGTACCATTAGGTTGTCCACAATTTCCAATCAAATATACATAACCACAATTACATCTGTATCTACTGTGACCTCCATCTTTGGTGTTGATAGCCTTCAAAATACCACCTAAAATATCGTGTTCTGCTGTAACTACGTATGTGGAACGGACTGTATTTGGATTTTTGATGAAGATGGAAATAGGGTTTTCTGGTATGCATACAGCAAGACACATAACACTAATTCTAATAACATAACTGCAATCCCTTACAGTTGCTGATCTAAGTAAGCGTGTCACAAGGTTTTTTACAGATTTTGAAAAGCTTTGGAAGCTGCTTGCAAAGAATTCCACACAGAGACGTAATGTTGAATCGGTAATTTGTGAAAAGTGAATATTGTTAGTAATCAATCCCATCAATGTGTACAACAACTTTGGATTGGACTTTGCCTCTTGAATAAGTTCCAACATATCTCTTGTATTATTCAAGTAGTACATTTCATCAAAAGCTTTTTCTGCTTCTTTGTATCTAGGTAGTGACCTAAATATGTTATAACCAAGTGTGTCGAACGATTTGTTTGTTAAATCAACATCTAATGATCCAGAGATATCAGACTCCACAAATTCTTTAAAATCTAACCAATTATCGAAAGATTGTTTCACACATTTGAGAAGATAATTTTTTGCGTCTTCGTCTTGAGATAAATAATTGGAAATTATTGATCCAGAAATAGTGGTTTGAAGGTCTTCTTGACTTGAAATATTTTTCAAATGGTGTCTAATTGATGCAACGTAGTAGGCTCTTTCAATATCTGGAACTGACTCACTATTAGGAGAATTGATTTTGTTACCTAATATTCTTAATTCTTCTTCATTGGTCAATTCTTGGTCTGAAACCAGTTCTTCAAGTACATCTATAAACACATAGTAAAGAGGGCAATATGGGTTATTCACAAGAAGATTGTTTAGAACCCTCAGGTTCTCAAAATTTCCCTCCTCTAACTCTTCTATATGATCAACACAAATCTTATAGACAATTTGCGTCAAATATTTAACATCTTGGATTTCAACAAGTTCTCTACATACTACCTCCAATAACTCTTCTGTAAGCTCTAGTCTTGAAATAAATACCATCTTGGATTGGAATAGGTTTTGGGACTTTGATAAAATTTGCAATATGTTTTCTATTAATTTTGGATCTTCAAGATTGCAATCATAGCAGAGAATCTCTGTACATATTTGTTGGATTTCATATGGGTATTCCAGTAAATAGTGAGAGAAATCTTTCAAAATTTTTAACAAAGTAGCTGAAACATTCTCTTCCAACAATATTGGCAAAACTGTTGCTATTTTGTCTTTCCATTCATTGTTAGGGGTTCTAGTTCCGTCTTGAAGCAGAGATAAGGTGATTATATCAAGTAAATCATCCAAGCATTCAATATCCTCAGGTATCTCAATAGAATTTCCACAACAATACTTGATTAATTCTACAACAGCAAGTAATGTTTTTTGGTTATTCCAAACCATTAGTATTAATCTTTCTTTTGGAGAGAGTACTAAGTTGATCTCGAATAAACCAAGTATGATATTTTCGAATATTTGAGCGAATTCTGAGTTCAGCCCCAGTTCTTGAGCAGTGATTGTCAAAAAATCTCTTTTAAGAAGTTCTTCTGAGTAATCTTGCAGGCCAAAAACGCATTCAGATGACTCTATCAAAGAAAGAAGTAGAGGCTCTAACTGTTGTTCTTGATTATCACCTTTTTCAATACTGGAATTTTGTTTTAACATTTCCAACTTGTCTTTGAGTTCCTTATAGATTTCACATTGCCACTTACTATATGGAAGTCTCAAGCCCTTTATCAACATAATTTTAGAATTATTAGCTCCATTATTGTGGTATTTAGCAGTGATATTCTTCCATAAAGCTCTCAACTTCGGATCTGCAATGAAAAAGGTCTCAAGAGCTGAATGTTGTTCAATGAATTTCAAAATATTGAGCAATTTTCGTTGAACAAGGTCTTGCATTTCGTTTTTGATAGCATCTATCAGACAACCAGATTCTGCAAGCTTTTTCTTGTCAAGGGCAACATGTTTCCTCCAATCAAACTGAACCTTTTGCAATTCTTCATTAAGAATTTCTCCAATAAATTGTAAAAATTCGGCATCTTCAATTATCTTGGAAGATAATGTACTTATGTATTCAATATTTACGGCAAAGTAGTCTATCTTCATTAATGTTGCCTGAATGATATCTTTCAAGATACTTTCAACATTGTAAAATTCACTCGAGAACATATCATGGATATCTAATAAGTTGGTCTGGTCAAAATTAGGGGACAACTCGTCAATAGTCACTTGTTTCCACCCATTCATGAAATTTAATTTCCAATCTTCATTTGCATTCTCATAAATATCTCTGGAGATGTGTAAAATGAGGAATACCTTCTTGTCAGTCCTGTCAGAGTTTTGAATATGATGATCTACAATAAATTTTACCATCGGTACAAATTTACCATCCAAATGAGATTCAAAGTGTATGGTCAACAGCCCATTTTCTTCATCATTAAAGAAATCTTCGACTTTTTTAGCAAATTCCCTCTCTGTATTAAACTCTCTTACCCTAATGGAGGATAACCAGGTAAAGTTTAATTCTGTCAAAATATGTGAAAAGGTCATAATCATGTGAGCAAAACCATCACAATTGTTGTAGTAGTCTAATAGATTATTATGTTTGTCTAATTGGTATCTATTCAACCAGTTGTCACATTCTTCCTTAGATACGCTGGAATATGCCAATCTGACTATACCATCAAAGGTTGAAGTTGCGATCAGTGCTTCTTTGCAAATTTCTACACAGTGTTCTACTGAGGTAGTTGAATTAGTATTTGCAAGAACCAGTGATGATAGTGTATCTGAAGAATAGGATGGAAACATGTCGTTAACAGTAAAAACGTTACTATCTAAATTAGTAATATTTTCTACCCATTCATTTAAACGCATCACACATTCATTCACTTTAGATTCACTAATATTCTCAAAGTTAAGAATTTGTTTTTCGAATCGGTTCAAAAAAGGAGGATCACAGGTTGCCAGACGCTTTTGGTCAACTAAAACTATGCATCTAAAATTCTCGTTAACGTGGCACATAGGGTTACTATGTGGGCCAATAGCAATTCTACAATTTCTTCTTTTAGCGACATAAGTATAGTTTTGATTCAGCATATCGTATAAGCTGCCATAGACACTATCTAAATCTTTCAAAATCAATGTGTACCCTTCTTCCATACAATAAATAATCTTATTCAAAACCACATAGCTGTATTCTTCTGTCTTGTCCAAATTGAACTGACTTCCATAAATAATTTCAGGACTTCTATTAAGGAACTCTTTGTAATAGTACGTAATGATATCTAATGCAGAATCACTATTAGTAATTAACATTAGATGTCTGGCATTCTTATCTTCAATATTTTCTTTGATTAGTTCCAATATTGGCAAGTCTGATGGTACAGATTCAGTAATTGATGCTTTTTCAAATAATATTTTCTTGAAATTCATAGCCGAAGCTGAAAGACCTCCAAAATTTCTATCTATAGCTCTACAAAGACTAACAGCAAAATTTTCTTCTTCTTCAATGATAACACTTTTGACAAGTGAGTAGTAATCTCTCAAACCATGGAAATTGTTATATTTTTTGTTTGAAATAAATTCGTAGTAGGACTTAGAAAGATAATCTAATAGAAGTTCTATTGTATCTGTCTTTTCAATATGATTATTTTCAAATAAAATTGTTTTTGCAATTTCCTTTAGCTCATTTTCATCAGCTTCAGGTCTAGAAACATGGACTGCTCTGTTCATTTTTGCTGCGTCCAACCTCCAGTTTGAGATACCAACCACGGCAACATCCCTTTTCTTTGGTTCTAACAATGCGTGTAGAGCTTTTAGAGGGTTGTGTGCTGAAATTTCAGCTAAACCAATTTCATCCAAAATTACTACTGGTATAACTTTTTCTTCTTTTTCATTAATTTTCAAATATCCTCTTGCCTTATCAAATACCTTGAGAATACCCTCTGATGTAGAAGACTCTGAACCTTGGAATGCAATGAAGATGAGTTGTGGGAGAGTTTTGAAGTATTTATCTATTGAATCTTCTCCTCTTAAATTACTAGTCAAAAGTTGAATAGCTAAACTTTTGCTACAACCTGGCTTACCAACAACAAAAACAGGAAGCTTGTTCAAAATGCACACCAATATTACGAAAATATTTTCTTTCAAAGACCTATTCCAGGCAATATTTGGTGGAATTTCCATTCTTCTTAGATAACTTGTCTGCTCTTCATCAACTATCCTTACAAAGTCTTCTTTTGAAATTCTTGGTAAATGTTTACAAACAGTAGTTAGATAATTTTCTCTATATTCTAACTTTGCTAATCTAGAGTAATAACAAACAGAAAGTGCTAATACAACGCTAGAAATATCATATTTGTCATCACGTTGGTTTTCTTGTATCCACATGATTTGGTTTGCTTTTTTCAATGGTTCTGATCTTTTTTTAAGGGTTTCTAAGAAATACTGACACAAAACAATAAATCTATTGACGTCTCGCAAACTAACGCTAGAAGCATCTTCCAAATCTCTTACAAAAGCTTGGGATTCACAAATTATTGTGCAGAGAATATGTTTTGGAAATTGTATGGTTAATCTTCCAAGCATTGTTTGGATATAACTCATTTCGTCAGTTTGAGATAAAAAGCCATAATCCCAAATATAATCAATTAAACAATCAGGTAAAGGATTGACTCTATAAGCAAGGTCTGATGCTTTATCTTTTTCTAGAGCAGATGTATAAATATGCTTCCTTGTTCTATATGGATTGCATGCAGCAATAACTGAGATATTAATTGGTAGGCTGATTCCACGTATTGACTTTAAAGTTACAATTTCTGAGACCAAACCTAAATAGTCACATGTGTTAATTTCATCCAAGAATACCAAATGCTTTGTATTAGGATTGTTATAAGCTTGTTCTATAACTGCTTCCATAAAGCTGATAATTATGTCAGGTGTTGTTCCAGCATGGAAATTAAGTAAATTAAAGGAGGCACCTGTTTTTTTAGCTAAAAACTCTACCAGACTTGTTTTTCCACAACCTGTTTCACCTGATATCACAACTGGTATACAGGCTTCTACTCTTAATAGTATTAACATCATTTTCAACAAATTGTCTGCAGTCATGGCATATTGACCATCATACTCTGTAATAGATCCGGCCATCTTTCCCAACTCAAATAACAAGGCTTCTTGATTGAGAGAGGAGTAATCTGGAAGAGAAACTTTTTGGCTTTGCAAAGTGTCAAAAATATCGGAATGGGTTTGTTGAAGGAAAGACAAGTCTCTATATAGAGCTGTGATAGTGGAATCGTACTTATGGAAAGCAACAATAAGGTGATTACTTTCCTCCCATCTAACCATTCCAGATTCTTTAAACAACACCACATCTGATTTTGATCCCATCACATGATGTTGTTGTTGTTTTCTATTTCCATGCACAGATCTGGTTGAAAATTCAGAATACACATCCATTAGTACTTTAACTAGTTTGCTTCTAATTTTTTGGGATTCTGTAACATGTGTAATTTGTTGGGTTTTTAAGAAAACTGACTGAGAAAATTTGATAAATTGTTCAGCAAGAACATTAATGAATACGTGCATTAAAGAGTAATTGATCTCCTTCTTATTTTTAAAAAAGTACTTTTGAATCAAGAGTCTACATTCTTCATCAGATACAACGGTTGCATTTGCATTTGGGCCACTGAATATAATATCTTCCGTATCTATTGTGTCATTATCCAACGCTTTCAGGTAATTAAATGTGACTTGACTTCTAGATAATAATGATTTGTTGAAAACTAAATTTTCTAAACGAAATTCAATATCTTTCTTATTAATCAAATATGTTTCTCGAATGGTCAAGAAGTTCCAAAATCTGGATTGGCTCTCTAATTCAATAAATATATCAAGGTTATTAACAGGAATTTTGAACATAACACGGTCATCTATCACCATACCAAAAGTTATAATCTCGAACAAAAGATTATTCAGCAAGCAAGCATTTGATTGGGATAAATTTCTTATATCAATGTGTAAACAGTCTATATGTGAGAGATTCAACCTCTTTAATCTATTGCACAATTCTGCTCTGTTTACTGAATCCATAATAGGTAAATGAACCAGTTTTTTACGTCTACGGAGTGCCTCAAGCCTAATATTTTCTGTTTTTCCGACACCAGATACATCTGATGAGTAAAGATAGGCTTTTGAAAATGGTTGAATAGCTTTAGTAGTGGTTGTGTTTGGAATATTTTGTAGGAATCGTTTGAATTGGTTTACAACATAGCTAGTTTGGTTTCCACTGGTATCTATCAAGCACAGTGAGCTCTTTTTTTCTAGATTAAGTTCTTTGAGTCTATTAATTTTATCAACTAGTTGAGCTTGAAGTGAGAACGAAAGCTTCTCTATTTGTGCTATGCAATATAGATCACCAGATAGATTGTTAAAAAACGATCTTGAAACAATAGCATTAAGTGGCTGCCAAGTAGTACCATATTCACAAAATAGTACTGTGGAGGGTTTAGGAAGGCTATTAGTGAAAATTTTCAGGATTGTGCTAATGAGCTCTTTGTTTTCCACAGATAGGACTACAAAAGTATTTCTAAAGTAGGATGATACATTTGCATCAGATTTAACCTTATTGTGAAAGATTTTATCCAAAATCTTACCCAATCTTTCTAATCTATGTTCCATGTCTAATAGCTGTTCTTGTTGTTGGAATTGTATCAATTTAATTTCATTCTTGGATATTGGATGGATAAAATTTAATAGAGGATAAACATCATCTACTGTGCCATTTCCAGAAAAATACCTTTCCAACACCCAGAATCGCTCTGGAGCGAAGAAATTCAAAAAGAAATGTTTTCCTAAATAATTATCCAAAATGGTTTGCCAGTTTTGTGTTTCCGTCTCAATTTCTTGGATATTATCTGGCAATGCATCGAAATCTATTTTTTCAGAACAATAATCCTTATTGTTTCCCAAAGCTTTCAAATTGTTAATTTTTGTTAAGTAATCAAAAGCAAGATCACAATATTCTATAAACATTTCCATATCATGGAAATTTCTTTCAAGAGATTGGTCTTTTCTTGAATTTATAATCAACAATGCTCCGCTTCGTAAATCTTGTATATCAGCTATACTGACTTGTTTTACCTGGTCGTCATTACCATTGTAAAGCAGAGATAAAATATAGGCAGTAACATTTTCCAATGAAACTCTAAAATAGCCAGATTGTGTGGCATTGTAAATTGTTTCCTTTGTGAGCTCTCCTCTGTTAGCAATAGAGTCTAGCAGATTTTTCAAACCGTTAATAGAATGATTTGAGCTTTCGACCTTCACTACTAATTTTAAATCTACAACAATATTTGATAAACGGTTACAAAAATCTTGGATGCTTCTATATTCCTGGCTAATGATTGGCCTGATTAATTTGCTGGCCTCAATCAAATCTGCCACTGTTTCTTGCCTTATAAAGTTTTCTCCCAAATCTTCAACTGCATTTACCAAAGCCATAATACTTTGTTGATCAGTCTCCTTAATGAATTGAAGGAGTGGAGAAGAAGTAGACAAGGCATCTAGAAAAAGACAGTCCATTCTAGCAAGAGAATAGGTGCTAATTATTTGCTCTACACGCTTACAAGTTTCAATCCAATTCGATTCTAAGCTCATATTCTTGAATTCATTTAATTCATCAATTTCAGTATCAATATCACCGATGTCAAGAGCATTTGAGCCAGTAATCTCTATAATTTTTTGAACCAGCTCCATTACCTGTTTTGTAAAGAGAAGGGTTTTCAATTTGGTAGTAAGTTCTATTACTTTTTCATCACTTGCGTCAACAAGATTACCCAAAAATTTCACTTCATTTGTAATATTTTCTTTTTTGATAGCTCCTAAAATTTCAATAACTTTGGAGGAAGGTAGTATTCTCCCCTAAAAACAGTTCATAAGAAAAATGTGTAAGCTCTACACTTATAGCAGAACCAAGATCGATTATATCACTAACCAAGCTAGTATGTTTGCTTGTTCTCGCTTTAAGGAGTTTGGAAAAGGATTTTGACTGCTTGCAGCAAATGATAGTCTTCAAATTTTTGTTTTCAGCTCCAGATACAGATTGATTTTGGAATTCTGAAAAGCTCATCTTCATCATGCCATCATATAAATCCTTATATTTCTTTTTCATCTTTTCGAAATCAGAACAATGGGTACAGTATGCATCAAGAATTTTTCTCATATCATTGATGTGTTCTTTGTATGTATTGATTTGTTGTATCATATCAGCAAGACTTTTAACACAATCCTCTCCGAGATATAACTTCAATATTTGATGATCATTGTTGTTCAAATTTTCAATTTTTTCCACTGTTACAGCTGCAAGGTTCTTCTTTAAAAAGTTAATCTTTGTGGTAATGTTCAAAAGTTTTGGCTCTGGTTTTAGAGTAAAGTACTTAATCAATAAAAACCAAGCATTGTCTTTAAACACTCTTTCCGTGTCCATCAATTCTAATATCTTCAAAAGGATGGCACGTAAGTGAGAAGTGTTGAACTCCTTTCCGCAACAAACACCATCAATGACATAAAGGTACAAGGGTACTTTTTTGCTTTGCAATTTTTTGATAGTAATTTTAATCACTTCAACCACAGATTCATCAAGAAATTTAATTGGCAACGCACACGGTTCGTTGATGATCGTCTTTAAACAAAAATCCAACAGTGACTCATCAGTTCCCTTTTTCTCCAATCGAGGGAGAATAACCTCATGCACAGTATCTAGAAAATTCTTTCCAAGATTTACGGTACACAAGTGAAGATAATAAGTTAAATCTTCTACACGTACACCTCCGAAAGTAACTCTAGCGGCAAGCCATTTCTTCAGCTGATCTTTCAATTCATTGTTTTGGAATTTTTTTATAAATTTGCAATGGTGATAAAAAACTTTACAGTCTTTTCATTGTCGGTCAATTGCATGGTGCTAAGAAGTACTTTTAGTTTGTCTTCCTTCTTGATTTCAGATTGGTCAATGAGTTCTTGAATTCTGATCAATTCTGTTTCATCTTCCAAATCAACCTTTTCAGACAAAATCAATGCAACCATTTGTGTGTCAACAGATAAACTCAACTTGGGATAGTTTTCTCTAATTGAGAACAACTTATCCATGTTGGATTCTGTACCAATTGCTTTCTTGAACTTGTCTTTAAATTCATATGAGTTTGAATATTCTGGATTCAGTTCTAAAATGAAATCAAGATACGTCATTCTAACTGGTAACGAATTCAAGAGGAAACGTGCCACTGCACCAACGTAAGGACTATTCAAAATGGCTTGCTTCTTTTTCATAAGGTTTTCCATTATCTCACTCAAAGCTCCTTCGTTTGTTATTAAGTAATTAGTATGATTGTTCTTTACAAACTCATAACCTGTAATTTCGGTGTAATCTGAAGACAAAAGTCTTAAGGCAAAATCAGGAGTGAGACTGATGGCAATTCTGGTGAGAATAACACCTAAACATTTGGATATTGTTTTGTATTGCTTCATTTCTGAATTAAAGGGAACAGCTAAAAGAGAGTTGAAAATCAATTTCATATCATTAAATTGCAAATTGAATAGAGCATCTGACAATCCAAGTAGAGTACATATGATGAACCGAGTGTTAACATCTTCTGGGGTTAGGTTCTTCATAAAGGTCACAGCATAATAGAGATCAAGTTTTTTGTTTGATTGGACGAATGATGTTAATAAACTTTCTAACTTTTCATAAATGTTTCTACCTGTTTACAGATATAACACGGCAATATTCTACAAGTCCAACAGTATGGTTTTGGTCGAACGCAAAACTATATCTACTTTCACCAAGCATGACCATACAAGGTCTAATGTCATTGCCAGTGAAAAATCTATTTACTACATTCTTGGAAACGTGCATTTGTAAAACGACAGAATGGACATATGGATCAAAGTTACCTCTCATTACATAAAATTGTTGCCCAATCGGTTCCATCTCTCCCAATTTTCTTTTTCTATCATCAAAAACCTCTACCTTGCTGTATTGATTGTTCTCTTGCCACAAATAGATGGTTCGTTTCAAGAATGCCTCATTGCTGACAATAGAACTGGAAGAAGTTGCTACCTGGTTGTCTTTTGTAATTGGAATCTGAATCAGTCTTTTGGAGCGAGTACCCTTTCTGAAAAGTTTCGATCTTCTTCTCTTGTTGCTGATTTTCCTTACTCTCTGATACCACTGAAACAGTCTGTTGTTCGATTGTTTCTGGAGGATCTGAAATAGGAGGATATTGAACCTTCTTTGGTTCACTGATCGTACTGTTTTCGACTGCTGGTAACTCATTACCAATAGTCTGATCAGTATCAATGTCCATATTATCATTCGATTGGTTACCACTTGTTTGATCGACTGGAGGTATGTGTGTTTGATCACCAGATGAAGTGCTAGTTCTAGGTGTTTGGGATTCGGTTGATGGTTTTGGAGGGCCTTCAGAATTCCCAACCCTATTCTCCTCTTGCACAGTTGTGGAACTGTTGGGAGGATTAGCTGTTAACATTTTTTTTGAGATGATGAGACGAAACGTGATGAAGTGTCAAAGTTTTATTTACCCAAAGGTTTGGAAACTGTTTGCCTCTCTGATCTTTGATTGGTACATGAAGAAGTTGCGTTGTGGACGCAGGTTGCCAATCCTCTTGTGTTCGAATTACAACAAGTGCATGGTCCTAAACAGACGAAACAAAACTTAAGTGAACAATTACTGCATAACATGTGACGACATCCTCTACCACTATGAGTATTTGGAGTAAAGAAGTCTGGACACAAACGCATTGAAGGCACTCCTGTAGCAAGAAATGGAGCTGATCCGTTCATTGAAATATTCTATTCGAATCACGTTTAGTTACAGATGGATCAATTACGGATAATGAACCAATTAAAATACTTACAACTGTTTTGCATTTAGAGGCTGCGTCTTGTTTGTGTTCATTCATTTTTTTGTAATGAAAACTTCACGTTCAAGTCATCAATCAAATATAAAAAATGGAATGCTCATCATGTCACTTTGTGCTGCCATCATCAATGTTTGTTGGTTTTCCATTGAGTGATGACTGTGATCACATCACCACTTCTTGTTTATCTGTAGTTAGTTTATTAGTACAAACATATATTTAACAAAATTTAAGTGTTTATTAGAAATGGATAAATGTCCAGAAGATGGATTTCTCCTTCCGGAACAAACCAAGGATTTTATCTCAAGATCTTTGAGAGGGCAACAAGTAGAGGTGAATGATCAAGAAATTAATGTGATTGAAACTCCACAAGTTGATGAACCAATCACTGTTCAAATTTTGACACTTGGTGGCTCAGTTTGTCAAGTTAAAACTAACAAGAAGCACTCAATCATCACATTGAAGGAAGAAATTGAGAAGTACATGGATATTCCAGTTGGTAAACAGTCGCTCTTCTTTAGGAATACAGAATTGGAGAATTACAATAATGGTATGTCAAGAAGAGTGGGAGATTTTGGAATTCAAGATAATGACAAGATCTATCTCTCCATTTTAATGAAGGAAATTGATGTTGGAGACAATATCAATGCAGTGAAAGTTAGATTACAATGGAATTGGGTTAATTCTCGTGATTTCTTGGATGGAATCGTCTACGTTCTCGATGGAAATAACAACATTACAGCAAGACTCGATTATGATAACAATGTTTCTCCTCTTTGTGGAGAATCAATCTTCCACAAAGGAGACGATATTGACAATGACAGAAAATTAGGATGTCAAATCATTGGCATGAACCTTGAAAACATTCCAATGTCTGTTCAAACTATTGTCTTTACTTTGAGCTCATACAGAGCATCTTCTCTCAGCTCCTTCAAGAATCCTCGTGTTCACATCGAAGAGGAAACAAGAGGTCAACCATTGGCTGGTTGTGATACTGATGCGATTAAATCTCAGGCAATTATTGTTTGTGCTTTTAGAAGATCACAACAAGGATGGAGAATCATTCAAATCAATAGAGAATCTTCAGGCAATGCACAAAATGATTCTGCTCTCATAACATCCATTATTGATGTTGTCAGAAATTTGTAGAATAAACTTTATTAGAAGAAACTAAAAGATGAACCATCTTTGACACCAGAAATAACAATATGATCACCATCAAATATTCTCAACTTTTTCAAGCTATCATTAAAACGATCATCACTATTATTAATAGAATCTTGACTTTCCTGTACGTAGAGACTCATCTCTGAGCTATTGAGTTTAAATTCGATTCTTGCTGTGGCAGCAACTTCAGAGAGAGTTGTAGTTTCGGCTACTGTGATTTCCTTCTTGGTATTGTATTCAATCCAAATCTTCATATTTTTTATTTATAATTTGCTTGGCAAGCTACGGGTGAATCGTGATTCTATTTGGACCTTTAGGATAATTCACGTTTCGTATTTGCGTTTACAATGGGAATCGTGAAACAAAAACATAAAAAAATGTCTGATACGCTCCTTCTCAGTCGTCAATTTAGTGTGTTTGGTGCCAATGAGACTCATCATATTGAAAACTGCAAGCTTTTGATCATTGGTTGTAATGGATTAGGCAATGAAGTTGGTAAGTTTTGTTTCGTCATTCATTCTCACAACAGTTTTATAGCCAAGAACTTGATCATGGCAGGTGTGAAGAATGTTACTCTATTCGATCCGAAGGGTGTAGAATGGAGAGATTTATCAGGTCTTGTAAGTGAGAACAATTCCACTTTTTCGAATACTTTTGTTAACATGATTATTCGAAACGTACTACAGACATTTGTTGGTTCGATTACAATGAAAACCAGAGCCAAGATCGTAATGGATTATTTGAAAGATCTTGCTCCCAAAACAAACATCAAGGAATCAACTGCAAAGACTTTTTCTGCATTATGTCAAGAAAGTTATCTCAGAGAATTCACTTTTGTTGTTTGTTGTGGTTATCCTCTTTCTTTGAATTCTAAACTTAACGAAACTTGCAGAAAGGTCGGTATACCTTTCCTTTGCTGTGATTCAAAGGGAGTTTTGAGTTATGTTTTTGAAGATTTGGGTGAAAATTATACCTACATTGTTGATGATGGTAAAACAAATTATGACACCTCAATTCCTATTGTTTCCATTCAAAAAGTTGAGAATTCTGATAACAAATATCAAATTATGTGTACTTCTACCTTGAGTGATGGGGTTCTTGTTTCATTCCATCAAATTGTTAACAAATCAATGGGTGAGGTCAGTGTTGAGGCAAAGAATGACAAGTCAATTGAAACTTCTGAGCATCTTAAAGAAGAATCTATTGATAAGGCTGCAACAACGTCTTCTGCCCCTGAAGTGAGTAATGAAGGGGAAGTTGAAACTGAAAAGCAAGAAAACATTCCACTTGAACAAACAAAACAAAACGAATCCAATATGAATCCTCAAAATTCCCAAGTCGAAGAAGAGGTGAACATGATGGAAATTCAAGAAAAATCACACCACCTCCTCGTGAAGAACTATTGGTCCAAAAATCATTCAATCTTCCTACTGGAAAGTTTAAAATTTCCAACTCTTCCAAGAACTGCTTTACAATTGAATGTGAAGATGAAATTAATCCTGAATGTTATGAAGGAGGATGTTTCTTGAAATTGGTACGAGAACAAAAAAGTGTTTCCTTTGTAAGTAGTTTTGAGTTTTTTCATGTTCAATTTGACAATGTTAATTAGAAACCATTGGAAGAATTGATTAATCATTCCAAGGACAGTTTCTTTTACAATAGAAGAAAGCCAATTGACAATTTACAACTAATGTGCTTGAAAGTATATGATATCTTTGTTCAAGAAAATGGACGTTCTCCACTTCCATGGAACACTAAAGATTGTACTCAATGCAAGGATTTATCAATTCAGCTTATCAATTCCTATATTAATAATGATATCGTTGAAGACCTCAAAGGTTTAGAAAGCAAAGCAGAGCTATTCTTTAATACAAGCCAGCAAATATTGCACCATTGAATGCCATGGTTGGTGGTCTAGTTGCCCAAGAAACCTTGAAATCCATCTCCAGAAAGTACACTCCTCTCAAAGATGATCGAGCCCTTAATCAATTCCTTTTCATTGACAACTTTAATTTGGGTGATACTTTGGAAGAATCAATAATGAAGGAAAATGTTCAAAATCTTAGAGGAACAATCTATGAAGGTGTTTCCCCACTTCTTACTGAGAGGGCAATTTCACATTTGAACGGAATGAATGTTCTTGTGGCTGGTGCAGGTGCTGTTGGTTGTGAGGTTTTGAAAAATCTCTCTTCCATGATGGTGAGCACAAACAAGAACTCTTCGATTCATGTAGTTGACTATGATCGTGTTGCTCCTTCAAATCTCCACAGACAAATTTTATTTAGAGATTCAGATGCCAAATTAATGGAATTTAAGGCTATTGCTGCGAGTAGAAAGCTCAAGCAAATGAATCCAGATTTGAATTTGATTGCCAAAACTGAGAAATTATGCTATGAGAGTGAAGAGACTGAATTTCCTGAACAATTCTGGCAGAATGTCAATGTCATCTTTTCATGTGTTGATAGCAAGGATGCAAGAGGTTATTTAAGCGATAAAGCTCAAATCCTTCACATTCCCATGATTGAAGGTGGTACTGAGGGATCTAAAGGTTCCTCTCTCATCATTCACGAACAAGTTGCAGGTTATGGATCCTACATGAATCTGAATGCTTCAAGAGAGGAGGAAGTTGTAATCAATAATGCATGTATTCCATCCTTTGCAATTTATAAACCAGAGCAAGCCATAAGAAAGGCAGTAGAACTTTTCACATGGTTCTTTAAGGAAAATGTTGAAGTTGTGAATTTGCTTGGCAAACATGATCTTTCTGATGAGAAGGTTAAAGAAAATTATGAAATGTATAGAGATGGTCTTGAGAAACCAGAAAAAATGTCCAGACAACTCTTTAATATATTGTTTGAGGAACAAATTAATGAAGCTGCTGCCAAATATAATGAAATCAATGAGAAGGGTAAGTTGTAAAATGTTGGAATTGTTCATAACCAAACTATTCGAAAGATGATGTCAAATTATTGTTGAGAAAACCACCCATTCAAGAAAAATTCAATGCTCATGACGAATCCCATTTAAGATTCCTCAAAGCATCCAATGCTATCATTAAGGAATTTAAAATCAAAAAGAAAAAGCTCACACCTATCCATTTTGAGAAAGATGAGGATTCTCATTTGGAATGGATTGTTTCCTGCTCTATTCTATTGTCCAAATGTTATGGAATATTCCATAATGGAGAGAGAGAATTTGTTAGAAGAGTTGCTGGACAAATTATCCCTGCCATCATTACAACCACTTCAATGGTCTCAGGTTTCATGTGTCTCAATTTGTTCAAGTATGTCCAGACTGGATATAAGAATCTCAGTAATTTGGATTTTAATACTGCAAGTAATGGATATAGTTTCCATCATTGTGTTCAAAAACTGAAGAGTCCAGTCCCTGGAAAGTTAATTTCCAACTTTGAAACAGTTTCAGATTTTGTAATTTATCCTTCCACAACAATTACTGAATGGGTTGACTTTGTAAAGAGAAAGTATGAAATTGGAGTTGAAAAGATAACAATCTATCCAAAGTTTGATGTTTATGACTTTGGATCTCTTCCATGGGGTGAAACGTAAGTTATTTGCAGGCAATCTGATTTTATATTCGAAACCATTTCTAGATTTTATGAAACTTTCAGCAAGAATAGAACAATGCAAAAGAAAGAATGGATTACCCTCATCAGTGAGACATACATTGATGGTTTTCCATACAGTTTCAAAACTCAAGTCAGAGTTTCTGTTCCACTCAAACTGCAAAATGTTGAAGGATCGTGTTATTTGAATTCTGCATTGCAAGTTTTGCATTCATGTCATGAATTTGTTGAGCAATTGAGAAATAGCTCACCAACAACACCTGTTGCAAAGGTTTTGAAATCTGTTTTTGAGGATAACTTTTCAAGAGTAAGTTTTTTCTTAATTCATGTTAATTTGAACCCAAAAAGTCCAAAATTAATGAACTCAGACGATTGACAAACAGATCAGACAAATATTCAGGAGATACACCAGTAAGTTTTTTTTGCCTAATCATCATCAAAATATTCTAAATAATAATAATATTGACAACTAGAAATATGTGAGATCAATTTTTACTGAAATTTTAGGAGAGGAAGAAATTGATAGTGAACTCATCGATTGTAAACTGGTTGACTATTTCAGTTGGAAATCTCCTCAAATTTGTGATGTTTGTGAAGAGTGTCAACAGTCTATTAGAGGACCTATCAGACCCATTTCCTCTCAAGTTCTTCTACTTCAAGGAAATCCAAAAGTTTCCACTGAACAATTACTGAACAATAGTTTCTGTTTCGATTCCAATAACAAGTGTCAATGTGGAGGTAAAATTTTCAGACACAAAATATTCCAATCCTGCCCAGAATATCTTCTCTGTGAAATTGAAAATCCACAACAAAAGTGGATTCCAAACAATTCTATCGAAACCAAAGTTTATATTGAAACAGTTGACTGTACTTATGAACTAGTTGGTGGAGCCATTTATAGTGGAAATAGAAGTGGTGGACATTGGAGAGCCTACTCAAAACAAGCTTATGGTTGGTTTAGTTGTGATGATTCAATGGTTTCCTATATTGGAACAACTATTCCAAGTTCATACTTGTTAGGAAGTGCCTTTGTGGCATATAAGAAAGTTGGCAATGATCCAACAAATGAAGATGAAATGGTTGATGAATAAACTAATGTACAATTTATTGACAAACTAATCGAATTGCCTTAGTTTCGTATGATGTTGTCGGAGAACACTCTCGAACTATATTCATTAATATTCGTACAAAAACTGGAAATTGCTTTTGAAACCAGTTTATTCAACAACAATCAAACTAAACATAAAAAAATGAGTTTATGTATTGGTGGTTGTGGTTTCTATGGAACACCAGAACGTAGAGGATATTGTTCTTCATGTGAAAAAAAGCATCCGAATAATAATTCAAGTAATTTAACAAATGACAGCTTCCAAAAATGGAAAGATGAGCATGATAAACAAAAAGAAGAGGAAGAAATTCTAAAGAAACGTTCTGCTGAATATTTAATTGAAAATCAACAAAAGAAAGTTCGTAATGAGCCTTGTGTGAAATTTAACATGTCGGAAGTCAGTATGTTGACAGATGGTGGATTATTTGTTGAGATTGTCAAGTTTTTGGAAGTTTCTGATATGTATCACATTATGCTGGCTTCAAAATCAATGAGTTCATTGGTAAATAATGAGTATATTTGGAAAATTTTATTCGAAAACAAATATGGAAATGAGGAGAAACCAATAGTTGGAACTTGTTATGAAAATCTCAGAATGAGAGGAAGGTTTACAAGATCTGAAGTGTCATGGAACTATTTCACTGAAAATCCATGGGTATTAGAAAAGTTGCTCACCATTAAAATTACCAAAATTGGAAAAATTGGAAATCTCAATTCACCATTGGATCAATTAATTCCTCCCTCAATTAATAGACAAAACATCACTCAAATAATCAAACATTTATGGCAACCACTCAAAAATGACCTTCCACATCTTATTGAACTACTCACACAAAGAATCAAAAATCTCCTAGTTGTCAGAGATGAATTATCAAGATGGCATTTGATTTATGTTTTTAAATTACAATCAGAGGATGAAGAGGAAGATGAAGAGGATGAAGAGGAAAATGTTAGGTTTCTCTCAGGAGGTCTGCCTTACCATCCAGGAAACTCTGGAAATGAATTACAATTTGATTGGTGGGGGAAATGTCCAACCTCTCTGAAAAGTTTCATGTCAATTCATAATGGATTTGGTGATAATCCAAGTTTGGATTATAGTAAGGGAACTTTTGATAGTTCAGTATTTGTGAATTATCCAAAGTTTGATGGATTGGAAGTTTTGACGTTTCATCATGGTGCTGATTTGGATCAATGTAAGTATGATAATATTGTAAATTATTGTAATTTTCAATGAAATTGTAAAGGTTTTGTAAGAGATTCAGGAAGTTTAGAACTAGAACCAAAAACTGGTCAGTTCTGGAGAAGATATAAAGGTCGTCCATCACCTGAGATTTCATTTTACAAATTTATGGATTCGTATTATTCACAAGCTTTTCAAGAATAACCGAAACATATCTATTCACTATCTGGCCATGACATTTTCGCAATAAAAAAATGTCGTTAATCATTGATGTTGGTTGCTATCAAACAAAGTTTGGACATTCAGATGAAAATTCACCTAAAATTATTTCAACAACAATTAGTGGAGAAAATCAAGAAGTGGAATATTTTGTAGATAGTAATGGACAATTAGTATCGGAGAAAGTTGGAGAATTTCTTGAAAATGTTTTTGGAATGGATGAGTATCCGGTTGTGATGAGTGAAAATCCATCATGGGAAAAGAAATTAGCTGATAAAAACATGTTTGAAATTTTATTCGAAAAGTTTCGAATTCCTTCTGTGAATATTGTTAATGAAGCAGAATTAATCATGCTTGAGAATGGAAGAACTAATGGATGTGTTTTAAATTCTGGTCATGGAAATAGTTATGCTGTTGTGGTTCGAGATGGAAAATCTGTAAGTGAAACATTGGTGACAAGTGAATTGGGTGGACGAAACCTATCCGAATATTTGAAAAAGCTCATTTTGGAGAATAGAGGAATGGATATGAATCAATCTATTGCATTCACCAAGTCTCTTACAGAATTGAAGGAAACTTTATGTTTAGTTTCGAATGATTATTCGTATGATATACAGCAAGCAGCAGAATTTGAAGAAAGTTTCTCCCTTCCAGATGGAAACTCAATAACTGTTGGATTGGAACGTTTCAAATCTTGTGAGGAATTATTTTCTCCTTCTCTCACCGAAACCATTGGTTTTCCAGAGCTAATTGTCAACTCGATTGACAAGTTGGAATTAGAATGGAGAAGAGACACATTTTCTAATATTGTTTTGGCAGGAGGAACGACAATGATTCCAAGATTTATGGATAGATTAAAGAGTGGTATTAAAGATTTGATTCCAACTGCCACTCCTGTCAACGTGAGAGGTTATTCCAATAGAATTCATTCAGCTTGGAGAGGAGGCAAGATATTGGCAAATTTGATGAATGGAAAATCGACATTTGGCATGAATATCAATAGGGAAGAATATGCTGAAAGTAAAAGATTGAATTAGATTTTTGATTCTACTTCTTGTTTTTACAAATACATTGATGGAATATCCAATCTGATAATTGACATTCTCGTGAGCAGTAGTACACTTTTTTACATTCACCACATCTACTCTTCACTCCATTTCTTGCACAAAAACAACATCTTGAAGGTTGACTTGTTTTGGCAGGATTGAAAGGTGTGTAATCTTCGGCCTGAAGGTCCGTTGTGCCTACTTTAAAGGTAATCTTTGAATCCTTTTGAGTGGATAAATGCATTGCAGTAAGCAGGTTTAAACAACCATTTTGAAGGAATGGGTTTGTTCCCATAGATTCTTTCATTGCCCAATCTAATAATCCCAAAAATAGAGGATCATTCGTGATTCTAAAATCTTCCATAATATCTGATTTGTAACAAAGTACACCAATTGTGGATACAAGATTTGCTTTAAGTCTCTCTGGACCAATCAAGCACATTTTTACAAAGTACAACAATCCTCGTTCAGTATTCTTGAGAAGCATGTTTGCTAATTCTCTGCTTTCACTAGATAGAATTGAGAAGGATTGGGTGCTATGTCTAAATAAAGATACCTGCTCATCACTCAAGTTGTTGGTTTTTGGAGGAATGTGGTGCTGCACAGCTTTGATTAGTGTTTTAAGAAAATTCTCCTTCTCACTGTCTGACATTGTGCCATAATTAATTACAAAACTAAGAGCACGAATGGAATAATTTACGAATTGAGTGTTGTACTTTTGATAATTTTTTAAGTAGCCATACGTTCTCTCCATAATCTTAAATTGTTTTTCAATTTGTTGCCTCATTTCGGGTGGCACATTTTGAAGTATTCCGAAAATGACAGCCAAAGAGTTTTCATTTGTTTCCCACACAAGGAATTCCATATTATCAAGATATTCCAAAGCCATTTGAATTCCTTCCAAATTGTAAACTTCTTGAGGGAAATCCCATGAATAATATTGTACAATATCCATTAGTAATCTAGTAATTTCAGGATCTACAAGTTTGAATCCGGACTTGAGATTTTTTTTCAATAGAGAAATAACATGTTCCATACCATTTGCATTATTAAGCATGTAGTGAACGTGATACCTCATCTCATTTTGATTAGCAAATAGTAGACAAACATCTTTGAATAGAGGGGCACCAAGTTGTTGGATTTTCACATCTTCTTGTATAAGTAAGAAAATTGAGTTATTAATCAAGTGTCCAATTAATCCTCCTTCAAGCTTAAGAAGTACCTCTACGTATGATGATCCACCATACCAGTTTCTGATGGATTGGGTTGTTAGTGCAAGTAAGCTTTTCTTTTTGAATCTGTCTTTACCAAACATTATCTTGGAGAAGAATTTATCAAAACATTTTTCTTGATTCAGTTTTGATTTGTTATCTTGGCTCATAAACATGAACATGTTAGAATAGAAAATATTGAGGTAGATAAGATCTTCATCACTAATATCATCAGCATGTTTGATTAACCTGCACCACTCCAGATCAAAATTCATTTTACACAACCTCTTCATACCTTCCGAGTCGAGTAACAATTCTCCCAATGTATCATCTTTGCAAGATTTTCCGCTGTTAATTGCAGAAATAGCCCTTTCCAATAATATCTTCATTTCTTTAGAAAACATGCCATCAGAGAGCTTGTTAAATGTTGTTGAAGTTGGAATGTGTTGATTTAACTGAGACAGATTTTCATCGCCTACAGTATTAGATGGAAGGTTGTAAGGCTGAAACATTATATTAGGTTCTGTGCTTGTTGTTTTGTTCTTTTTCTTTTCTATTTTTTTGGAAGCCTGTTCTACAGATTTTCTAATATTCTCAACATTGTCAAGTACTATTCCGTACCCTCTGACTGCTTTTTCTAAAGCATTGAACGAACTAATATTACCAGTATTTGCAGCAATCTCAATACAGTTACATCCTTCTTTAGTTTTTTGCGTCATTAGTAATTGAGCAATCTTAATTTTATCTTTCATATCTTTACTTGTCTTTTCAAAATGGCTGAAAATTGCATTTACCAGTTCTTCGTTTCCATGAGATGCAACATATATCATAATAGAATTTCCTAAACTGTCTATTAACATAGGATTGGCTCCAACACTCAATAAATATAAAACCAATTTTGGTCGATTACTCATACAAGCTGCGTGCAATGGTAAATATTTCACACCATTTGGGACTTGGTTTACATTAATTTTTTGCTTTCTATATCCCAAAATCAAGCGAACTATATCCAAATTTCCCTGCAGACAAGCCTGTACCAGAGGTGTTAGCTTTGTAACCTTTTTTTCAATTAACCATGGTATGTTAATATCTGGGACAGCTTGACTTTCAAGTAATATTTTCACACATGTTGCATGACCCTCAAATATTGCCATATTCAAAGAATCAGAAGATGGAATTACTTGATTGTCCAAAAGAATTTGTAAACAATTGGTATTTCCTTTAGAGCACGCCAATGCAGACAAAGTAAATAGCTCTTCATGAAGGTACTGGTTCTTGGATAACGCTCCAACTTCAATTAATGTCTGTGTGGCTTGAAAGTGGCTATGTGATACACTTACTGATAACGGTGTAAGTTTTGATTCATCTAATAAAAACTGGTCTGCTCCTAATTCTGTTACAAGAATATCTATTACTTGGGAATGAATACAGTTCTCACAAACAGAATGATCACAGGATGGTTTTCCAATCATACTAAAACCTCCCATATCTTTGGTAATAGGTGAGTTACCACTTGCTGCCAAGTGTAGAGAAGTGCTCCCATAAGAATTTTTCTCATTTACATCCAAATATTCCATAAAATTGTTATCAATAAGAAATCTCAAAGAATCCACTGCTCCTGTTTCTGCAATCATATGAAGAAAACCTTGTCCCTTGATTTTAACCTTTGAAATTTCTTCCTTAGTAATGATTTTCCCAGTGAAAAGAAATGAATTCAAGATAATTTCCAATGATTCTACAGAATTCCTTGATAGTGAAATAACAAAAGGAGATCCACTTTTTTCCTCATTGGACATGAAAAGATTCTTGAGATTAGTAGCTTGAGATGGATCTCTGATATACTCTTCATATAATCTTTTCAAAAGTAAATCTAGGAATGCAGGCTCAACGAGCAAACAAGTCATTTGAAGAACATTATACTTGAAAGGTGGGCTCGTTCTCTCTTCCCATCTGCATCCTTTTTGTAAGAGGAACTGAAAAGCTTCCTTATTATCTACCAGTAATGCTACTAGCAAAGCATTCACACGAGAAGTAAAACCAATGTCAATATTTGCAGTTGAATTAACATCATGCTTGTCTTGTTCCACGAATTTTCGTAAGCTTGTCATGTCACTATTGACAATAACCTGAAAGAATGGCGTTAATGTACTTGTTAATCCTTTGATTCTTTCCTTTAGTTCCTCCTTTCCAGTTTCAAAACTGTCCAATTCAGACATTGTAATTCCTTTCTTCAATTTCTTTCGAATTACTCTAATTTCCTCTTTTAATTTCTTGATCAACTCAATTCCTTCCTTATTGTCAGCACTACCGTCAGACTGCAACAGTTCCAAAGCATCGGAACATGTTTTTGCAGCCTGATCATAGTTCTTCAATAACTTCAAGCTGGTTACTTTTCTGTGGTATTCTTTTCAATGCAAGCCTCACTATCATGGAGAGCATTGTAGTAATGACCCAAATCTATGTTTGCTTTTGCCCTATTCGAATAACTTAAATGATCATTCTCATCAAGAGCAATTGCTCTCGAATAAGAGTTGATTGCCAGTTGCAATTTATTGCTTTTCATCAGAGCATTTCCTTCTTGTCTATATTCCTCGGCTGTTTTGCCCATTTTTTTGTTGTCTTCTCCATACAACATGATAATCCGAATAATTGTTAGCCATCATCAACTTTGTGTGTATACAACCACAACAGCTTATTCATCTTCTTCTTTACCGTTACGAAATTTGATATGAAGATTTAATCCATTTTTTAAAAAATATTAAAATTTCCATTTTAAAATTCAAAAACAATAAAAATGTCCTTTGTATTATTGCAAGTGTTGACCGTTATTCCTGTGGTGGTGCTTTTCTCTACTATGGATGCACAACAGGCTCGTTTCTATGCTAATACATTCCGTTCCATGATGAACAAGTATCAGGAGAAGGCTACAGAGTTTCAAGATGAGTACAAGAGGATGATTACTAATAGTCGTGATGGAAGGAAACAAATTACATCTTTATCATTATCATCATTGGAGCAACAACAACAACAAATTCAAGAGTTTGATCAAGTAGTGGAAGATGTTATGAGAACATCAAAATAATTTATTATCAAAATTTTAGCTAGGAAGAGAGGAACAAATCATATATATTTACAGGTTGTTATTTGTACAATATTCATTTACAAGTCGTGAAATTCTCTTCAGATGGCCAATCTTCTTAATATTGAATTTATCCCGATAATCATCAGTGGTAAAGTTTTTAAGCTGGTCTACAGTGATCAACTTCTTCTTGGCGAAGACTTTCACATATTCTCCCATTTCATTGGCATTCAACATGTCTTCTACGAGATAGGTTGGTGGTTTAGAGGTCTGAATGGAAACCACTGGTGATGATTCATTACTCAATTCAATCACTCGTGTAAGAAGGAAGGTTATAAATTCAGGTGTCTTTTTGAAGGTTGGCATAATTTCATTATTGAATTGCATTTTCAGTGCTAAATCTATTTTCTCCATACATCTATCGATGGATTCTATTGTTGTAAGATGTGAAATATTTTCCTTTCTGGATGGTGAGAAGGAGGTGGATGATTGATATACAGATTGTGCTAATTGTCTAATAGCACTTGGTAAATTTACACAGGTTTTACTTTCCATGTCGATGAAAGTATTGTAAAAGTTTTGGAACTGTTTCACTTTGAGGGAGGCAATTTCACCAAGTTCTAAACTTGATGTAGGAGAGGTAATTTGTGGTCTATTCGCTTTGAATAATCCAAAAGGAGATGAGGAAGTAGATGGTGAAGGTGGACTCGATGTAGTTGGAGAAGCTCTCTTTTGTGTATTATTCGAATAACTATTTCTTATCAGAGCAATATGTTGTAGACAAGAAAGCATTTCTTCATTCTTTCTTCTCTTGAGATATTCCTTCAGAACTTCAATACAGTCATCGTTCAACTCTACAATTGCCTCTATTGAATGATAGAGTTTGAGTTGTTCCTGAATGGCACTTGGTGATCTACTTGTCATTTCCTCACTCTCCACCACTCTTACTAAGTGGTTATTCATAGTAGTAGTGGTAGTATTAGTTGTGTTAACAGAAGAACACGACATATCCAATCGAGGTAGAGTAGCCATCGTTATCATTTCTATGGAGCTGATGTTTGTTGTTTTTTTAATGATTTGAAAAGCCAGACGGAACCAACACATCAGTTTTAAAGAATCATTTGGTGATCTTGCATAATCTGGTTCTTAAAACGTTGAGGGCAGTTGGCGAATATTTATACTGACGAGCTGCTATTTTAACATTGTTTTGGTTTTTGTGAACGATTGTGACAAAAAGACAATTTTTATTTGGTAAATTACCTCGTACTTATAGCAAGATCCGGATGCGGCACTTGACTAAATTTTAAAAGAATATTCGAAAACGATGAATTCGTATTAACCATACATTTTGAATATTAGGAATCAATCATATGTTTCTTCCTTGATTGGTAATTTAAACCAATCAAGGAATTGCATTGCTTTGCAAAGATGTTGTTGAGAAACATGCCCTTTTAACTTCGTTCAAATCTAACCACACCGTGGCCATTAATTGTCAAAATGAATACCACAGTTTGATGTTTTGGTGAAACTGAGAGATATCCAGCGCCAAAATTGCAGCTATTGTCCTTTGTCTATTATAATAATGCATTCAAGTATTGCAACAAGTTTACTGTAGTTGGGTTGTTAACTGTAAAGAACAGAAGCATGCCCAACAGGGAAGAGTTCTACATAATTTGATAATAACTGCTGAATGATTCGGGTAAAAGAAATTGACACGATTATTTTCGCAATTGGTATAATTTTTCACTTTTGTATATTGGTTTATTGAGCTGAGGATCAATGAAGTGTAGGAATTTAAATATGGAAAGTAATGGTTGTTCTTGTTAAGATTATTCCATAATGTTAGGTCAAATTATACAGAAGGTTCAAATCGCTAAGTGGAATCAATAACAAATGCAGCCCTTAAGAAAGGTTTCCAAATGTTTGAATTATTTGTAAATGTTTTTATTTTACAGCTTTAGATTTGATGGACTTTCTCTTACATGTGGCACAAACTGGATCACCCAAAAGGTCATAGAATTTCATATTCTCAAATTCATTACCACACTTTTGACAGACAAAGCATTGTTTGTGGTAGGTCTTGGAGAGGGCCTTAACCATGTCTGCCTTGTTGATAATCTTTTCTTTACAGGCAGCACACTCCATATCCGTTGAAGCTGCTGCTGGTTTTGGCTTCTTTTCTGGATCTTCTTTGGTTTGATATTTCACGTGTTTGTTCTTGTTTTGAATACAAGTAGCACACCAGAATTTACCAGATACATTGGCAAATGGTCCATTAATTTCCTTAATACAGTTAGAACAAGTGAAACAGTGTTTGTGGAAGTAACTATCAGATGTTTCCATAAACTCTCCAGTAATTTTCTTTTTGCAAGCTCCACAACGTTTGGTAATTCCTGTATCATCATCGGACGAAGAGCTATCCTTCTTCTTATTGTTAGTAGGAAGGAAAACACTAGAAGAAGGAGCTGTCTTATTAATTGATGATTGAGGTGTCTTGTCATCTAAATCATTGAATAATACACTCTTGGATGGCTTGTGTTTGTTCTTGATGGCTTCTTCTTCATCACTGTCATCACTATCATCATCACCCTTTCTTGGAGGAGCTGAAGTGGCATCTGTCTTCTTCTTGAAACGAGAGTCTACAGCAATCTTTTGTCCAATCACAGATCTAGAAGTATTTCTGTTGGAAGATGGAGTATCTCCTGTTTCAGGATTTTCTTCAGTAGAAGCACGAGTACCTGGTGGAGCACTGTTTGCAGCCATTCTAGAAACTGCATCATCGTCTTCATCTCCCATAACAACATCAATTTGGAAGTTTGTAATGCTATAATATTCAAGTGTTTTCTTGAATTGATCTCTGCTTTCTTCGACTTCCTTGGTTCTCTTTGCTTTTTCCTTTTCCAATTCAACTTTTTCATTTTCCCAATTGAGTGCAATTTGTTCCCTTTGAAGTTCCCATTCTTGCCTCTTTTGAGCAATGTACTTTTTCTTTTCATCAAGTTGTTCTTTCAAGTTGGCAAGTTGTCCCTTGATTTGACTTCTTTCAAATTCAATTTCATCCTTTGTACTCTTAATTGTCTCGACCGTTTGCTCGTGAGCAATCTTTTCATCTTGGTATTTCTTCTTCCAACTTTCAACAAATTGCATCCAAGATTTTTGGATTCCTTCCCATTCTTCTTCATTTTTAGTTGTTGGTTTTTTAGGTTCTCTTGGTGAGAAGATACTATTGGAAGAATCACCTGGGCGTTTCAAAGCAATATTGCTACTGCTTGAACTTGGATTTTGTTGTTGTTTGTGATCTTGCAACTTTTGAATGAATGCATCCAATGTCTTGGTGCCCATCATGTTGTTATTGGACTTGTCCTTTTTCTTTTTGTGATGGATTTTATGTTCCATCTCATTCTCAAATATAGAACTATAATTATCAATAATAGCTCCAACTGTTTTACAATAAAAGTCAACCATCTTTTGTGATAATTGTCTAGTGGTGATTAGTTTTGTAGCACTAATTGTGCCTTTCTTATTAGCATCGGTGACCTGAATGGCAACCTCTTCATCCTCCTTTACTTTACCACGAAGGAATACTGGTCCAAATACAACACTCAAGGATTTAACACTCAATCTATTCTCTTCCTTGTACAAGAGTACTTGCACGAAATAATAGAATAAATCTCTAATAACATTTTTACAAATTGGATTCATATCTTCGATTTCTCTCCTGATCATATTGACACGTTCATTTTCAGATGTTTGTTCGCTAATTTCTACAAACTTTTGGAATGGTTCAAAGAGACCTCTATCTAAACTTTTGAAATATTCCAACATTAAATTACAAACAATATTAGGATCGATAGAGTTTGGGAACACAACTGGTGTCAAGTCACCATTCTTTCCTTGTGCTTCATTCAATAATTGAATATATCTTTCCTTTTCCATTGTAGATCCTGTCAATCTGAAAATACCTGTTGTTCTTTGAACTCTTTCTTGTTTCAAATAACTCAACATTTTCTCCAAAACAGGAGGAATACTCTCCATTGCAATTGAAGAGTGAGCTGGGAAGTGATTCTCCAACAATCCTCCAAATAAAATTGGAGAACTCTGATTCACTTTAATTACACTAGCATTCCTCATCATTGTGTGCATACTATCCGATGAAGCATCAGCAGTATTCTTACCAGTCAACTTGTTCAACAACAAGTGCAAACTAACCTTCGGAGGCTCTCCATTATTATTATCTGATGATGATGTTGCTGTTGCTGTTGTTGTTGTTCCACTATTCAAACCACTCATCAAATGTTGTCCAACACCCACTCCTTTAATTCTTGGTGAGGTAGTTGTAATCTCCTCCACCAACTTATCCGTACTATTACCAATGGCCAATGATGATGAAGAAGCTCCTGCTTCATTTTTCGATAGGGAAGTTGTAGAATTGGCGGGAGAATTTAAATTACTGCTACTGTTAGTAGCAACGCTTCCACTGCGTGGCGTTGTTTTTGGTGAGGCTGAGCCACCGTTGAGAAGAGCGAGTGGTGGATCGATGGTGAGAGTGAATTGTTCCTTGATGAGGTTTTTGATGGAGGTACCCCAGTTTACTTTTCTCGATTTAAAGTTGGTAACGTGGAGTTCATGAGTAGTGGCTGAAGGAGGTGGTATGATTTCTGGATGCTTGGTGATGATTTCTGGCAGCAAGTCATCAATGATGGCGTTTTGATCGAGTGTGTATTCTTCGGTGATGGTGGGAGTGAGTTGGAGGGTGAAATGTTTGCGAGAATTGGATTTTAGAGAGAAGCTACGAATCATTTTTTTATGATGTTTTTTGTTATCGTCAGACGGGTGACATGTAAGAACCACAGAAGATTGATGATTGGAGTTTAGAAGAATGGATTGAAGCCTTATCAGTGTTAATGGATCAGTAAATGAATTTTAATGTGAATGAAGATAAATGTCACCTTCTTCATCTTCTGCACCGCTATAACATTCTGCTGGAGATGTATTCACAATAATTGGAAGTTGATTCAATCTACTTCTCACCTTATTGGAGACGAAACAGTGACTCAGGTCTAGAATTTGTAAATGTAAATAATCACTTTCAATTCCACTTTCCAAAAGTTCTACAAATTCATTAACTCCCTTATCATTAAGGTTTGAAAGAGAAAAATCAATAATGTGAACTCTCTTTGAGATGGCACTTTCGAAAATTGTCTTTGTGCATTGATTAAGAAACTCAAAATTTCTCAAACCTAGATAGGTCAAACTTGGAAAGATTCCCTTCTCATCCTTGGAAAGTAATTTGGAATTCTTCATAAATTCATCATTGCATCCATCAACTGAAAGTCCTATAAAGAGTTCCAAATGAGTTAAATTTGGAAGATAGGCATTGAATAAATTTGTTAAAAAATCTGTGCTCAGTGAGGCAGAAATTAAAACAAGAGACTTGAGATTGATGTGACTGAATTGAGCTGAAATGTTCAAATTTTCACCACCCTTAGATCTCCAAAATGACAACTTTGGGAGGCTATTGAAAACACTAGTCATGTCATCTTGTTGAATATAGCATACATCATTATCTTCTTCATCAACATTTAACAAGTTAATTGAATTGATTTGTTGTAATTTCTTAGAATTCTGCTTGATCCAATCAATGAATATCTTTGGCTTCTTATCGTGGAAATCTTCTTCAAATTTGGCAAGATCCAACTCTTCAAATTTTTCAATATTATCCAATGTCTTTTTGAGTTGAAGTTTAACTGATCCCTTATAAGTATTCTTTCTTTTTACTTTTCCTTCCTCTTCATCATCATCATCCTCGTCCTCATCACCGTCATCCTCGTCTTTGAAATAGATTCGAGAATATTTGAGACCAGTTGTGAAATATCTACTCATGGCCTCTTCACTCTTAATCAAGTGGAAGATAGTTGAGGAATTGTAGTCTGTTCTCTTTGCATGCTTGTGATTGGTGACATCGACTTGAATGGCTTTTTGGACTCTCTTTTTCCAATCCTTTCTCTTTTCAGCAGTGATAGCTAATCTACCAATGGATTTCTGCAAGTTGCAGATCTCCTCAGGTGTTAACTTTAATACTGGCTCTCCTTTAAATTCGTATTCATTATCATGAATATGGTGAAACAGATTATTTTCAACTCTAGATTTCACATTTTGATTTCTAACAGAAAGTAAAAATGCAACTGTTTCCTCTTCTGTTTCATCAGCAATAAGGGTATTGAATTTTGAAATACAAGACAATCTAATCAAATCAGAAACTGAACAGAATGTGAAGATCTGACGAACAATTTCGTCTGGCAACTTGTTAAACTCTTTAAATTTGATAATCTTGCTTCCAGAACTGCTTGCCTTACCAGAACTACTGGCAGTTGATTTCGATGATGTTTTCCTCTTCTTCTTAGCTTTGGAATCACTATCCGAATCACTGCCACTATCATCCGAATGGCTGCCACTGCCACTTCCTGATATCAACAAGTACTTTCTATAATCTACAACCTTTCCACTATCAATACACTTCCATAGAAAATCTTCACTCACAATAGGAACATCTTTTGCTTTTGCATTATTCACCTTTGACGTAGGAATACCACGAGCTTCATGTTCTGTTGTGATCAGAAAATTAGTCGAGTTGGTCACTGATGATGAAGTCTTTCCTCCATTCTTCTTGATATCACTCTCCACATCCGATCGTTTCTTGCTGAGTGTTCCAGAGCAACAGAAAACCAAACTAGATAGCACACCAGATTTACCGTTACTCTTTTTGACCATTTTTTTTAAATTAAATTTTATTAAAAACAATTTGGGCGGGAAACAATTTCAAAAAAAAATGCAGAAAATATCTTTCCTGTTGGTTGTCTTGTTGATTGTGGGATTTGTTATTGTGAATCATTCGGAATGTGCTGATGCAACATCAGCAATGATTTTACGAGGAAATTCATCTTTGAGAAAATTTAATAATTTAGAATCATCATCTTTATTTGCAACTTATAATCAAGCAATGGTTCAATTATTTTCAGTGAATGCTTCGGATGCTAGTTTTAATCCAGTTGGTCCTCCGAATCAAGCTGCTGGACAATCAATTATGGCACAACAATTGAGTGATATTGATGAGGTGAATAAGATTTTCTATGTCTTGTCTTTGAATAGTACAAATAATAGAGTTTACTTGTTGGGAATGAGTTTAAAGAGTGGAGAAATTGTGAGGAATATTCTATTGCCAATTGTGGAAACTTATTGGGTTGGATTTGGACAATCTCTTGTTGTGAATCAAAATAATGGAGATGTTTATGTTGTGGGTCAGGAGAGTATGAATGCCAAGTTTGTTCTCCTCTCAATTAATTATGAAACCTCACAAATTACCAAACTAAATGAAATGCAAGAACTTATTGCAATTGGAAGCATTTGTGGATTTGATCCAAAGAATAATATTTTGTGGTTGGAATTTGCCAAGAATAGATCTGGAGTTGCTGAGTATGATTTGTATGCATTTGAACCAAAGAGTGGAAAATTAATTACAACTATTGTGAATACAGAGCTGATGCAAACCATGGAATTCGACAGAAAGACAGGTGTAATGATTGGAATAGGATTGAAACAACTCTCAAAAACCGCATTCCAGAGAACCATTGTTACACTTGATGGTTCAACATTCAAAATGAAAACCATTCTCAATGTTCAAGGCAACTATGTCGAATTGAATGATATTATGGGACCAATTGATTATGTCAATAGAATTTTGTACTGTTTGATGAGACCTGCTGCCGCTAAAGTCTTTGATTTCTTAATGATTGATTTGGACAGTGGAGCAATTTTGAACAAGGTAAACATGTTAGGAAAGAGAACACCATGGAATTTACAATTTCTCAATAATTTATAATTTACAACTCTGATAATAATTTAATGTAATAGTAAGGATCCGAAACTTCCTTAAATAAAATACAAGAAATGGTTTCTTCAAATATCTTAATCTTTCCATAGACATTTCCTTCATGGTCTGCATCATTGAAAATCTCTGAAACATTCTCTCTCATCACATAACTCAAATTACTTGCAATGTGGTCAACTCTGAGACAATATATTCTCTTGTTGGTAATGAAATAATGTTCCGAAACTTGAATGTATCGTGTTGTGTGGAATAGAGCAAATAAAACTGGAAGAATTAGAATTGGAGCCATCCATGAAACAATTGTCTGATCATCAGTTGAGGCATACGAATACACAAACATTACAATTCCAGCAATAATGCAACCTATCAGCAATACAATAGTAATAATAGAGGAAACCAATAAATATCTGAATGACTTTCTACGAATGGCTTCATAGGTGAATAGTTCTTCTTCAGGAAGAAAAGTGGCCGATAGAATATTCAAAGAAGGATGTTCAGTATTGATAACCAGTTGTTCAGATGACTTGTGTTCTGATATTATTGCAATATTATTGGAATCTTCTCCTAAACATTTCATTCCCTTTCCAAATCTGATAAATTCTTGGACTTTTTGACTTGAAGCATATTTGTTCACAAGAAAAAGTGTAATTGATAATCCGAATATTACTCCTGCACATACTATTAAACTCCAATACAATTCATCATAGTTAAATTCATCCAATAACTTTAGGGAAATATCACTCGATGTTTGGATTGAGCTAGTGGATTGTACTTTCTTTGAATTGGCATAACAAGCAAATGACCTTGATTCCAATAAACTTTGAGCACATTTCAAAGTTTCATTCAATTTCTTATATTTACAAAAAGATGTCCATTCAATATTATTCCCAACATTAGTCATATTCACTTGAATAGGATAAACAAAATGTTCCAAATCCTGCCTAATCAAACTCTGAATAGATTCCTTCCTCTCAACATTTGCAATCTCACACCTGTACTCATCAAACTTGATATACATTGTATCGAATAATACCAAGGCACCATACAGCACCACAATCACCAAGATGGAAATTAGAAAATAGAGCAAAATCCTACCAACATGATAACTGCTCCTACTTTCGGACTTTATCTTTGAGTGCTGATGAAAAGATTGTTCATGAGATGGGAGGCAATAATGTGTCGGATGAAGTAGAATCATTTTTTTCAAGTGTTGTTTATTGAGGATGATCCTTTTTGTTTGCCATTAATGGTGCGCCCATTCTAATGTGATGGTGGTGCCCTTTGAATTGTTTTTTAATATTGCACGTATGATGACAATGATGGTAATTTATCTAATATTTGAAGCAATTTGTGGAGTTTTAGAGTGTTCGGGTGTGTTAATTGTTGTAATATTTGCTATTAGTACGTTGAAAGAATCTGTCTTTGGGGAAGGAGTTTTGTTTACTGAGAGAATACAAGTGGATTTTCGAATTTTGGAAATTTGAAGAATAATTTAAAAGTGTATTGTAATAAGGAAAGCAATTTTTATTTAAACCTTAATAAGAGAAGCAGAGACAGAGGAAGCTTGATTGAGTCCACTGATAGCATACAATGTGTGCCAACAATTACTAGCTGGCCAAGTGAATACGAAACTTTGTCCATTATTAAGAGCTCCACTATTGATTACCTTTGTAGAATCTGAACAATCCAAATTGAATGAAAGACGCAATTGACCTCCCCCAGTTGTAATAGCAGTGAGATTGTATGATTGACCAGCAATTGGCTTGGCCCAATTCAACTTGGCAAAACCAGTTCCATTACTATTGGTTTGAGTAACACGAGCACTCTTGGAAGGGAAAACTACAGCTTGTTGATAAGTATCAAAAACTCCCAAAGCATCACCAGATTGCAAGGTCCATGGTCCTCTCATTGACAACAAGTTTTGATTTTGTGAAAAAGTAACTGGTTGACCATTACCATTCAACCAACTGGAGGCACTAACAAGAGGACGCAAAGCTTCTCTAATAGTTTGCAATTCACTGGCTGCGGTGTTGCTCCAACCACCAGGAGGATGCAAAGAGTAATTAGCTCCAATTTCAACATAGATTGCATAAGGAGTTCCAACATTTCTATCAACTACTCTAGCTCCATAAGTTTTCAAAGTTTCTGCAACTTTTCTAAGCTTTTGAGTAGTCAACTTGGAAGCATTGAATGAGGATGGAAGCATTAACAAACTACCTTCTGGAATAGCTCCATAATTGGTTGTAGAAGCATCACCATCTGCAGAAGTTGCTGGGAAAACATAAGTGTTACTACCATTAGCAAGAGCATTGTAAGTTAAAGATAAAGCCAATGCGTGTCTGTACATGACATCACCATCATCAACTTCGTGCTTTCTTATAATACCAGCAGAACTGACAATACCAACGGCACGAGCACCTTGATAGTAATGAGCTGGATCTCCCCAACCAGTTCCATCCAAAGCAGCCCATCCATAAAGAGTAGCTCTCCAAACACCTGTGACATTCTTGAGTTGCCAGAATGAGTGAATAACCTTTGCAATTGGATCCTACAATAAAATATATTCGATAGTTCAATACGTTAACAATTTTGAACATTACAAGAATACTTACATAAATTTCACAATGTCCATCAGATCCAGTGGCTGGAACAGCATTAGCTGGCCAACGTGGAATTACCATACTAGTAACATAACCTCCAATATCAACATTCTTAATACCAACAGTTGCTGAAGGTCCGTAAACGGTCATTGGTTGATCGGTTGCTGAAGCAACATAAACACCAGTTGAGTAAGCACCTCCTTGAACAGTTGGGAAATAAGTTGATGCTGGAACTGTTACACCTGAAAGAATTGGGTTGACTGGACGACTATTCCACAATGAGTTGACAGAGAATGGTTTGTTGACTGTTCCCCATTGTGCTGCTACAGAATATGCAGCAGCGAGATAACAAAAAGTAATAGCTAGGATTACTTTAAACATTTTGATTTTTTTTGTTTCGAATAATGTTTAGGTTGTTTAACAATGATCTTTTTAAAGGGGTTTGGTTTGTTACTGTTTCTAATAGATTACGAGACATAACTAACCATGTTCTAGTGCGGAATGTCAACTTGAATTAAAATGTTTAGTATATTCACAAATCATTATTCGAATTAGTATGTGAATCATCATGAGATCTCGAATAAAACGCGAAAACCATACGAATTTCCAATACATTGTTAAATAATCCACGATTCGGCTGCTCTACAATCATACAATGATTGTAAAACAATGTTAAAAGTCCCACCTTATCAAAGGTTATTCAATGAACTGGAATGTTTTAATTAAACAATATCTTTATACTACGACTACTGTAGAATATTGTAATGTTAAATTGTCAGCTGTTTATTTTCAAATTTGAAAAAATAGCTTGCAAAATGATTCGCTCTAGAAATTTATTGGTTTTTTGCTTGCATTTATCATTGCTCCATTGCAATCAATGATGACTAAAATAATATAATGAATTAATTAATACTTTATCATGAACATTCCTATCATGATCAAATTATCTTAGATCTGCTCAGAATTAACAAGTACTAATTACATTCTTTGCTAAATAGATGGTTACTGTTGAACATCTCTTTAATTGTAGCTATCAATCTATTTTGCACAGCTGTCATAATCAGCTTCAAACAGATTTTTTTTCTGGGGCCATTTCCTCCAAATGTTCCTTATCATCCCTAACATACTTTCTGAGAATCTTTTCACATTATGTTGCTACAATAATACAAGCTAAAGTAAATGGAGAACGATTCTTGCTATCCTTAATGTTGTAATCAGCTCCATGTTCCAATAAAAATTCAACCTAGTTTACCAATCTGTAAAATACTGCACCATGGAGAGAAGCCCATTGATCTCCAATCTTGAGCTTTTCATTGAGGAGATGTTGCTTTTCAGAGGTTTTGCACAACATAATGACAGGCTCGCTTTGTATAACAGAGATCTGTCACAAGACAACTTTAAAAAAATGCAAAACTTAACATTCATTATTATGAGTAAATAGTCAAACAACTCAGATAAGCTCAATAATCTGTAAAACTTCAATCCTTAAATGTTGTACTGGTTGAAAATCCATTTTTTTGTTGTCAATTATCCTTTGTTGTATTTCAAGTGAAACAGGTTTTTGCTCGGTGAAGTGAAACATCATTGCCATGGTTTGAAAAGATTCCAACAATTAAAATTCTATGGGTTTGCCTTACCAATAATAGGACTATTTTCTGCTTCCGTCCCTTGAACTTTTTTAAACTCCACATGTCAATCTTTCATAATACTGAACTGGTCAGATAATCACGTCACTGACCATTGTATAAAAAAACCACCGCATAATAATTCACCAGATTTAAACAAATACTATCAGTTGACCACAAAGATCACCTCCAATTTCATATCAATATTCGTTATATCTTGTTTTATCAAATTCCTAATACTATTGACCCCAACTTTATATTCCCCAGATATTCATCTGACTAAACGCCACAAATCCAAAAAACTGTTTGAAAAATTTGGAGGCAAACGTAAAAATTGACTTTTTGAGAAGTAAAAAAATTTCGCAAACACACATCTTGGAGCTTGTGCGAAGAAGAATATTCAAAGCAAGGAACACACGGAAACAGCAACATTGATAGTAGTTTGTTTTCATTGCTGTAATCATCAATTCATCATTTAGTGAAATTTCCGATTGGTAAATAGTTGGTGGACGAACATCTTGTAGACAGAGAGTGTTGTTATTGTTCATCATCAGTAGCATTGGAATATATTCTAACATAAAATCGGAAGGTTTTTTAAAGTAACCAATTTAGAGGCTGATAATTTGTAGACTTTCCAGTCATTAAATTCTAGTTGGTTGATAATCTTCCAATTATAATTGTAGCAAGCATTTGACTGGCTACCAATATTACTTTGATCAAAGCTTAGCCATCAGTTTGGATCCGCTAAATTGCAACAGTATTGTTTGTGGTAGGAAGATTGTTGCATAATTTTTTTCTATTGCTAAAGAGGATTCTCTTCGTGACTCCTCGTTGTTATTAAGATTCTCTTTACAAAAAGAATCAAGAATCAGATCCTCAACCTTCTGTTTTGACTGGCTCTTAAGAAAGACAAAGAATCCAATACCATTCAACAGATATTGAATTCAACTTTTGGAAGTATCCAACAAAATAGACAACACTTGTCACTGCTTTTGTGATTGATCTAACTGTTTTAGAAGATAGCTCAAGATAACGGTTCCTCTTGCATTTCAGTCGTTTTTGAAAAATGTTCAATAATCCAAATGCATCCCACTTTCTTGGAGCTTCAGGAAGAAGAGGCAGCACCAGCTCCACTGCCAGCTCAACTTCATCAAGTCCATTCTTTCCCACCAGCATTCTCCAAAACAATGCATTCAATTTGAATCAACAAATTAATAATGTGAAAGGAACACCACCAATTCTTTCGACTGGCTACTACTTTCAACAATACCAAAAGCAAATAGAACAAAATAAGTCACTACGAAATACATTCAATTCGCCATCCATTCAAAGACAATCACCACAAGAATTGGCTACCACTCTTTATAGAACATCTACTGTTACAGGTAAACAACCAACTCTTGATTTTGTAATGAATAGACAAGAAGAAGAAGGTAACAATTCGAGTATGAATAGTGTTAAGAAAAATAATGCGAGCACTTCATCTTTCTCAACAGATTTACACAATAGTATGCAATCCATGAATAGTCACCAACAGGATTCATCCTCCTCTTCGACCACCTCAATTTTAACTACTGCGAATAATAACAATATAATGACAAACAATAACACATCCTATCCAGTTAATTTCATTACACAAAATCAATCACAACCATATCAAAGTTTGTTTTCTTCCCAAACAAGTACCCCAATATTACAAGGCAGCAGTCAACAACAACTCCACCACCACAATAAGATTACAAATGCAACTCTATGTAATTCACCATTTGGAGAATTTGAGCACGAACCTCACCAATCCAAGAGAGACGAACAAGGAAACAATCAGAGCAAGACCATAATAACGAACAACGCGCCTTCTCTTGTGCAACAACAAAACAAGTCTAAAAAATTATCAGAAGGAACAACAAATTCCAAAACAAACAAATG